AAAAAGAATGCAAAAAACTTGCGATGGATTCATCGAAATTATAGAACATTAATCAGAAGTTTGTAATAAAAAATCCAATTTAAAAAAAAAAAACAAGAAGAGACGAAAGTAATTTTCAAAATCCGATTTCTTGAAATTGAAATAAGTGAAAATAACTGTTCATAACTTGGATGAAATAAACCTTTTATTTATATAATATGTCAAACAAATTAAACTGCGACCAGAATTAATGGGAGATGTGTTTACGTCATTTCAATAATTGGTTTAATAATTGAGATTACTGCGATAATCTATGCACCTTAAGAAAACGATGTGTTATATCTAAAGCAACAGAGTAAAAAATAAGTTTTTAAATACCGTCGTGTTTTATTAAGAGCTATGATTTGAGTTCAAAGTTCATGAGAATTCTAAGTCTACTATATATCGTTGATTTGCTACAAGAGTAACAGAATTAAGAAAAGTAAATTTTTCGAGAAATTGATTTAAAATTATTTGTCGTTGAGAATTATTAATTACTCAACCATTTCGCAATGGCAAGTCAGCTAAATCGCTTCAATAATCAAGCAACAGTTGCATATCGGTAACCTTTGTCAATTCGATGACAGGATAGTACTAAAAAAACAGCACTTATGATACATCAATCTGAAGTTTAAAGTTTACTAAAAATTACTGTACAAATGTTTCATCAATATTCTTAATACAAAACGGCGAATTGTTAAATATAACAAACATTAAAATTCTATTATATACGACTGCATAGCAAACGATTTATTTTGAAACATAAAAAGTTTGACATAATCTGATGACATAAAGATAGATTGCATAATAGCATTAATAAAATATCAGTTTGTAGCCTGAAGCTTGATAGAAACGATTGCATAAATGTTGCATTATTATTCTTAACGCAAAATGGCTGATTGACACTTGCAACGAACAATATAGAGTACTATTGTTGTTGCACATCAAACTGCAGATTTCGAAACAAAGAAAGCCTGACATGATTTGATGATATAGGAAGTGTTGCAAAATAATTCTTATGGCATATCAGAGAGGGAGGAAAGGAGTAACTGACACATTTACCCTAACTTATGAAAAAATTATGCGACCAGTTTGAGGAACATTGTTTCAAGATAAGTGCATTCAAAGTTTCTCATGCAATCACGCGATGAATGACGACTCGATTCAGTAACTTACTGATGCAAAAGGAAACAAATTAAAAAAAAACTTCATCGAAAGCCAATTAGAAAAACTAGAAATTGTGAAAGTAAACCGTACAGTACTTTGTCCAATCCACGAAAATGTAATAACAGACATGCGACATAATTTGGTATACTGCTATATAATAATAATAATATTTCATACATTGCAGTATATGAGATGGTATATCATTCAAGGTAATATGCACATAGTTTAACATAATTCAATATGTACACTGTTTACATCTTCTAACGATTAAAAGAAGCAATTCGAAATTACCATATGTTAAATTACACGCTGCAGAAAAATTTGATACGCGAGTAAAATAAAATCACTTTGATACGTTAATGATAAACAACTAATCAAACTGCAGTAATCCAAATTTAGTACTAGTACTAAATAACAAATATATTAATGATACTAATAATAACAGCATTATTATAACTACTACATATATCAGCATTAAGGACATAGCGGATTAAAACAATAAATGAGGAAAAAATCTTTTCTCAGTATTTGACGCATTTCAATGAAAAAAGCAAATGCGTAGACGAATAGTATAAAAACAATAAATCCATATTCCTCTTACAAAACTGATATAGTTGTCTGTTAAATCGCTTCAACTATCGAGCAACAGTTGCGTATCGGTAACCTTTGTACTCATGTACAACGGAAAATGTGTATATGTATACGACACTGCGTTGAGTTTACGTCGCATGAGTAATTGTAATGAAGCAAGAGTGTATACCAATATAGTCATTCGTAAGAGGCTACGCATTTTAATTCCTATTTATTTCCAACAACATTTTCTAAAATTTTTCAAAATATTCTGGCATTTGCGTAACAAGAAAAAGGTTTTTAATTTCTTAGTAGGAAGTCAACTATATTTTTCCATGGTATACCGGGAACCGCGAAAGCGAAACGCGCACATACTTTTAGATCAGTAAAATCCAAACTCCGTTTCTAAATGTTTAAATTATAAATTTAAAATTTAGAGAGAGAATCTCTCTCTCTCTCATACGGAAGAAAGATATTGGAGCCAAGTTTTAAATTCATCGGTAAGCATAATCTCGTCCTTAAACTATTGCAAGTGGTACAACACAATCGTTGCTCGGACACGCTAGACAACAGGAAATCGTAAAATCTTTTCATACTATATGATATGATATTTAAGAAACAAATTTGACAATTTATAGCATATTGTAATATAAAACTACGCAAATACTGTTGGATTTATATCAAAACGTAATTAAAATGGATAAAATAAATAACGTACTTCAGAAATAAACGTCTCTTGTTTGTGCTAAAAATTATCGATGTAAACAAAATAATATTTTAATATAAATCTTTCTCTTAAATTCTCATTATAGTAAAAAGTGATATATATTGTTAAAAAATTTTAACCAGAATTTTAATATATTTATTGTTAAAATGATTGAATTAAGTTTCGAAGCATTGAGGTCACATCTGGGATTCTTGCATCTTTTTTCACAAAGTCCACTGGAACGCATTTATATTTCTGTATTTCCACACAATTATTTTTGCAATCGAGGCCGTTGTACGAGAATTCAGAGGAAATTTTGGTGATGCGATGCACGCGATAAAAAGAAGCCTGCGATCACCGACAAGACTCATATGTTTACTGTTGGGGAAGATATTTATAGTTCATGATCGGAAATGACATTCACCGTGCACAAAAATTAAATTAAATAAAAACATTTAATTATTGCAACACTAATAGTTTTTCGTTTATCGACAATAATTAACAATAAAACCACGTACATTTGACGCACACTTATTTTTAAGTTGAAAATGATGCAGGAAATAAACAGACAAGGGATGAAACATAATTTAATATATACGTTCATTATTTATCTCGACAATAATCAATATAAATTTCAACAAGAATACTTGATAAAATTTATAATTTGAAATAAGAAATAATGAGAATTTATAGATTCTATTAGATTGTGTGCATTCGTGATCAAAGCAGGCTTCCCCAGGAAAAATTCTGATATCCCTAAAATTAAATTAAATAGTTGTTTCCAAATATTTCAAATTATTGATTTTACAAGAATTACTTTTTAACAAAATTTAATGTCGGATACATTGAAAGTAGTCTTTATCGATATTGTAAATAAAACTGTACTCTATACGATACTTTTAATGTCAAAATCTCAATTTTGGTTACGTTATATTTTTACAATGATCAGGTACTGTAAAATATCTATAGAATGTCTATTACATACGTAAATAGACAGTTAACAAATAGAATTACAACTAATTAACCCAGTTAACTGATATGGGTGACCTGGATCTTCAAGGCTTTTACCAAGAAAATGCTATAAATGATACCGATCTGGAATTGATAATAAATTATTGCAATACATGGATATGTCTTTACGTATTGTTTGAATGTTTCGAAATCCTTCATTTAATATGCAACAACCTAAGATAATCATCTACCTAGGTGAAATAGGGAAAAATATACATTTATTTGCATACCTACTTATAATTTTCCAATTTTTCGTGAATATTTTTGTAGGTATTTACATCTCAATATCATTGACGTTGAACGTGCAAGAACGCGTTTATATATTAACACGCCAGATAAAAAGTATATCAAGTTATTCATGACATTAAACATTTAATAATAAATCCGTGCGTGGCATAAGTAGATCTGAACGGTCAATTAAAGCAGTCGTAATTAAAATTTTAAGCTATATTTTACCTGACATTCACTTTAAAATAGATATTTGTTCAAATATAATTTATTTTATTTAGCAAAATGAATAATTACTTTAGAAACATTCTATACAACCATTATCCATAATCAGTTGTAATGTACTCATCAGAAGATAAATCTGATAAAGATTATGAACTTATCAGATATTTTAAAAGAAGAGTATCTAATCTTGCATCATGTAAAATATGTTACAATAATGGATGAAAATTTTTATGAAGATAATAATACCACGTTTTATCAACTCAAATATAAATGTTTTGTTATGTTATTGTTGTAAATGAAGTAGCAAATATTTTTTCTACTAAAAAATATGATATATCAAAATTAAGTTATAATAAATTTGTAAATTCCTAATCGTAAGTATTTTTATACAAACAAAGAAATGCCGTAAAATGAAAATCCAAGAACTCGGTTAAAAATAAATGTACAGTTTTTTCAGAAGCATGAACGTATTAAAGAACTCTGTCAGACCATCTGACTAAAAATATCGAAAATCTTTTAACCGCTGTAGGTCGTTGCAAGGACCCAAGGATATATGTGATAACGTATTTTTGACAATAAGGTCATTTACACGGCGCTCTTCCCAGAAACCGCAGTGTTTTTGAAACCACTTTTTGTTCGTACCGCGTTTGTCTCAATAATTATTAGCCAATAAAGATAATATTTCTTGTAAGAAAAATTATAATACTCTCACTACGTTCACTATCAATAACATTATAATTACATTTAATACATTTCATTGCTTTTAATTTTAATCGTTTTGGTAGCTTTGCTCAAAAAAACATGTTCCAAACGTTTTCAAATAAATCAATTTTCAATTATAAACTAAAAGATTTCCAGTTATAAAAACAACTTTATAAACAAATGTAATGAATTAAAGTATGTCTGAAAAGGAAACCAATGTTGTATTATGTCAGAAAATAGATTTTGAGTTAAAAATTTATATAAAATTGTTATAAAAAATTTGATTTAATAAAAAATAGGCGTTTGTATCAATTAAAAGATAAAATCAATACCCAAAATTTAATTTCGTTAAAAAAAACGTAAGAAAAAATACCTCTTGAGTAAGTTCTGCTGTACTAGTTGGTTCATTGGGTATTTGCGAAGAATTTGCTGGATCTGGTGATGTCATATTTCTAGCTGGATTAGTAGAAAGCGATATACTGGGTCCCGCAATAGCCATGTCTCTTGCTGATTCTTCGATGTTTAACAAGTATGCATGGATATCATTTAAGCCCGAATTTATTCTATTGTATCTTCCTAATGAATTTAAGTCTTCAAATAAATCTCTCTGATAATTTAAAAGCATGGAGTCTAAATTTTTTGGATGTACAAATATAGGACGATGTACTATTGTATGAGCATCGGTGTGCCATCTTGAACCATTGTTTAGATCCAGTGATCCTACACCAATGGTTTGAATATCCAAACCAAGGTAGGATTCAGGGTCTATTCGTAGTAAAGAAAGCAGCAATGCCAGCTGCAGCAGTTCGTCGTGATATAATTTCTTTATACATAACATTGTGACTTCTTGAGTTAAATCACTTCCACTTATCAAATATATATGCAGTCCAAGGTAATTTAACGTATTGTCACAGTGGCTTGGCAGTGATGTTAAATACAAAAAATAAATAAGATGTTTCGAGCAAACAACAGTTCATGTTGAAATGTTGATTATCACTTCAGATTAATGTTAAATGTTTAATAATGTTCGCACTGTTATTTAAATTTCATTTAATTTGATGTGAACAGAGTTTTATATATGCTATCTTCCCATAACAAAATATTAAAACCCAAGTTTCAGTTGTTATTAAGGTTAAACATCACTATTCAAATCTTCTTTCTTCAGTATAATTGATGCAAATTTTAAATCCAGGTAAGAGGGACTTGCAACGTTCTTGTAATAGCAACTTATTCGACGGACTGTCAGGATGAAAATAAAGATCCTGTGCTCTCTTTTAAACAAGTATAGGTCAGTTACACGAACACAAAAATAACCTCAAAACACACACTGGCCACGTCAAACTTCAGTGCACGTCGCGCACGTCCCACGCATGCCTCGAATTTCGTTTGACAATTCAAGAAGGTGCACGTTTGAATTAGTGACAACACTGTCCTTACATTGACAAGTTATGACAAATAATGTAATATGTAAAAATTCAACGAAATAATAGAAAATTGACAGATCCACAAACTAGATCGCGCTTTGAAATGCTTATAATTTCTTTTTCTTAACAAACATTCGAGGCCCGCGACAAGCGCCAAGTACCTCTTTTCTTAAATCATTTTGCTCCAATAACGTTATAATTCTAATAATGATAACGTTAAACTGATACAATGCAATCCATTTCACGGAGAAACGAACTAGCGCGCACCTTCCTGAGAGAGATCGTTCACGATATGTGACTCAGCACTCACTCCGACAACGTCGTTTCTCAGGGCCGCACCAAGTACATGTCTCTCCCTATATGTTTCTATTACCCACCAATCCATTTACTTTTAAGCTTACCGTGTATGTACTGATATTCATTATATTAAACTTATTATCGTACAATCTACATGACTTATTTTATTATATTCGGTATTCTTATAGTTTCTAGTTAAATAGCTATTGCAGTTGAAATAATTAGTTATTATAATTAAACCTATTGTTATATAGGGTACATAATTTATTGTACAATTCTTAAAGTTTAAAAAATAATAGTATTGCTACGGGATCTGGTGTAAATTATTTGATGTTTGTACCGTGTATTTAATTTAAACGCATGGAAAGTTAAATATTCGATACATGTTTATACCTATTACCCAATTAAACTTTAAGATGAAATAGAAGTGGTATAACAAAACAATGGTTACGCACGCATTTCGATTAGTTTTTGATTTTTTAAATGGAAAATATCGATACAGCAGTGAAATAGAACGTACATGCTCTTACATAATGATGTATTTCATTGCATTTTTTACTAGTTTTTTCTATTAAGTACATAGGAGTTCATGCTGATTGCATAATGATTTCTTTTAACGTTTATTACCCTATACGAAAGTTTATCAGTACACGTTTTTTCCTACATTGTCAAAACACACTATAATGTAATCTTAAATGCCTTAGTTGTTTTGTATGAACAAATTGCGAAAATGTGTTTTAAAAAATATTTATTCTTTAATTTCATCATCGGATCAGGGAACATACAAAATAACGTAAGAATTGTTAAAATTGCGTGGCTTTTATGAATATTCATACGCGCACACAAGAACACATACTTTATTTATTTATCTTATTTAATTGTATATAAATCAAACAGCACAAGTTGTAAAACTAAAACAATATAAATTTATTCATTTGCGACTTTTTTTAATAGAAAATGCTTGAGCGTATGTAAATCAAGTTCATAGGTGAGACATGGCGACGCGACGTTTACAGAAGCTGAGATTCTTTGACAATAATTTGAATTTTTCTCTAGATAACATACTACCATAGTTATAAGCATAGTAAAACAATAAAAAAGATTCTTATTATAAAACAGTAATTTGCTACAATGTACAATATATTGTTTGTTAAAAGTAAAAATACGAATTGAAAAATGTATCAATAAGATAAGTAATTTAAATTACAATCAAGGGACTTCGCTTGTGCTCACGTTGGCACGCTGTACGCAGTTGCCATATTTAAATGACTAATACAAGTTTTACGAGTGATGAAGTAAATACGTGGATACATGTTTGCGTATATGCGTTTGTGTGCGTATGTACACGTTTCGATCGCATGCACATGCGCAATACATGCAACTATACCAGATATGTATATTGAAAATTTTCAAACACTTAAATCCTTACCGTACACACAGGCTTCGTTGACTTCAAAACTGTTGCCTCATTGCCGGGTGACAATGATGTCATTCGCGGTAAATCCTCCATTTCAATCATGTCGCCGTTAATTTTTAACTTTTAAATCGTGCACCACGTATTCGTCAAGATAAATCACCTAGCCACTGGTCAAGACCGACTGGAGAATCGTCACTGGTAATTACAAGCATGGAAGTAAAATAAATTACGTCACTTAACCGTAGGAGGCACTGTTACTCACAAAGATGTGTCGTTTGTTAAAGGTACATTGTACACTGATTCTCGATGTTTACCTTATACGTTGATTAAACTCTTATGAGAATTGCTTCTGCAATGGAATTTTCTTTCACACGATAATACAATTACTAAGATTGAAGCGAAAGCAACCGTCTATCGTTCCAGTGTAAGATAATTGGAATTTTTCTTGTGCTACGTCACCGCAAGGAAAGACCGCGCTATTCGAACATGGCGGAAACGACTACTCGTGTGTTTCTACTGTATCGACGTTTCCGGATCCGGTGAAACGTCATTGGTCTGTATAGTTGTTACGAAAATACAAATTTCAAGTGCGTTATTATACACATTAAACAGTACTTTGAAGTTTCTAGTTGTTAAAATATTATTTAATGTTAATTAATAAAGTATATTATACTTGTTCAGCTTAATTCTCTTAATGAACTGCCGAATTTGTTAGTGTTTGAATAATTATCTTTTTGTACGAGGATAATAAAAGTTATTGCATTGTAATGAATGGAATGTAAATTTGAAAATATTTTAAACATATAATATATTCATTTGTATGCTTGTACATATCTTGCATTCTTTTATACAACAAAATATCTATGACAACAGTATAATAGAGAACGGTATACAATATATAGTTATATCGGTAATTCATTCATAAATATGAGATGCAAAACAGCCTCGTTCTCTTAAGACATAACGGTATCGGGTCGTGATTGCATAAAATACATAAATAATTATGTACTTTTCATGATTACTCTGATGTACAGTCTTTCGGTAAGAACTTTTGCATCGGTTTTTATTCCGCCTCTACAGTTTCATTTATACTAAAGTTATATTATAATAGATTCCAAAAACGAACGTACCATTTTGTTAGAGAAATTTTCTTTTTTTTCTTTCTGTTAATATCTCAATAAAGAATGGGCTTCTTTTTAATACTGTTAGACTTTTGTGTATAGTAATCAAAGAAAATAATTACCGATCAATTCTGGTGAAACAATTATTATCGTGCGTGATTTTTTGTACTAATTACGCTTACGGTTAGAGATATACCTACATAAATCCGTTGATAGAAGGAACATGATAATCTGTGCGACATTTCTTTTTTTTTCATTTTTCAAACGAAAGCGACAAGAAAATTGCATACGTATTTCTTAAACAAGTACTTTCGGGTATAATATGAATGTTTGTAAAGTAGGCCAAATCGGTTCGTGCTCCATTAACATTGAAATTAGAGGTCATGCTTTTTAACGCGTATTAAACATATCCATAATTAAATTTTTGTAATTTTTAGTACATGGTACACGTGCACTATTTCACTTGTATTAACGTATCCGTTCATACTGTTAGGCGAGAAACGCGAGAAGAATACGGGAAACGTATTTGGCAAAATTACTTAAAGGATACACAGATTGAAGTACGGATACGTTTAACACACGTGAAATAGAGACCTCTAATTGAAATCTACGAACCGTGTATCTTCGCAAATATCATGGAGCGATTTTGTTCGTTTATATCTTTAACAAGAGAGAATATCCGTTAGTGAAAAAATATGCTATTTACACGTAAGGTATCTAGTTGTGCGTCGATTCGTTAATTCGCCGTTAAGGGTGTATCAAAATCTACTTAAAGGGATGAACGATCTATGCAGCCGTTAATTCTCATACAACCTAATTCATATAACTAAAACAAATCACACTTTTTTTCATTACAATTCGAAAGAAAATGTTGAAGAAAATGGCGAATAATTAAAAAAGAAGTACCTTTCCAGAATTGTTTTTTCTTTTTCGAAGGTGTAACGGTATGTGTGTATTTTGCAAACTGCTAGAACTGAAATCAATAGCTTCAAATCAAGCCTAATTTGTTTGCAGTCGCAATGAAAAAGAAGGTACAATTTATTTTAGTTAGATGTATTATACTGCAAACCCTTTTTTTCTTTACCAGTTATAAATATGCACGCGTATCATTTCGGCTGGAGAATCCTAATTCGTTAAAAATCGACGAACTTACGAAGAGATATTATCCCTCGGGATTAGAAGTAATTGTACTTTGATCGAAAATATATAAACTTTGAAAGAAAGATGCATATTATTTCAGGGAATTTCGAATTGCAAGCATTGTCGGCAGTTTTTTTTCGATAGATTAAAGATAAAGATTGATCGTGTTCTATGTATCCTAGCGTGACAACTAATTACAATATAAATGTTTCTCTGTTAGATAACGAGTGCATTAACGAGAATGATGAGAACACACAAAATCCAATATTTGTAAAGTTCGATCGACTATCGGATTCGATCGAGTGGAAGGTAAGAGAGGCATAGAAAATAGTTTTCGAGGAATGAAGTACGAATGTATACAGGGTGTCACAACATTTTTGATACTGATAGAAATTCGTTTCGTGTATGGCCTTATTCTCTTTTTTTCGGTAATTATATAGACTATGGTACACCTCAGCGATTTCAATGATTTTTACATATACACCCGTCAATAACTTTGAATTATATGACTTGTGCACACTATGCTGTGATTAGTAGTGTTAGTATTAACTGATAATGTTCAATCATAGTAACTTATTATAAAATTTAATATGAATTGTAATTTTTTCAAACAATAGCATATCAAATCGGTAAAGTGTACTTATTCTATATAGTTACCTTTTTTTCTTCTACTATACATACTATACACAAGGTACCATCATGTCAAAGTATTTTCAGTACCAATTTTTTTGTTTTTCTCTCATATTTGTAGGGTCGGTTCTGTACAGTTATTATGGCGTTTTAACCTTCTAATGCTAAATCACTTTGTCACTTGTTACAAATGGTAAGAAATTAGCGATGGGAATCGGGATAAAGTTTCAGAATATAGTGATTTAAGGATGTGCGGGTACCTGATATTACAGGCTCGGACGGGTGTCCGATACATGCGTGCAGTCGGATAGCTCGACTATTTCGGGTCAGGTCAGATAAAGTCGGGCAGATTCGAACGAGCTTCCGCGGACCGCAGCCCGCGACCCAACTCTCATGTGCTTGTTAATGCTTGCAATAAACATGTTCAAAATCTATTTTGTATAAAATGAACATACAGGTGACATCGAATGAAATTCATTTCAAATAAATTCGTTACAAGTATTATCTTTCCACACAAAAATTATCTTATTCCAAAATTCCACATAAAACAGATTTTGTAAATGCTTATTGCAAGTATTAACAAGTAAATAAGAATTAGGCCGCGGCCCGCGGCCCGCGGGAACTCGTCCGAGTCTGCCCGACTTTATCCGACCTCATCCGAAACAGTCGGAGTACCCGACTGCACGTATGTATCGGACACCCGCCCGATGTTTTCCGAACCGACCCGAATAGTCGGGAACCTGACACATTAGTCGAGTCGCACATCCCTAATAGTGATACGTTGAATTCAAACAAACTGGAGCAGTAATGCAACGTGACTTACCACCTTAATTTTTCTGTCGTCGTATACATTTTGTATTTATGTCATATATTGTTGTATATATTCTTTGCAATTATATTCGTTAGTTTCTAATCTTATATGTTTTATTATAAATACTGTTGCATTTTGATTATGATAAATATTTAAACATATTTATCAAGAAATTGTAATGGGTTTATTTTAAAAATAGATGTCAAGCAATGATAAACACATTGTACTGATAACGATATTTGAAATTAAAATGTCTCTTTCAAAGAAGACTACGAATATTTATGCGTTTATGCATTATACGTATTGTGTTACTTTCAGAGATTGTCCCGATGCTCATCACTATAATAAACAAATCAAACATTTCCCTGCTATATTGTTTCATGTTTATTGTCGATAGGTAACTGAAACAACATAGTAAGTAACGTAAAGATTCGTAATTCCAAAACCGGCTACAGGCGTTTAGTCCAAACTGCTCTCTTCGGTTTGTGTCTCAACCAGATGGCGCAATATCATGTAGAAGGCACTTAGGATCAAAGGGATGTAACTAACATATTTTGCAAATTTTTGAATTAAGAATCATTTCTTTCAAATCGTTAAATGTAATGTTATAATACTTACTGAGCGTCCCTGAACTAAGTAAACCTCTGTACAGTCCACGATAAATGATCTCTACAAACACTTCAGACCGAACACGTGTAGCCAGCTTATCACTCCGCGTTAATTAATACGAATTTAATTTCATCAATTAGCATTTCAAGGTTACGAACGATACCAAAATGTGAGAAATATTTTCTTAGAAAGGCCAGCACAAATTTGGCATAACGTATGTTGTATGCATCTAGATACCTTTTTTAACACCTTTCGATCACACAGGGCACGCAACATTCTTATGCTTAATATATACACACCATACAAAGCATTACATGATTACATACGTTAATTTTATACATTTCTTCCATAATAAAATATCCGATTCTCTATTATGTTATACTTCACACGGAGAACGATCAGCTCCACGCGAGACTTGCATCCCGCGCATCCAGCAATCGGCAACGACATTGATACATAACACACACGGTACATCAACTTTTTCGCAGTTATCTTTTGGGGAACATAGAGAATCCTCGCAAACCGTTCTTTTGTTCGAGGCCAAATTTTCTTTGTCTGATTGACGCGTCCTCGTGAAACTAAAATTCTCCTTGACAAAGACTCGGCCCAATTTAACCCGTCCAATTTCTCTAATGATGATATGCTACCTTATATTTAATCGATCGTTTTCACAATCATTTCGGGCATTTCTTGTAATAACGTGATTAATACTAACGTAATTTAATCACGTTCCTTCATTTTATTTACAGTTAATCACACCATACGTATTTTAGGAGCAGCCAACTTCCTTTTGTTCCTTTTTTTTTAATGAATTTTTAACGATTTAGTAACTGTAACTACTTGTTGCGTTACCAAATTTTTATTTAAAACATTTTTCTCTATCTCTTGTACTTTAATTAGTTCAAGCTAATGTGGGTAAATCTACCCATACCAGAGTGCTAGATCTTTCTATGATTGAGTTGGATCTTCGATTAAATTATGATACTTAATTGACAAATAAAATTGAAATTTATCTCGTAATATAACAGCAGCTGCTCCTTTTATACAACATACGACTGTGGATTGTAAAATGTGTAAATGTATAGTAATTTTCGTCAAATTTATAGCAAGCTCACTGCACTCTGTTGAATTACTGTACTGGATGGATCAGGAATGGGGTTTGGGTATCACGTGGAGGTGACTACACTGTCACTTCTTGTAATAAATTACAGCGCATTTGGGAGACTAAAGTATCAACGTTAATAGGCGTACGTCGTTAGCCCTATTCTTTTTTTTTTTTTTTTGGAAAATACTGGGTTAGCGACTACCCTAGGAACAACGTTGCCTCTTTCGTCACTATAGTTTCATATTTTTTTTTTCCTCTTTTTATACATAGTAAAATCCAATCTACACGCGCCGCGTGTATAATAAATAAATACTTTCGAAAGTGCGTATAAATCGGTGTATAATGTGTTACATATAAACAATTCGGCTCTGTTACAATTTGTCAGAAGATTTTTTTCAGCAGATATTGAAACATTCTTTTCTTTTTTTCGTTCGGTGAAAATAATCTTTTGACTAGTACGATGAATATGGGTCGTTTTTTTGATCTGCGAATTATATCTTAAATAGTGAAGAAATGATTCGATTGGTAGGTGAATAGTAACAAAGACCTTACTTTTCCATAGGCGTCGACCACGAGGATATCAAGTATCGATGACGACCATAAAAAAAATCAGCACTGTCACTGAATGATTGAATGACAACTTCGCATCGTTCTTGTCCCATTCCTGACGAGCAAAAGGTTAACTCGTGTGAACGTTCAAATAGTTTACAAGCCATTGATCGACGGCTTCCGCGTTTTCTTTCACCCAATGTATATTAAATTTGATTGTTTCTAGGCTCTGTTCCAATGCTCGTCGACCACTTCCGACGTCTACTTTCTTGAAGAACTCCGACACCTATAACAGAATGTCAAATACTCTTGTTATCGTTTAACCCTTTCACTATTGTAGTCACTCGCCACGAAACGATCTATGGGCAACTATGTATATTCCTACGATTAGGGATGTGCGGCCCAACTAATATGTCGGGTTTCCGACTAGTCGAGTCGGTTCGGAAAACATCGGGCAGACTCGGGCGAGCGTCCGACGCATGCGTGCAGTCGGGTTCTACTACTATTTCGGGTTCGGTCGGGTACACTCGGGCTGATTCGGACGAGCTCCCACGGGCCGCAACCCAACTCGCCCAACAATCCCGTAATATCAGGTACCCGCACATCCCTAATATGGGCAACTATAGTCCTTTGATACAAAACATATGTCAGTCTCCTTGCAAACTGACGATTCGTAGTACGAAGCCTGAACGATGTGCTTTTTTAATTACTTACCTCGTAATAATCGTATTCCGTGAAGAAATCCGAAATCACGACCGATATCAATCCCCCCATTGTGAGCGAACCATTTCCAAATAAAGCATGTATTTGTGGCCAATATGCTTTAAGATGACGCCACGCAAGGAATTGACCCTCGGAATTGGTAGCGACAGAGGCTATAACAGTTTCAACGTCTTGTGACCTCACCATTTCTCGATCCAACGAACGTAAAAGGTAACGTTGCAGTAACCAATGATCTGTTGTCGCTCCCAGGGCTTGCAGCATTATTCTTTTCTCACTGGGTACCTGAGTTTGTTGATAATTCTGCCAACAATGATTCCACTCTTTTTCACCGCCAAATTTTATTCCTGTATATAAAAACACGTGATACGTTTCGTTTGGAAAATGGATTTCAGTTACGGTCGAGCTCCAGTATCCGCGGCTAACCAGGCAGAACGGGAGGACTATATTTTTGTAAAATAATGTTACCTGCAACGTATACAACATCTCGTATATTAGGTGCAATTCGTTTGCCTCTTAACATCCAATCTTCGAAGAGAGTTTTTGCTGGTTTAACGACATCTTCTAACTTTATAGACACAGCTGATTGAAGTACCGCAATTCTTAATAATCTGTCAACAAATGGATATAACATTATAATAAATCAGACATTATTATTTAAAACTTTAAGCGTATTATTTCATTAACCAATTCCGTTTTTCAGTCACCGTTCATATTTACTTTTTCAAATGAGATCCTTCGTCTGTCCAACCGACATATTTTATAACCGGTGTTAATAATTTTTTCAAAAATGTAATATACTTTTTGTATCCGGTACTTTCGCTCAGCCTTCCCTTCCAGGAGTGTAAATATCCCAGTGCTGTAACCCACGGCACGTAATCCCTTTCATTCAAAAGATACAAAGATAAGTCGAGCGGTATCGTAGCGTTTAATTCGCCTGCTTCGCATAGGGTAAATGCATCATCGATAAGATTAGCACGATCAGCTGGACTGAATTTCGTATGATCATTTAACAAGGTGGTAATGATTGATATCCACATTTCTTCTGGATAAGTTACCCGATAAAATCCACTTTGATTCACATTACATTTTATATACTCGACGTCGCTCGGTATTTCAAAAGTTACTGAAAATAAATAACGCTTATTTCATATAATATGCAAATAAAATTCATACATTGATTATATCAACGATTATTCGCTTAACGTTAACAAAGAGTACTACAAGAAAATTTTCGTTAGAACTGTCCTATGTGTTACCATCAGTTAAATTCATCCATACGTTGTGAAGCTTGCGCGGTTCTTTGTCTGTGTAGTAGCTCAACGGGACGTACCACTTGTAGTCATAAGGTGACTTTGGTTGTGATACTTCTGTATCGTTTTCTTTTGGTGAAATTAGAAATCTCTTCTGGGTCGCCGTGATAGTGTTCTTATCACGAGTGATTGTAATCAATGGGAAACCCATCTGTTGGGTCCATGTGTCCATAATAACCTGTCAATATATAACATTTGATTTTATTAATACTAGAACTACCAAAGGGGTCGAAATGTCTAGTTTCCATTTTCTTATTTTAAATTATTTTATCGAGGTATTTTTATTGAAATGTATCTTGGCTGTTATCGAGCTAAAGTATGAATGTATAGAGGGTGTTCGACAACAGGTGGGCAAAACTTTAAGGGGTGATTCTAGGGATCAAAATAAGATGAAAATCAAGAATAACGAAATAGTGTTTACGGCTTTGTTTTCCAATAATTAACGTTTAAAAATTCGAATAAAAAGCGCCTGAAACCTGCAATCCGGCCAGCACCGACGACTGAACGTCAGGTCAGCAGGGGTCGGTACAGTCATAACCAAGAATCGTTGAATAGTAGAAACTTACCTCGTGCTATTCTGTTTCTCGGTACTGCGGCATTCGGCTTCGATTCTTGGTTATGACTGTACCGACCCCTGCTGACCTGACGTTCAGTCGTCGGTGCTGGCCGGATTGCAGGTTTCAGGCGCTTTTTATTCGAATTTTTAAACGTTAATTACTAGAAAACAAAGCTGCAAACGCTATTTCATTATTCTTGATTTTCGTCTTATTTTGATTCCTAGAATCACCCCTTAAAATTTTGCCCACCTGTTGTCGAACACCCTGTATATTAAATTATGTTTCATCCTTTATCTATTTCGTAATCTACATTATTTTTAACTTAAAAATAAATGTATATCAAACGTCGGTAGTTCTAGTGTTAAATATGAGAAATTATAGACGAAGATTTTGGTAGCCGTAGGTCCGAAAAATTTTAAACCGGTCTTTATTGCAAAGAATGTGTTAATATTTTTATGATTCACCGTAACTGGATTATCAAACATCCGTTCCAAAGGTTAATTATCGTTTCCATCTTTTCGATAACAACATTAATCTATTGATAAAATTATATACACCAAATTGATCCTCATTTGATATCATTTAAAAGATTAAAAAATACATTTATTTGTACGTACTTTCACGTCAAATGAATTATTAGCATGTTTCGTGAACGCTGCCCAGAGGTCATTTGTGTCTGCATTTCCGTATGAATGGGAAGTCAAGTAATCATTTAATCCACTTTTAAGAACATCTTCACATAGAAAGCCCTCGAGCATGTTGAGAATGGAAGCACCCTTACTGTAACTGATATCATCGAATATAGCTTCTATCTCGTTAGGGTCTTTAACGGGCACGCTTATAGGATGGCTGCTAGCTAAGGCATCAAGATCGAGTGCCGGTTGTGTTTTATCTAAAATAAATTGATCCATCATGCTCCATTCCGGTGATATATAATTTACTCCTTTGTATTCGAAAAAACTGGCTGCTCCTTCGTTCAACCATAGATCATTCCACCATTTCATAGTGACAAGATTGCCGAACCATTGATGGGCTAATTCGTGTGCTATAACTACAGCAACCCATTCGTGAGCGTTAGTCGATGTTTCTTGTGGATCGTAAAGTATAGATGTTTCTCGGTACGTAATTAGGCCCCAGTTCTCCATTGCACCGGCAGCAAAATCAGGAATAGCTATTAAATCTAAAGAAAATTCATAATATTGATTTAATAATAAAAGTAAAAAATAAAGATAATAAAACAAATACTTTTCCAGCTTTACACCCTTTATGGACGAATCAGCATTGTTAATGGTGAAATGCTTTAAATTACGTACCTTGTTTGGGCAATGGATAATGTACTCCGAAAAAAGATTCGAAATAGTCCATTGTACGAGCAGCTGTGGTTACCGCATACTTTGCTTGCGGTAGCATCGCTTCTGCCGCGTAAACGCTCACGGAAACATTTCTTTTAGTTAACTCGGAAACTCGCTTAAAATCGCAAACCACGAACGCCACTAAATATGTTGACATCTCCACAGATTCTTGGAAGTCATCGCGGAGCTAAAGATTTAATATACTTTAAATTATTTAACTATAAATGTAATTACTAACAAATATAAAGCATAACATCATGAAAGGTGTCATTTTTTGTATCTTTCAAAAATTCAAAATGAGTACGATACAATTTTTTGGAGAAGTATAAAAACAGATGAACAGATCTTACCCCTTTTTAATTTCGAATAAAAGGAATATGATTATTTTACTTACCAATCCTGTTCCCATATAAAATCCCGCATCTTCGGTATTCATTACAGGCATATTGCACAATGCAATATGAAATCTATCCCTGAATATTGAAACTTTAAATTTTGCTTTGAATTGCGGCTCGTCGAAACACGGAAACGCTGAGCGTGCATACGTCGGCTCAAAGTGAGTCGTAGCAAGAAACCTAAAGTAGAAAAGAAATTCAGTTACTATCTTATTCAAGATAAAATTACGCCTTGAATATTCTTTCAAACAGAAAATTATTACAGTTTCAGAGTGACCTCTTTTCTCCTTCTGGCGTGACATAGCTGCTAAGGTAGAATCCTTCGAGTTCACTCGTGAGCTTTGAAATGAACCTGAGGTGTACCGTATAATTTCCTCTTTTTCGAAATTTGCTCTCCTCCAATTCTAGATATAGTTGCTGATGTTTCGGATACTCCAGCAATTTTGCGATTTTCAATCTGTGACCTTTACGATCTTGAACCATCTGAAAAATAATGATCCATAATTAATTCGGAACTATACCTTCAGTTAATTTGTAAATCCACTCATGTTAGAGAAATATGTATAGAATTTAAAGAATACTTGCTTTTTCATTTATTGTCAAATTTTTGCTATGGAAGACGATATAGTTGGTCTCTTTATCGACATAGAATTCGATTGTGACCTGTCCTGGAAATGGAATTTTTTTTTTATTTTTATGTGTCTTCACTGTATATTATATGGAAAACCATTTAAAATTTCAGATGAAAGTTAATACTATTGTTATCATAAATATTATGTTATTTACCTTTTACATCTAAAGTGGTAAGATTTGGATGGATGGTAATGTTGTACCTAGTAGGATGCGCAAATGTTGGTAATCTTACATTGTTCCAAGGAAATACCTGCAACAATTTATTTTTAGTTTCATATTAAAATGTATCTTACGATTAGATACCATTTTTTCTATGAGATATACATTATGTTGACATCCACATATGTAATCATTGGCGTAACTAGGACTTTTTTCTGAGGTCGATCGGATCCCTTAGAAATTTCAAAATTTTAAAATTCTGGATTATTTTCTATGTGCTACGATTGTACTATGGTTATACTACGATTGTACTATAATTTCTTATTCAAACTGTACGATATAAATGGCCAACAGTCAAGACTCAAGACTTGACTACGGATTACAGTGACGTCTTGGAATTGATTTCCCGCCAAGACGTTTTGTGTCTACATTTAGCTTTAAAGGAAGACTTTCAGGCGCAAACTTTAAATAAAATGTGACAGATACACGTAAGTACATACACTCTCGTCTATAAGCATGTTATCATCTTACTAGAATAAATCTGGATTACATTACAGACTTAATCATTCATTTCACATGTGATATTGATAATAATTTTGATGCGTTTCAGATATCATTTTTATTTTCATCATTTGTTAAATATATTTAAGTATTTTTATATAAAAAAAGGTAAACCATTTTGACAATTTTGACAGAGACTTTAATTAGAAAGTGATAAGTAAAAACAAACGAAGAGTTAAGCATAGTACATAGCATTTAGCCATTGTTTCATGTCAGAGATTATATTTCGAGGATATAAGCCGGCGTGCATTGTTCATTGTGCTATTTGAGATTTTCGACGAGTATACACATTCTCAATTACTCGTGCAATATGAGTGGAATATGTGTCACGGAATACATGTTTTGCTCCACTTCGACATTACGATCATATAGACAGTAAGGCAAACATAAGCGACCATACCTCTCCGTTAGTTGCAAGAGGTTCGCTGCTTTTTTCATCGTCCTCGATTTCCAGGTTCGCTGGCTTTTCTCCAGCGCAAGGGCAGTCTACAAAAATTAGGCGAATAACGTTGTGAAAAGTAATAATGAGAAAAACATAATAAACAGTTAAATAAAATTACAGTGTTGAATATCAAATGAGCGATTTAATTAATTTAACACGATTTTATGACATAAAAGTGTCAGAATTTCTAATCAATTTATTAATTAGGCAAAATTTGACGAAAAAAACTAATAATTTACTATTTTATCATCGAATTAGGTCAATAGCCTTTCGAAGATGATGTGATTTTTGATTATTGAAAATTTTGAAAATTAAAAAAAAAACACGATCTCTGATGTTATTATACATTATGTATATTTTGAAATTTATGTAGAGATCCCAAATTTTTGAGCAGAAGTATATATGAACTAAATAATAAATGAATTTAAAAGTACCATTCTGTGGTCCCGCGAAGGCAATGATGAGTGATATGGCGAAAAGGATCGCAAAAACGACCGTGGCTACGCAGAGAGCCCTTTTTTGAGAACACACAATTCCATTGTGCTCGTAAATACTACGTTTGTGCAATCCTGTGTTGCTGTCTCCTGGAACAAAGGACCTCCTGAAGAATAATTCCACGTTCTATGTACCGCTTAATTAGGTAAGTAAAGAATTTTTAATAATAAGGGTGGCGTGACGGTGAACGTATTAGGGCCTGAACGTACTAGCCTGTTTTTAATGAGCATCAAAATTCACCTACTTTTAACACGATCCATTATACTCGTGTCATAAAATATACGGCGATAATAAAATTTTCAAACATGAAAATCTTGTGTGTCAAACGGTACGAGAAACACGTCTAGTTTCGTGTCCTCGGGTACACACTTGACCCAGATTTTTCATTGTTGAGCGACAGTCCACAGCTACGTTAATGCAGTTGCATGAAAACACGTGAAACACTTATTGCGATAGTTGTATAGCAATAGTTTTATAACTTTCAAACAAACCTCGATTGTCTTCGGGTAAATCGTTAAAAAGTCGTAAATAAAAGGTACCGTACATAGTTCCAACAGATGTGGTACGTGCAACGCATCATTGAGCTCAAGTAACACAATGGAGTTCGACGTAAACATAGCTTTAGAATGGAGTATTTTAAGAACCATCTAGTTCCACCGCAGACGTGCATTTGCATAAAAATTTTATCAACACAAGCGTATTGTTACGCGTCTTGTTAGAATACGATGACAATACAGGGATGAGCAAAAGTAGGTGAGTTCAGTAGGTCTTCTATTGTTATTTATTTATTAATTATTATGTTCATGGGTCGTATTTCCTCGGAAATATCGTGGAAAGAGGGGAACCCGGTGAAGGGGAGGGCTACGACGAGGGTTAGAAACTCCTGAACCCCGAAACCCGGCAACCCGAAAAGCCTATGGGGGACGTCGTGAACCCAGGTATCCGGGAAGCCTATGCCCGGGGGTTGGAGTTAGAAGAACGCGGGACACCACTGTTTTTCATGGGATAGCCTAATTTGATCGCGAGTGTACCAAATTATCCTTTTAATTACATAAAAGAATTAAATATAATTTACGCAATTATAAAAATTGAAGTAAAATAAGTAATAATGAAGTCAATTATGCAGATGACTATTAGTTTAATCACCCACCCATATTATGATCTATTTGTGTACTATCTTTTGTTATCCATAGTGCTTGTTTACACTTTGATGGGCCAAATTAATTACCGTATATCACAGAAAATTTACTCTTCTTTATTCAATCAACTGGACGTTTATGCTGAATTTTTCTTTTTAAAATATGAATAATTAATTAATACAACAACAATATTTTCATACATATATTTTCACAAAATAAACATTCATGTGAATGAATAAAGAAGAAAACTGAATATTCTCTAATACTGAATAGATAACTCATGGGAATCTTATCGATGCATTCAGAAATAAATTACATAGATCGTTGTATGATTGTCACGATAGAATATCTTATCACCACACTATGCTCTACATTGAATGTTTACCTGTCTGTTTATAAACAAATAAAAATGATTTACATGAAAAATAGAAAGATCTTTAAAATCTAAGCGATAAACAGTGAAATAAGATAGGCGGGAATGGAGAACAGGCGGGTTTTCTGTTTCAATTTGAAAGATCAGAAGCTTCCCTTTTATTGATCGCACGCACGTGCTTCTCGTATAGTCTATTCGCAGGCCGCAGGGTCGTAAGTGGGCCATCTGGTCGAACGATTTGAAAGAGAAACGAAGAGAATCGCGCGTACGAAAAAGGTAACAGTTACTGTCAAAAAGAATTCCTCTACCTATCCATCGCCTTTAGAGATACCTTACCTGTCAGGATGGCAACGTCATCGACATCCTGCTCGCTCATCGTGAACCGATTCGGCGGCGGTCTCCGACGAACGATTTCTTTTACCTGACCGTCGTTCGTAGCATATAAGATTTTGATCAAGGGCTCTCTCTGTTCAGCCAGAATTTGGTCGGTCGTACTCGTGGTTTCCTGGTTCGCCTACCAGTTACTTCCGTTGGCTCGTGTGCCAAGGTCAAGGAATCTTCCGCGGAAGACTGACAGATTTTCACTGCTCGTGATTACCGTTTTAGGCCTTCTTTTCTCCCTTCGTCGGAGGGGGAGGGGGGGAGGAGCAGTTTAGAATTTTCTGTTCGCCGAGTTCGTTCGAGCGAGTCGAAGCAGGACTTGTTCGTTGGCCACGAGCACGAGTACCAGCACCAGCACGAGCACGAACACCAGCACAGGCACTAGCACAGGTTGGGAAAGGCCGAGTGAGAGTACGGGCGAGTACGAGGAGGTCCCGAGGATGACCCGCGACAACGTGACGATCCACGAGCTTACGAAGTCACCGAACGAAGGCACGACAACGTCGGCGAGTCTATGACGTGCGACGTGCCTTGACATTTCATTGGCATTAAAGCTTGGATATAGCGACTGCGGTGTTGGGCAGAAATGGCGACTTTCCAAACCCCTTCGGTGGTGGTCCGCTTCACGGGGGTGGATTTGCAGCCCCTCGCCACACGCCGCGCTTCATCTCGCCACCCTTCCACGGCGGGGGTGGTTGCATTCACAGTGGCGCCATCCGTGACCCACCCTTTAGAATAATTTCTACCCGACTTGCCGTCTCGTTTCCACATTGTGTTGATAAGATGATTCTCTACTACCTACCCCCTATCGTTAATATTCGGATGTCGCATTATTTTTTTTTATTTTTCTTCTTTTTTGGCTTCCTATTAAAAAGAATTATCTGAACATCGTAAAATATGTACTTATAATTTTTAGGATTCTATTTTGACACCACAGCTACCGTTGTTAAAATGATTTTGTAAAGATGAATTCTAGAATTTTTATATTTTGAAATTTTTGAATTTTTGAACCTTCGAGTCTTCGAATTTTAGAATGGCGGGAAAGTGACCAGCTTCCTAGCCCTTACCTAAGTAGTTACGCCAATGTGGATTCCTATGGAAATTCGAGGGTCATTCATATATGGATGACAAAAGAAAGAAACCTTTATAAGAGTGTAAGAAATTAGAACGGATTAGTTGAATGCAAATATGGATTAGAACCATGTCTTCGAACAGTCCACGGTATGAAGAAGTTTATTGGAAGGTTTAAGATCGTCTGAAGTTCAATATCCTTGACGAACAAAGTCCCCATTGAATGCTGACAATGGCATTCGAACGGGAAAAGGAAGGAACATTTCCGTTTCTGACCTGTGAACGAAGCTTTTAGGGTTACGATGGATTTCTATGAGAAATATTTCACAGATCGCTTGTGTTCAGTTACAGAACTTTTGTTGATGAAAAGCCTAAAGGGAACCAACATACTTTTTCATTAGAATAATATTATAATTTGGACTTTATGTAAAAACAAAAAAACTCGACAAATCTCATATAATGCGTTGTAAAAATTTAACTAACATGTCTACATTTCAAAATCGAAGTAATAGTTAGTTTCATGCAAAGATTTAATGAGAGATAATGAGTAATTACTCGTAGTAGTAGTGCACGCAAGGTTACAATCATCTACCAACAGCAATTTTTATAATTGAATAGTGTAACCATGAAAGTATTTTTAGAACGGTCAAGTTTATACAACACCCTGATAAATTTGGTTAATTTCGATTCTGATCAATATCAATAGAACTGATACATTTATAGACCCCTGAACCTTTGAACTTGTGACCTTCTTCGTTTCAATACCTATAACTCCGCTTCCATTTTAGAAAACTATTCAGTTTCCGATATAAATTATTTCAATATTCATAAGTTTCACGTAGTGGACCGAAAGGAGGAAGTATATTTTTTTTCTCGCCAGTCATGTGTCTTTATAAAGATGAAACTATTTTTGGCAACTAATTATATGGTATTAGGTAAAGTTATTAGCGGAATACAAATTTTTATGCATTTGCATATATTGAAGCGTGCAAAATACTTGTAAACTGTGTAGTACGAATAAGAAAATCAAATAAGATGTTTACGACGAGAAATATATGCAAAATATGCAAATTGAGATATTTGATTAGAATATATTGCTAAGCTTTTAAAATCTACAAAGAAAAATTGTTGAGTAGAAAAACATTTTTACTGTTTAAGATTTTTTTATTATACTATAATTTATTTATTTATTTATACTGTTACCCCGAAGATGAAAATTCATTATTTTTATTATATTTCATTGTATTTAGTATCCATAATTGCAAGTATTGATATCATATTTAGTGTTATTTAATTACGTCATGTGAAAAAGTAGGTACTTAATGTCATCTAATAGCAAAACTTTAAATTAAATAAATAAATGTTAGAACGTCGCTACAACAAAAATCAAGGCTTTCAATTAGAGGTGTGCGAGTACTCGGAATTTACAAGCCGAGCTGAACTCGCTTCGATTTTTCGAGCCGAGTCGAGCGCTTGAATTTGCCGAATTACTCGAAATCGACGAACTGTTTGAAACGAAAACTCGAATATTCGAACCGTCGTAAAATTTCGATTTACTTGAAGATGAATTTTCAGCTCGAATATTCGAGTAGTTTGATTTATTCAAGTAGCTCGCTTTTGTTTCGAACAGTTGGTCGATTTCGAGTAATTCGGCAAATTGAAGCGCGCGACTCGGCTCGACCGACCGATCATTGTTCGACTCGAAATTCGAGTACTCAAATAAATCGAGTACTCGCACACCTCTACTTTCAATGTTACATGACATTCTGCCATGTGAAGAAGTAAGTACCTTTAATGTCACGTAAGAGCAAAATATTAAACTGCATAATGAAACGATACAATGCCGCGATAGCGAAAGCACCGACTCGATATCGCGTAAAAACATCCCCTTATTGGCAAGTGAGTTTGTGAAGTGAGCAAAGGAAGCGAAGTGAGCGATGGACGTGTTATCGTGTTACAAGTGGATTTTAACTCACCTGAGTTTATCGGCACCTCGGTAGTGTTGGCGGTTCCGTTCTGTCCAGGGCTCCGAGAGCTGGAGGTTCTACCTAAAGGCTCCATCCGTATCGCCTCGCTGCTTTCTCGCGTCGAAGTACCCCCTGGCATTTTGCTTTTTCCCTCTGCCTGGCTTTTTATCCAGTAAACTCGTACTGCGTGGAGGTTCGAGCGGAAGATGCACGCTTCCTTGACTCTCTATTCCTCGCGACTCGATGTGAATTACATTCTTCAACGTTGATGCTTGCGAAGAACGATGTACTCCCGCCTTTTTCTTTCTCATTCGATCCAACAACTCGGCAAATTTCTCTACAGCATGAAATTTTACTACGAATTTCCCACCGCTTCTCTACATTTCTCCCGTTACTCCTCTAGAATTTTCATTTTCGTGTAGACGGATATCATTTCGTACGACAGTCTTTTATATCATTGGTCCCCGTCACGTTGCATCGATAGAAAATCTAATCGAAAAATGTTCGTAATTTGTACAAAATGACATTTCTATATTCATCGGTTCTAGAACTAATAATGTAGATCAAATTCATCTCCTTTAGTTGCTTTGTTTTTCTCGCAATGGCAAGATTCATTACTTTTGGTAAATTGTATATAGTACGAGAGATTGTAAAATACATGAACACCAATTATAATTGCAAATTCAAAATATTTAGAACATTGTGTATATGTATATTTTATATCAGTGTAGGTACAATTGATTGCATCTTCATCTTATCATTTTCCGACAGGTGTGGTATCTGAAACAAAACATTAACATAATGTAAATTATGTTTATTTAAAATTATTTTTATTATTATTTATTATTATTTATATATTCTGCTTCAGCTCTGTTTATTAGAAACTTTATATAAATTTTTGTTTCTTTTAAACTAGTAACCTAAAGACAGGTTTATTATTATTAAACGCCATGTCCGAGTAGGTCAACATAATTACACGTTGCTTACCCTGGACATGTTCCACAAGTTATTTTTATAACAACAGCAAAGGCGTTAATTATACGCATCTATATTTTTCAGCTTTTTATATCCTCTTGTTGCGATATTCACTGAAGCATATGTACGAAAGTGTATAAAATTATTCATGCAACAGATACTGTTTCATTTTGAACTGATAAATTTTTCTAAAAAATTATAATTCGTATATAAAGGTGAGATTTAGTAGGTTGATAACTAAATTCGCAATTTGAAAATCCATCTTCCAGGATTTAAGGATTAAAACTAAAATGTTTATTAAAAAATCGTATCTCGACGCGCTTATGGAAAGTTCTCTTATTCAACGAGTGAATTTCCGATAGAATCGAACAGAAAGAGAAACGATGTATGTACTTTTCGTTTCATCCCACTTTCGTTAACTGTACAAGCATCAGTATTTGTACGCGCGTGTGGTACCCCCGGTACAGTACCTCGTGATAGAACATTGACCCTGCCCAGTCTCGCGGTCGAGAAATCCCTCCAAACAAACGAAACTAGCGAAATTACAGAGCCTTGCGTGTATACGAATCCAGATATATCCAAAATAAATGTGATTCCAAGTTTTCACCACGATTACTTAAAATCTAATCGTACAAGTGGGAATAAACTGAAAAGTAAGCATACGAAGTTTAATGTTAACCCCTAACTGGCATGGTGGTCCATTTTGTATGGTGAGCTTCAGAGAGCTCGACAGAAACGATCAGAAATTTAGAAATAATTAAAAAAAACATGAAGAAAGCAGTATCATGGATTATACTTATTTGAAAACTAGCTAAGTTAAATTAAAAAAAAAAAAGGAAATGAAAAATTGCTGAGGTCTAACAGGTTCCAGCTTACGAGTTAAAATAATGATAAAGGGTTAAAGGGTATATACACTTACCTTTTCCACAGCACACCGGAAGAAACAGGTTAAAAGGATTTCCTTTCATCCAGGAAGAAATCCAACTTGTCGATTCCCATGGAAGTCGATCATTTTTCTATATCCATCAGTGGTTTTCCTCTTATTTCAAGCGTACACCTCGTGAACCGACACCTCACCACAGACTATTTAAACATCGTACCGAAAGGAAATATTTACGAGCGCGGATGATTGATTGAATGGAGCGGGAACGGTGGTAGGGTCGGGGGTTGTAAGAAAAAGGGATCGCGTTCGCATAGTCGACGGTGATTAAAGTTTTACAGGCACGATGTTAGAAGAGACGGGGCTTCACCTTGTGAAAAGTGAAATACCGTCGTCCATGCAAACAGTGGAACGGTGAGAATGGCACTGAAGGGAGTTTGAGAATCGAGCGTGGCTAAATTTCCGGACGCAGGGAGGCGCGGCAGTCAGGATAGCCACAGGTTGCGCCCGCCTCGTTCACGCAGGCCGGGCATGGGCATCTTGGTTGATCGGGAAGCGGGGAGGACACCCTCTTTGCCGAAGCGACAGAAGGAGAAATCGATTAACATCCAGTACTACACGTTCTTTCTCGGCCTCTACGAATGGAGCCTGATGATTTCGATCGCTTTGCAACAAGCTTGCACTTGTTAGACGAACGCTCGCTAATCGATATCAGAGCAATATCTTTCTGCTCCCAGCTAGCTGGACTGTAATACTTGAAATTCTTCAATTGTTCAAGAAAAATGATTATACTTCGAATAGGAATTCTTTGTTTAGATAATGCGAGTATATAATTGTAGGGAGGTTTAATACTGGGATACTGGTCATAATCAGTAGTATATCATTAGTGATGTAATTGATGAATTGCTATGCATGCGCCATCGTTATGGATTCGAATATTCAAACGAGACTTCCCAGGAAAAATAGTGATATCCTCGCTTCTCACTCTTCCCCTGATTTGATCACAAGTGTCCATAGGAGAAAATTATTTTTAGCAATTATGGGGGATAACAGAATAAGTTGTAACTGCAACCCCTGAAAATTGAATGGTATCAATGCTCGCTCGGTAAGTATTGTAGTAACCCGGCCACGAGCGCTCATAAATGCCCGTATTTGCACGCGTGCATTCTTACAGGCTCGAGATACCTCTTCGACTCGGGCGAATCGTTCGAAGCGATAGGGTGTACTTCCCACCCCCAAAGTTTCTCGAGATCACACAGTCGAATGCCTTTCGCTTCCTGATCTAATTTACAACTCCACATCAAAGCATCGCGTATAGGACAAGGAACGCACAGAATTTCCGTGTAAATTTTACTTTTCGGTGTCAGCCCCTACCACCGATCGATAATCGCAGTAGTATAGACAGCAACGCCCGTGACAAGTCCGACTACACTCGGGTACCCGTACGGGCGATCCACCTGAACGCACCTGCCGATGCTTCAGAAGAACAATGACACAACTACAAGACTGAAAATTTTTAGTTAAAGAATTTAACATTGTTTTCATTTTTCTTAGGAGTTTAAAAGATTCATCTAATTCCTACGAAAGTACATATGTATTTTGGAATTCGTATACATTATGCAATTATCTTTCATGTGCACGAATGCATTTATCAAATTTTATTACATATACGCATATGTACGCATACAATTTTAGTACATACGCATATGTGTGATAAGTAGGTATTTGTAGACGATACAAATATCTTTACACTTCCAATTTGTGGAAATACATGGAATCAGACTGATGATTTATTGATACGTTATCTATATTTTGATAAAGAAATGAAGAAGGAGTTCAATGCTCAATTGCCACATAAGCTTGTATGCACAGTCTGTAAAGGTGTACAATATTCAGCTCTATTTAGACAAGATGGAAATGATGCACATGATGCAGGTGAGTAATGAGACATTTATAGTTAGATAAAATTATTAAAGTCATCGGCATAATTGATTCTGTAGTTCCTTTTTCACTCTATTTCTTGTAATTGCATAAACTACGTTTAATTCTCCTCTGTATTTTTAATCGATAATTGCACGTCATTTTGCATAAAATGCTTTTGAAGTTTCAAATAATTTTCTTTTGTTTTTATAACAATATTTTTATAAACAATAGTAGTTTCATAAAAATACTTTTATAAAACATTCTATTTTGTTATTTCATAAAATAAAATCTATCTGTATTAGATGTACTTTCATATCGGTTACCACGAAACTATTCTGTTCCGCAATTGGCACACAACCAATTCTACCCAGCTTATAGCTGCAGTAATTGGAATTATTATATTAGGCTGTGCGTACGAAGCGTTAAAATCAATTCGGTGAGTAATGATTCTTATCGTAACGAATATTATTTTTTTAAACGAAACTGTGTTTTTTTTTTTGAATCCATCAGTTCTTAAAAATATTTTACGTAAAAACGAATTCGGTTTCTTTCCAGACACACTGTACATAATTCCCTTTTCTTTTTTTTTTATTTAGCAATGATCTTTTCATTAAAGCTGCACAAGCCCGAAAACTTCGACAAAAAAAATTATCAAAATGGTACGTACATACTTTATTATGTATACTAAATCAAAAGAGTAATATTTAACCCTAATCATTCACTAGGGGTCTGAAAGGCCCCAACATCAACTTCAGAGACTTTTTTTTCCAAAATATGATGTCTCTAGATGATAAAAATAAAATTTCAGCCAAATGTAATCAAAATTGAAAAAGTTATGAATTTTTGAACGAAGAAGTGGTCTTTCTCTAATTTTTCAACTATCAGAACTTTTCTCAGATCTCCATATAAATTTAATACCTCAGGTTCATGTGCGTTCCTGTATTAAATACTATCTCAAAAATGTTTCAAGTCAAAATCTTCGATACAATAAATTACAGAACGGTCGAAAGTTGCCCGGGAACTATCTGACCCCGTGTTGGGAATATGTGATTTTTTAGAGGTGTGAGTGATTAGGGTTAATGTTGACACGTGTAATACTCTTGCAATCATTTTGAAAAGTTGCAGTAAAATTACTTCAATGGATCTAAAACAAAAATCGTAGATCATTGATTACCAATTAATTTATTTTCAATATTTTTCTTATTTTTGAATAAAAATACTTTATTTCAGCTCAAGTATATGCTCCGGCGTTCATCTCGCTCAAACGGCTCTTCACGGCCTTCAATTGATAATAGGATATATCCTCATGTTGATTTTTATGACATACAATGTTTACCTGTGCCTGGCTGTGGTAGTTGGTTGTACATTTGGCTATTGGCTGTTTTCTGCTGACAAGTCCAACAGTGACAATATTGAATGTTGCTTCTAAAACCTACAAGAAAGTTGTAATCCTATTTTTAACAGCCTCCTTCATAAAAGTTCAAAATAACATCGATTGCTGGCAAATACTATACCGAAGTCTTATTGTTTTCGAAATAATGTCACATGCTCGTTTCGGTTGTGCTGTGGCTGTTCGAGACCGAAGTCGACGAGGGATCAACAGTTATCGCGCACCCCTTTCGTTTCACCGCTATTCATCCACTTTTTTCTTGAAATACACCCTCTCAACTTCAGCACATCTACCTGTCGTGAGCGGCTTTTGTGCATTAAATCTTTTCAACCCGATAGTCTATAGAGATTGCAGTTCAACAGTTCGTGGTCGTTCGCTCCTTTATTTCTTATTTTTGCTTTCCGTTACGATTTCTTCCCTTTCTTCTGTTTGTAGATAAGTTAATCTATATTCTGATATAGGTTTTGTACAAATCTTGCGAGTAAATAATTAATCATGATAATTTTCAGATCGATTGCTCGATCCCCGCTTTCCTGATCTCGGAAACTTACATAGTTTTTTGCTTTCCCATGATCAATTTCCGTACATTAACGAATAAAAAATGAAGAATAGGTTCTTCTTCTAATATAGGTTTTATAAGCTTCCTGTAAGTTATTACTTAATTATTCACAATTTTTAGAGTAAGCGTTCCTGCAGGCTCGAGCCGCCACTACTTTAATCGCTCATAATTAATTCATTACTGGCTGGATCCTTAAAAAACCTGTATGTGAAAGTTGCTGCGAGTATGTGGATTAAGAATCAATCATAAAAGTTTATAAATTGTTCGTCTAAAAGAAGTTATTAATCACTTTTCTTTTCGTTGACAATTTTTAACAATTTGACATCATCTCGTGGATGGGATATTTTCGCATGATTTTATGACATAAAAGTACCGTAAAATGGCACTTATGGTATATCAATCGAAAGTTTAAACCTTAATGAAGATAATTATTTTGCGACTTCATTAATATTCTTAATAAAACATGGCAGTAAACAATACAGTAAACAATGACTATAACTTGCTATTTTCAGTCTCTTTCATGAATGTTTCAAACATTTGCAATTATAAATTGAAGAATTTCCTTGTAGTTTATTTGTTTTTCAAGATTTTATTTATTTAATGTTTCAAATTTGTAAATCACTGCTCTTTTACAATTATTCTCTCCTTGTTCTTAAGTTTAGATTGCAAATTGAAGCGTTGTAATAGTGTAATTTGTATTAACAACAAGAGTTATTGTAAAATAATTAAGTTAACAAATAAAAAATGTTCTAAAAACTTAATTTTAATAAATTTTTTAAGAAAAAAAGCCTTCCACTGCGCTGATAACGGTACAGGTCGCAGCATCTAACGGCGAGTTTGGGAACCAACAAAATAGAGAATTCTGTTTTTTGGCAAAATAAGAAACTTTTGGGCAGTTCTAAGACAAAAATTTCCTCACAATCGATTTAAAGCTTTAATCAAAAAAATAAGAAAAGTAGGCATTTTTTTTGCACATTAAACATTTATTTAGAACTCCATTCAAAATATTGTAACTATCAAAATTTGAAACAGTTATTTAACTTAACATTTATCTATCTGTACATTTAATAATGATAACACCTATTGCATGTAGTATGTAAAATTCAATCCACATAAATAGTTTTATATATTATATACAATTCATGTAGAATAATACAGTTTAAATATAAAAAATATAATTTTAGCAAAATGGCCAACCCCAAAGGGCAAACACTGAACCCATTATACAAATGAAATTTGTTTGTATACAAATTATTTATTACAATTCGCTAATATAATGTGAAGTTCACTTCTGTTTTCGCCTAAAATCTCATAAAAGCTATCAAAAAATAATTTTGCAGACTCCTCTATATATTCTGTTCTTCTCCAAACTGCATCTATGTAGCTTATTTGCAGAAAGTTTTCCATATCTGGCTTCAACTCTTGTATTTCATTAATATCATTTTACAAATTTTTTATTCATTCTTTTAATTTTGCTTCTTCATTTTTAGCATCAGTTTTAATTTGATAAGATCTTTTCTTTCCTTTTTTAGCAACATCACTACTTTCTTCTTTCAAGATTTTCATTTTTTCCTGAAGATTTTCCAATTCATTGAAAATTATTTCTAACAAATGTTCTTTCTCAATAATTTGTCTTTTCAGTAGTTCTTTAAGATTATTCAACAAACTGGCGTTAGATCTTAATACTTCTATAATTTGAGGATCCAATGTACCTTTTTCTGGCATCTTTAATTCTTCTAAATTTACACCTACATATATTATCACTAAGGTACATGAATATTATTTCTTTATTATATTTCAGAAGTGCTTTGGTTACATTATTATGTATTAACAGATACCAATTTAATATCTATAGTATACAACTCCTTTCGTATATTTTCTGAATGTTCGTCAAATTGGTTCATATAACTTTCAATCTCCAAACATTTTTCCAAAATTTTATCTCTTTCTACTGTTGTCATTGGTTATTGTTTAATAGTTGAAAGTAGTTTATCACGCTGTATTTTTTGTAAACGAATCTGTTCGCGTAGTGTATTACACTCAGCATTTATTTGTTCTGTTTCAAAATTAATTGTTTTTAAGAATTCTTCTTTTGCACTAATTTCATTCAATTGTTTTGATTCCTCCTTTTGCAAAGACGACAATATGTACTTCTTGCAGGTGCTTCACCTCTTTATCAATTTTATTTGCATCTTCTTCAGCTACTTGAACTTTATCCATTTCTTCTTTTAATTCAGAGTGTGTATTATTAAACATTTCTGCATTAATTCCTTGCTCCTCTTCAAACTGTTGTAAATATCTTTCAATAATCGCTGCCTCTTCATCGAGTTTTTCATTTCGAGCATCGTAAAAGTCAAGCATAGAGAAGAAAGTATTTTTATTAATTTTGGCTTCTCTCTGATTGCCTGCGAATGGTAAGTTTTCTAAGTTAAATTTTTGGAATGCTATTTCCCTTATTTTACAAATTTCTACTAACCAACTAATCCAGCCCAAAATATAAGGCCAAGAATGCATAGCATTGACAGTTTTTAACCAAGATTTAACTTCATTATCCAGGTAATATTAATAAATCTTGGTTAAAACCTTTTTCTTTTGAACCATTATTTATTAATAATACCTGGATAATGAAGTTTCTTTGCTATTTTTTGCAATTCTTCTATATAATTAATAACTGTAAGAGTTTGTTTAATATTTAACATTTTCATTAAATGAGCAGTAGCATCTACAAACATTTTCAAGGTAATGGGTTTTAAAACCGACCAAACCGATATGCTTGCCAGAATAGAAAAAATTGTCTATTCTGGCAAACATATGAGCTTGGTAAGTTTTATCTGTTAATCGTCTTCTATCCTTTCTTGGATCTTTTGCACCAATACTGCTAGCACAATCAGCTGATGAAGACCTATGTCCTGTTGGAAGTCCTGCACAAGAGAGTTTGCTTCCAATAACTCTAGGTGTAATTAGAGTTGTAGGTGCATGACGAATTAGGGTTTTACCTTTAAAAACAACAATAAAACTTACAATCTTTTTACATCACTAATAATGTTATGACGTTTTACCTGTTCCTTTTAAGCCGGATTTTCTCGTAGTTGCTCTATCAAATGAATATATGAGAATTATCAACCGAAGTTATGGAAATCTTTGGTTTCAACATTTGCATTCTTCTTGAATCAGTCTGTGTTAAGTTTTTGTCTTCCCTATCAATCAAAGATACTCGTGCAGGGTTAGTAAATGATCTATATACGTCCTATAGAATTACTCGCCATGGTATATTGCTAGGAAACGGCCCATTCACCGATTTTGATATGTTATCGTTGTATTCGTCCTTTTCATCGATATAAAATTTGTATTTATTATTGTATAATTATTTTAATAAAACCTCGTTTAAAACACTAAAAACTTCCGTATTCAAAGTTGTACGGTAAACATTTTGAATTTTATCGTTAAGCGCAGAAGCATGAGATATGAGACCAGTAACATAAGAAGCATATGTATCAGTAACATAAAATCCACCTTAAATTAATAAATCAGATTTTGCGATTGTACTTTTTATTTTTGTTAAAGATATCATTTTATAATAGATTGAAAGAAATAAAAAAATACTCATATTGAGTAATTCTTAATGGTACATTACTCAAGCATTTTAATTATTTCAGGAGTGTCTGGATAATCTTGATATTGTTGCGTATCCTCCTTGTGGTGTAGAGAAAATTCAGGGATTTTTGGGTCGTGAGTAAGGTGCCCGTTGAGCGCTGAAACACTCTGTTCGCAGCGCGTAAAATAAATCTAACACTTTTTGAATTATTAACGAAAAACACTGGCCAATCAGAGCGCGCCTTTAGCGCGGGCCAAACCACGGGTGTTGACTTTCAGCCGCGCGCGGTCGTGATCGTGAACAAACGCATTGGCACAAACGCATTCATTATTTATGAATAACGAATAATTCCACATTGTTCTTAATTTAAGATTTTCCTTGATTACGACGCTGTGCCAATGCGTTTATTTAAGATCACGACCGAGCGTGGTTGAAAACCAACGCTGCCAACGCTCTCGTGGTTCGGCCCGCGCTAAAGGCGCGCTCTGATTGGCCAGTTTTTCGTTAATAACTCAAAAACGAAACTTCAAACAACATTTTGGTAATGGAAAATGTTGTTCAGAATCACCACAGCAACCCCCCATTTTCGGGAGTTACGGGACACCCTGTATACTCAAAGGTGGCCTCAAAAAATCTCAAAAAATCCTTATTTTGCACTATTTTGCCAAAAACCGGAATTTTTCGTATGTTATTAGTTCCACCTTTCCATCGCTAGATGGACGTCAATTTTTTGGTCCATCAAATGCCTATTTTCCTTATTTTCTTAATTAAAGGTTTAAATTGATTGCGAGGACATTCTTCCTGTGTATTCGAGGCAATTCGAGGTCGCAGAACCATTTGGCGGGCTCAGAAATGCCCAAAAGTTCTTCATGTCTTACCGACCAGTTTTCTGAAATTAAATTAACCACTATCTCTATCTATTAGATGTCAGTAGAAGCTACTTATCAACTTACCGATCGAATTCCTGGCATTTCGTCTCTGCCACTGTCTATTAAAAAAATAAAAACACTCTTGGACCAAGTAATATATGAATTATGGTATCCGGATATTCGGTAAAAATGCATATCTGCTTTTATTGAAAAAAAAAAGAGGTGAGACACAGAGAGAAAAAGGTGTCTCCATGTGCACTCGCATGTTTTGCGGTGTTCGTGGATCGATAAAAGCGTCGATCGAAAAGTGTGCTGTTAAGCTGGCGATTGCGATCGTGGCAACGTGATTTTGATCGTCGGTATTACGACGAGATACGTTTTTCTTGTTAGCGCTTGAAGAAACAAAAATTCGTCGAAATATCGCATGAAAACTTGGTGGGGCCATGATCGTTTTCGCTTCTATTCGAGAAACCGATTATCGTAGACCAGCCTCGATAAGAAAATTCGTTCCTACTATATTTATAGATATACATATACATACATACATTTGATATTTATAATCATATTATATATACCTATGGGCTGTGTCTCGAGAAAAATGCCACTCGGTTGCCTACCCCTTTCGCGTACATTGCTACCTAAAATGTCCACCTCGTGTTGTTTCTTTCCTCTACGCGTAAAAGAAAATAATCGCAATCGTAATGTGTTCGTCTACCGATATATATTAACCCTCCTTTGGCGATGGATCATTCCTGACCTCATTTTCTCTAATCTTTTATTACTATTTGGGAGCAAGCAATAAGAGGCGCCTTCTTTTACCCTCACCCTTCGTTAAAGGAAGCTTATGTTGCACTTGTGCGTATAATCAAGTGCAAATCAGCCTTCCCTTAGCGTTCCATCCACCCATTGTTTGAAGCACTTATGGCACCCTGGTCAAACCACCGCCGTCTGAGGGTTAAACATACGAAAACGTCGATGTACACAATGATTTTTCGTGGTCAGAATCGCTCGCGATGTACCACGACGGTAGCCCTCCTGATTCACTCGCAACCCCATCGTCGAGACTCGGAAATCGGCAAGGTTTCCGGTCGGCCGCGTGTTTCGCATCGGCCATGGCAGCATTACAACGCACACATACGTTATTCGTCAGTGATTGGCTCGATGCAAAAATAGCGGGATTCTCTTAACGACTAAAAACACGCTGTATACAATAAAACTGTTTCTTTCTTTTTGGTTACGCGTTCCTACATCCCTCCCCCGAGGATCATTGGATCATGATAACTGATCGGGATTCGTCATGAATGTTCCACGCTGATCCAAATTCACGGATTCGTTGCTTGAACTAAAATTAACCGTGGACGAGGAGAGCGATTAACAATGAATTAATATACAGGTTCATCTTATCGTCTGATACAATGGTACCCCCGTCTCACGGTAGAGATTTTCGTTAGTTCTGCGTCAAGCCAACACACACGCACACACGGTCGCACATGTTGAAACGCGCTAGCGCGGATACAGTAATAGTAGTAGTAATAGCAGTGAGAGAGGACGCTCTAATGTTAGTCGAAAAGTGAAATCAATCCGCGGCGATCACAGCGGTAGCTGCTGACGATGACGACGACGACGACGACGACGAGGATGACTTCTTCTTTAGCACGATGTCCTTGATGTTGAGATTGACCTTCTCCTTACGCGGTGGCGGCACCGACTGCAGACAAAATCTCTTGAACGCCTCCAGTTCCCGTTCCGCGTCGTCCATCTCCCCGTCCTCGAGGTCTATATCTTTGGGCGTGAATACGCTCTCTGCAAAAGATACGCTCTGAATACGAGAAATCGGGTCTAAGGAATATAAATAAGGGAATATAAGTCTGCTCGCGCGTTTTGCTTTACCGTTTATCTTTCATCCTGATTCAGCTAACTGGTCTGAGTGTACAGTTACATCAGGAGAACCGAGAAACAATGCTGGTTTAAGAGAATGAAACGATATCGATGGAAAGATGAGAGACAAGATCACTGATGACGAATCGACAGAGAGGAAAATAGTGAAACAAAAGGGTTTCCAGTTTCATCTAAACACGGTTGACGATGATCGACGAAAAAAGAGAAACGCTTCTTACGATGCATACGCATGCAAACAGTTTCCAACACAAGGAATAACAGATCATAACGTTAGAAAATAAGTAAATTTTATTGAAACGTCTTCAGATCAGATTTAAGAAAAGATAATCGTGTACTGTCATATACACGTGGTTTACTATCACCTACATAAGTATGTGAGTCAAAGGTATCACAATAAAGACTTCAGGTAGATAGGTAGACTGGGATGATCAATGAACCCGGCGAGGCGTGACACTCTCGAGTGATCTACGTATCTTTTCTTTATCTTTCCCATTTATTTTTTCTCTTTCAAGCTTCCATCGCTTTGTAACATCTAATCGTCTAAACAGACAACGTGACCCTCTCTGTCTCTCTAAGTAATCATGCTTCCGTCGAGTGCTCCTGAGTGATTCGTGATCGACTTTCAAAGAGAAACAACTAGAAAGGAAACAGAGAAGAAAATAAAGGGAGAGATATGTACACGTGTAATAATATGCAATCAAGGCATCCCTAAGTGTAGACAGAGAGAAGAGACTGCAAGCTATCCTAGGTTCAAGTGTATGGACTAAATATAATCCTAGATATAAAGTATTCTAAGAATCGAACATTCGGCAGTCTACCTGATTGATCGGCCGTTTCATAAATTGAGTCGTTGCACGCGGGCAAAGCGGAAAGAAAATAAAGAAAAGATAGTGCTCACTGGCCAGAGTTCTCTTCCGGGCAATCCCCCAAGAAATTCGTCGCTGCCAATTCGAGGAGATCCCGAAGCGTATCCCGGTATTTGAAAAATGTTCTCATTCAACCTATAGCTGACCGAGACTTCCGTCCTAACGCGGTACACTGCCCTCTCCTAACGAAAAAAAAAAAACGAAACGGAAAGAAAAACCGTCGTCAGTTTGACTGAACCTATTTGCTCGTCCAGAAGACATGTGCTTTTATATATTTCGGTTGTAGATGGTATCTCTATTTCATAAAAGAAAGAACAAAAAAAAAATCAACCGGGAGCGAGAAATGCAACCCGGGAGTGTGTTAAGGAAAACAACGGAAAAAAAAAATGAAAGAAGCAAATTTACAACTGTTAAACTCTGATTATTGTTGTTTCTCACCAACGAGGTTCCAGTCATCTCCGCACTGTCTCGCCCCGGTTCTACGCTTTTTCTTTTTCTTGCTCTTCTCGCTACTCGACGCGGCTATGGACGCGTTTATCGCTTCCCTGACCGCGGTTTTCGCGTTCTGAACATCCTCCATGCTCGTGTCTGTCCTCACTTTGGTCAGGGTCACGCTCGTCCCTTTCAGGTTGATCCCGTTCTCCGGTATCGGTTGACCGTTCGTCACTTTACTGATCTGAATGTTAGCCAAACCGCTCAAAGCCGTGCAATCCGGCGTCAGTCTGCTCCTCAATTCCGCCAAACTCGATGGAATAATACCGTTCGGATGCTTCAGATTCGAGTTATCCGTGCTCGTTTTAGACGACAGATCACCCTTCACGATATAATCTGGTTTCGGAGGTGATGTAAGACCTGCATTGATCGCCTGTTGCAACGCCGGACTTCGTATCGTGACCATACCGTTTTCTGACACCTTTATGATGGCTGCTTGTTGAGTGGGTGGTACTTTCATAGGACCGAACGCAGGATTTCTTATCGTTACCATGTTCGTGTTTGGATTATGAAGTATCCTGGCTGGCTCGTCCCCGTGATCGTTCGTGAAAGGGTCATTGTTTTGTACTGTGGTTTGGTTCGTAGAATTCTGCGAGTTTGTTGCATTCTTATTTTTCTTCTTCTTTTTCTTACCGCTACCGCTTTGGCTTTGTTGCGTTTCTTTAAGCATATCTGTAATGGAAGATAACAATGATTACTACGTATACACTGAAAAAACAAAAAATAGTTGTATACTTAAAAATTCAGACACCAAGTTTACCCACCTTTCTCTACAGGCTTGGGCAGAAGATCCTGCTTCAATTTCCCTGTGTCCACTACAATTACGTTTCCACCCGCCTGAGGACTCGCGTAACTCGACTGAACACCGCTCATCGGTGCAGCAATTATGGTAGTTTGTTTAGGAGGATTCACAGGCTTAGGCAAGGGCGCTGACCTGATCGGCAAAGGCTTCGCGGGAGCATCAACCTTCGTTATCGTGATACCAGGTGGTAATATTAAATTCTCTATATTGATCTCAGAGTTTGCACCGATATCTTTGAACTGGCTACTCAACGGTGAGTTGACACGTTCCTGAGGTGCTGATTGAACTTCCGATCGCTGTTTCACCGTTGTTGTCGTTTGATTCGACACCTTGCTCTGAACCTTCTGATTATCATTCTTCGTTTGTTTAACGGTGACGTTGGAACTTACATTCTTGTTATTCTTGTTCGAGTTCACTAGATTGTTTTTCTCCTGTTGCTGCTGCACTTTTGACTTTTTATTACTATCGTTGGCGATAGTCAAGTTCTGCGACGGCTTCTGAGATGCCGATGTCTGAGCCGGGGCGTTCATTTTATTTTGTTTCTTATTGGAAACGTTTTGTTGTTGAGTTTTATTTTTATTCACTGCGTTTTGTTGCAACACGTTCTCCTTATTCTCAGTATTTTTCTTATCTTTCTTAGATTTTGTTTTGCTCTCAGTTATATTCTGTTGCTGAATCTTCTTCTCGTCGATCTGTTTTCCTTTGTTCTTTTCATTATTTGATTGTTTAATGTTTTTCGTATCACAAATCTTGTTTTGTACCTGCTGTTTCGAATTATTCATTTGTTGCTGTTTATTTCCAGCCTGCAACGAATTAATATTGTTATTGTTGTTTGTATTATTGTTATTATTGTTGTTATTTGATTTAGCTTTCTTTTTCTTTCCGCTAATGTTCTGATTCTGTTCATTATCCAATTTCAAAGAAGCAACTTCCTTAGTCTGACCATTTACCAGGGTGAATAGAACTTTGTCTTCGGCCGGTGTTTGGCCCTTCAATGTAATCGTCACTGTTGGTTCAGCACTGTTCGATTCCATCACTCTTTTAATTGTCACAATCTGTGGTTGATTCTCCGTTTGAACTGGTTTCTTTACTTCCTTCGACTTTGCCTCTTCCATTTTCTTCATCTCTTTCTTTAACTTTTTCCTCTCTTTCTTCGTTAATTTCTTATCATTCGAGTCAACAGCCAGAGATTTCTCCGTAACATTATTTGAGTTACTTTTAACATTTATACCATTGCTACTCGTTTGTGTTTTATTTTTACCATTAACATCAGTTTTATCATTTTTCGTCGTCGTCGTCGTCTTATTCGTCTGGCTGGGAACCATCGTCTTGTTGTCAATTTTATTAGTAGTAATACTTTTATTATTCTTTATATTTGTATTCACAGGTGCAGTCTTCGTTTTGCTATTTATACTACTGTTACTACTACTACTGCTGCTACAGCTACTGCTACTGATATTACTACTATTGCTATAAACTTCTTGTTTGTCTTTCTTTTTATTACTTAATTGCTTTACAATCGGCAACGTTATTGGCGGTGACGTAGGTAAAATAGATACTTCGGGTAGATTACACTGAGGTAATAATCTTTGAGGAACGGGTTTCTGCGGATCTACAACAGTAATAGTTACTTCCGGTGTCTTTTTTTGCAACTCTATTAACTTTTGTCTTTCTGCTTCTTGCCTGTCTCTTTTAAGCTTCTCCTCAAGCTGAAAGAAAAATAGTGAAATCTGTTAAAATTATATTAACTTCAAGAACAATATTTTATTCTAACTGATATTAACCAACCTTCCGTTGTTTTTGTCTAGCTTTTTTCTCAGCTTTCTTATTATTATCTTTCTTTCCATTCTGATTTCCTTCAATGAACTCAAGCAATTCCTCCAAATCCCTCTGATCTCGTTGATCTGGTTGAACCGAAGGAATACTCGACACTGGAGTATTTGACCTAGGCGCTGAATTTGTTACTATCTTCGTTTCTGTGTTCGTGCTAGCGGATAACTGTTCTGAAGGGCTTTTCGACGGACTACACGTAGCCTTGCACTTCTTGGCCTTCTTTTTGGTCAGTAATTGTCGTAATCGTTCTCTCATTTCATTATAATTTCGGCTAACCGGTGCTACAGAAGGCTAAAAAGGTAGTACTCGTTTAAGATAATTATATTCCCTTTCTCATAGAAAATTGAATTACCGCCAAACATTCACTTACAACCCCATGCCCGAACACTTCGCAATAGCAACAATCGCAATGCCTACTCGAATCTCTTTGTGCAGAACTACTAGTTGAACAAGAATCTTCTTGGCTACTTCCCGAATCTGAGCAATCCCCATCTCCGGAACTTACTGAAAATGCATATGATACTTGTTACAAAGAACGATCGTACAGTTATCATTGTCAAAAGTAGTTGAATGAATACTGACAGTCATTGCACGACACTCTCTTTATGTGCTCGACATTAGCTTGTTTGTGACAAGCGTGCGACGGATGACTGTTGTGTGTATGAGGTCTGTGAGTGGGTCCTGTATTTTTTACCAAGTCTGGCAAGGGCCCGTGCGTATGTGAATGAGTGATACCTGTTTAGTCCCCCCCCCAAAAGACAATCTATTATTTTTTTAAACACCGACTACTTAAGTTATAACGAGTACACTTCGGGAAGATTGCATAAGAGAAATAATCGAAAGTCCTTGATCGCGATACTCACCTTGATGCGTTGTGTGATTATGAGCGGTGTTTGTTGTCTGCGTTGTAGAATGCCTCGTTTGTGTTTGAGCAGACTGCGTAGAACCTGTTTTCACAGCAGGTTTATTTGGTTCTTGATTAGCTTTCACGGTAGGAGGTGATACCGGCTTTGGATGACCATTTGATACGACAGCTTCAGGCACAGCTAATAGTATCAAAGATTATTGCGTCAATCGTAATCGCCTGATAATGAAAAATCAAAATTCCTTACCATTACTTTTTGTTAAACAAGGACAAGTGTCACACTTTCTTTTAAAATTTAATAAACACGGACAAGGAGGATTTTCTAGCACCGGTTTCCGCTCTGTTATCTCTCTCGCGTGCTGATACACGCACGAACAAGGTTGCGGATCAAACGCTTTGAATTCGACATCTTCCCTTACACTTATTTCTTTCTCATCGCTTTCGATCTCTTTCGTATCTATATCCTCCACTTTTTTCTTTACTTGCGTAACAGAATAATTCGCTGGGTCTTCTAAAATCAAATTTGCAAAAATCAACCACTGCATGCAATACAACATCTGGCCGTTTAATTTTGCATTCTGATGATTCTCTTACCTAAAAAATCAATTGTGAACTGTGGAAAAGAATTTTCTAATGGTAATACTAAGTTTTCCGCGTCATTTTTATTAACCTGGCAATAAACGTTACTTAGCTTAATAAATTCTGTGACACTGTATAAATGAAGCATATGGAAAATGTCAGAAAAAAAGAAGTAAAATTTTTCTTACAATTGGAAACGTCGATAGTCCTGTACACATATGACATTCACAGCTTTTTCCCTCCTCTATACCATTTTCCATACCAGTTTCTTCGTTATGCACCCTTTTAAGAACACGTATAAGTTATAAATCCAAATGAATGATTATGAAGTATGTACAGCAACAAGTACCTGGTTGATCTAATTGCAAACTGTGCTAGATGACACGTTGCACGCGCATAATCGAAAAAGTCGGTCTCGTCTTGTCCGCTGGTATAAGCGTCCGTAGTAGTTAATATATCCGCTATGTCAGCTAATTTTTTATGTTGAGCTTTATTCCAATCGTCTAATAAAATTTGAACTATCTCAATATTTGGAAGCATACTTAGTAACTCCAAACTAAAATCTGGAACTGGGCTAAGAGGCCTACTATCCGTTTCTGATACAGCAACTTTAATTTGCGGTGCAACCATTGAAAGTTCTCTGTCACTTTCTTGTAATTCACTAAAATTTTTATTTCACGTTAAAACATTGAATTATGCATGTCCATCATATATGTTGTTTTCTGTTAACATACTTTTCAATATCAGGTGATTTATTCACCGTTCGTTGCTCCATCAGTTTTCTAGTCGCTGTAAATAATTCCCAAGCTTCCCTTATTTGCTTAAGCCTAGTCATCCGAACTGTTTGTTCTGCACTAAAATACGTGTTGGTTATAAAATTTTGTACGCTCATTTTCTTTCCTGTTAAATAAAATCTCATTTATGTTGCCACTTACTTATACATATCCATCCACGATTCAGTCTCTAACCATAGGTCCGCGATTAGTGCCATTTCATCGTAAAATGGTAAATACCGAAGAACGAGACCTCGGTACTCTAAGCCTTTTAAAGGCACAAGTTTTCTTAACTGTAAAATCAAACATTTTTTTATTCTAACGTCGATCGAAAGGCTTTCGATTATCAGTGAAGCGTTAGTCTACCTGTTCGACAAAAGATGGCAAATTATTTTGTACCAATGGATCGTCATATACATAGATCTGATATAACTTCTTAATAAAACATTCCCAAGATAAATTAAATTTACACAGATGATCTGTTAAAGGTTTTACAAATTCGGTTATCTTTGAAGCTGTCGATATTAATGCGTCGTAATCGTCTATAAGACCTGTACGAAAGATATAATAAATGAACGGTACCGTTAATCGGCAAAAACGAATACTTTGCTTTAGAAAATATTTCATATTAACCTGTAAGAAAAATTTCTGCTAAATTATTTACACTACGATCATGTAGGAGAGCTAATAATCGAACTTTTACTTCTATAACAAATCCTTGGGTCAAATTCACTAGCCTCATAAACAACTGATGAGGATCTCTCTTACACAGTCTGAAAAGTAATACTATGTTTAAATCTATCAAATACACAAAAATCATTCATCACAGAAGCATTACGACAACTTACTGTAAAACAATTTCATGTACATCGTCCATCGCATAAGAAAATACATTATGATGAAACTGTAAGCCTCCTGGAATACGTGACGTTTCCAAGGCTACGTTAAAACAACCCCTTATATGTTGTCGTATTTCTCTCCATAATTTTTTAAACTTCATCGCCTTTTGTAGCTCCTCTTTGAATAATTCTCTGCATCAACAATGACTCTTGTTAAAACTTTTCATTGATCTAGTTTGTTTTCACGTACAAACCAATTACCTCTTTGCTTTATACGTATCACAGGAACATGACTCCTTTCCCCTCGGATTCTCAATAATAGTATTGCTGCTCGAATTCTCGTCGACTGTGTCCGAATTCGTTTGAAATGTAGCTTGCTTGATACCCTCGGGACCCCTTGCACCTTTGATAAATTCGTCAACCACGCTTTCATCTAGTGTCACGCTCTGCAAGTAGAACGTGTTCGAGGTACGATCGTGGCGAGGTAAACGTATACGCTGTACGTAAGTAGGAAACATACCGCGACAGGAACTGAGTCTGCAACGATAGGAGACCTGACAACGTCTTCCACATATTTAACAAGCCGATCGTTGTCCTGTCGCGTTAAATCGCTCTCTGCATCGATGCAGCCGTTGCAAGGAGCACTGTCTCCTGTGTGTTTCTTAGTAAGAACGTCACCCATCATTACTATGTTGCTTTCTATACTCCTGTTGCATTGACCGTCCTCGTTGTCGCTGCCGTTCATTCTACCACCGCGCGGTGTAACTGCTACACCAATTCAATCGTTCAGTGATAATTCAAGCAAATTAAACGACAATCGATCAGACTTTTTCCACGAGTTTTACTCCAGAAACACGTAAACACCTAAACCGCTCAATATGGCGTCTCGCGTATTCATCCTGTGGTTCAACGTTGCGTCGTAAGGTGACGTACTTCGCCGATTTTCCGAAACAAGGGAACACTAGCAGCATCTATTAAAAGCAGCGGAAGCTATTTATCTTACAATTAGTAGTTTCCGCCGTTTTCGTATAGATGACAGTCTTTCGTCGGTGCCCAGTGCTGGTTTTAGCCAATATTAGCGCCCTGGGCAAAATTATCATGGCGGTAAAAAACGCGTCAGGGAAGATGTAGACATAAATGCCGCAGCATATATAGCATATATGTAATATTACATATGAGATGTAGATAGAGAGAAGAGACAATGAGAAAATATCGGTATATTAGCATAGTAGGGACACCGGGCTGCGGCGCCCCCTACAGATCTAGCGCCCTGGACAATTGCCCGACCGCGGCCTCCCCCCCTAATGCCGGCACTGTCGGTGCCATCACTCAGTTTCTCAAGCTCAGCGTGACTTACCATCTTTCAGTAACAAAGGCATGTCCAATCTTGTTGGTTCCGTAGCCACTGAATACGTAAAAACGAATTGTCAGAAGAATGACAACAACAAATTATTTAGATTTGGATATCAATAAGTTATTTGAAGAGCATACGATAAGGGAGATCGAGGAAATTCAAAAGAAGATTCAGTATGAAAGTGACAGAAAAAAAATTGAACTTAGGACATTAGTAGGGTAAAGTTTCTTTCATTGACTTGACATTTTTTATTATTTCTGTTCTTAATCTTTTGTATGTGCATATTTTATAAATAATAAAATATTCATTTTATAAACATTTTCAGAGAAAGATACCGTGACCTTATATTAGCTGCAGATACAATTGGGAAAATGAAATTAACTTCAGAACGTCTTATTTCAAGAATTATTAACATTGAAAACAAATTTGGAGAATTACAGAAAAAGTATCTTATTGGATTTAAGCTAGATCCTATAGACAGTACAGATGGCAGGTATTTGTAATAATAATCTTTTCATACAGGATATATTGTCCTCTGATATATACAAGTTTATAAAGTATGTATATTTTCTTAGGCACAATGAAAGAACCGAAGATTCAGTTATTATGAAAATAAAAATTTTGATGGACATACCTGAATACATTTGGTCTAACATTGAAAACAAAAACTTGATATTTGCATCACAGTTGTATATAATAGGACGATTTATATATCATGATTTATTATTCGAAAAGGGAAATCATGATTTAGAAAATAAATATCTAATTGCATCTAAACAGTGGGATGTAATTAAAAGATTCGAAAATATTATACTTAATGAATGCAACAATGTATTGCAGTCATTGACTGTACAAGCAGAGGTTGGTATCTGCTTGAATGTGTGATGTATGCTACATTTTTTTAGATCTGATGTTTATTTCAGAGTATAGCCAATTCTTTAGCTGCGCTTGTGTTATTATTAAGAAAAACATTCCCACAGCTCTTGGAAAAATTAATATCTATGCGCAAATATACGATTCAGACCATTGTTACGGATGAAAATGATAATAGTGTTAAAAACAAGATAAAACTATGTATTGAAATATTAATTCAAACGATCAGTTTAATATATTCATGTTTTATAAGTAAGTATTTACATTTGAGCTTATAACATTGATAAAATATGTTCTATCCAAATATAGGAATAAAATATTGATTACAGATACACCTGAAAAATCGGAAGGTCTTATTTTACAATACATAACAGAAATTCAAGATCAAAACTTATATTCATTACTTACTCAATTAAATTTTGATCAAGAATTATTAAAGGAATTTCTCCCTTCGATGATAAAAGACTATAACCCCTTTGATAAAGCAAATAGTAAATTGAAAGAACTGGATACAGACAAAAATTTTCGTATATCACATATTCAAAAAAGTATTCAATCCTGGCTTGAATGGGTTGCTGAATTTTGCAATAAGGAAGTTACAAAACTTCTGGAACTAGTGATATCTATAAAAGGCTTATACTATGTTCGAGAAGAAGCTGTTAGTATTAATCTACCTGAAAACTGGAATTCAATATGGGCAGAGCTTTCTCTGCCAAGGATAACATTCTGGGTAGAATTTTTTCAACCTTTAATATCAAATAGAGTAAAAAGTACGTAATACGAAATACAGCATAAAAAAATGTATCTCCGATCATTAACATGTGAATAATAGTGATTTTAATATTTGATCAGGTATTATAAACGACAAGTGGATAGAAAGTATAACTGTCTTAAAATCGGACATAGCTGAGTTACTTAACAAAGTGATCAATGAGAAATTTGATTATCCCGAACACGATTTACGATGGTTCGTTTGGAAAGATTCTCCCAGCGACATTCCACAAAAACTTACCAAGAATGGCGGACTAGATAACAAGAGATCATTGTTAATGAAAACTAAAGGATATTCACCAAACATCCTTAAACTGTGTGAAAGCTTAGATATAAGTTTACAAGCTTTGCTTTCAGACCTGGAACAATATTTGTACGAGACCGAACGTGTAAGGTCTATAAAAGACAATCTGTTATCTACAAACATATATTTAATTTCTGATACGTATTCTGATCGTGCAGAGATCCAGGAGCACTTACAAACCGTTAGCAGTAATATGATCGAGGATTTTATGGATTTTGTGAGAAGTACATGTGTTAACGATAAACCCGAGCATGGTCAACGCGATATAAACACCGTCGTGATGGCGAGGTTTCTCTTGGCATTAACCTCGTTGAGCTCTAATTTAAATAAATGTTTCACCCTTTCAAAGGTATCCGGATTAACTATTACGAATACCAAGTGGCAATCTATTTGCGATAAATTGAAAGAAGAGAGTACTTTTATGTGGTCAGTTTGGGCTAGAATGTACAAAAATAAAATAAGCGAACACAGGGAGAAGTTTATATCAAAAGAACCTCTTTGTGGATTTCCGATTCACTTAGTTGTCTCTGAATGGGAAAAAATAACTATCGAAGAAGATTCTGGAGAGGGTAAAAGAATAAAATCAGAGATCTTAGTACCTTATCAGCCGTCCATACAATTACAAAAATTTTTGACCGCCATTAATAAGGATTTGAACAAGATAATACCGCATACTCTTCCAAAGTAAACAGAAAGATTCTTCTATTCTTCGATTTTCTTATAAATTCGGTTATCTCAATTTTCTTAATTTTTATTTTTATTTATAGGAGAATTTTACATGAAATTATAGAGGATGTCGCAATGGAATTACTGAACTACTATGCAACTGCATTGGATAACGTTAATCTTTCACAAAAGCAAGCCTTTCAAGTTTTATTTGATATCAAATATTCCACTTTGCTCATGGCACCGCGTGAAAATAAAACACTTTCCGATTTGTCAACAAAGGCTTGCGATAGTGTCGTGTCGAAAATTGATCCATTCGATTATGATGTTTTCAATCCTTTTATTTATACCAATGTAAAGAAAAGTGTTCAAAGATCTCTTGTGAGTATACGCATAAATGCAAAATATCTTTTTATATTGATATTTATTTTTTAATTACTTTTCTCTGCTTTAGCTTATACTAGGTAACTTAGTACCTCACTTAGAACAGCTACATTCAATTTTGGGTTCACGAAGCGAATACAGTAATACCGAAGGTGCGAAATCAGATTTACCTTCCGTGTTAGCATTGTGCACAGGTGCACCCTGGTTTCCACCATTGACAGTAACAGCTCCGACTAGAAATTTACCTCTCGTAGCGATTACATTACCAGAAAAACCGCAGGTAAATGTGATTTTTGAAAATCTCTAATGTATATCATTTAATCTTTAAAATTGAATCGAATATTATTTTATATCATTTTCTCTGGTACTATTTATTTGATATATATGCTGTTAGATTACCAGAGCATTCAGATAAGATCGTGAATTTAATTGTGGTAAGGAAACGATAGTGAATGTTGTGTTCTCTTTGCAAACTAATTTTTTAACATTAAATTAACTTTGCTTTCTTACGTTATACTGTGATTTATGTTTTGCGCTGTGTAAGGTGCCTATGTTGAATTAACTGTGCGAGTAAGGTAATAATTAATATTATTTGATCTGTACTAATATAGCGGAAGAAAATGTCAAATAAGGAAAACACAAAAAGTGATACAACGGGATCGTCAATCAAGTCTGGAGCAGCGGCATTTTTCGGGGCAATGGGCTCTGATTGGTTTAGCAGCAGTTAACTTATTTATTTAATTATAAAAATCGTAAATTTGTATTATTGAATGTATATATATTGAGTACATTTAATGTAAATAACGTATCATTGAAATAATGCCTTTTTGACAATGCTGTCAGTATTGAATAAAATATTTTATACAGTCTTTAAATCCTGACTGTAATTTATTTTGTTTGTGAAAATTCCTGATTAAAATGATACCAAACGCGACATAGTTTTTGGTACTACAGTGTCATATTCTACGGCATTATTTAAGTACATAATTAAACGATATTGACCATGCATCCATTATTATTAATTTTCTTTCCGTAAAATTATATTTGCAATGTGGTACATTTCAGAATCTCAAAGGCATAGTTCCTGAAAAAAATATAACAGAGAGAAGACATCAGGATGTCTAGGAACTCGGCAAAATCAAAAAATTCATCTGTAACAAAACAAAAAAGAATTACGGTTAATTTTGCAAATTATCAATCTTTATTCTAATAAAATTATATATGAATTTGGATTTTATAAAATGTTAGCAATTAAAAAGAACTCTCAATTATCAGGTGTTGAAACTGTAAATTATTCTATTTGAATTAAAATTAATTAAATAAAGTAATAAGATACACTCTTTCATTATGGAGCAATGCCCAAGGCTTTTCTTCACTGGTGCACTGACTCTAATACCGGATATATCGAGCAATTAAAAAAAAGAATAAAATTAAAATTGTAACATGGTGTCATGTATGCTCCACCGTTACATCACCAAGCTCCGCTTTTAAAAACGTGATTCTATTTTGATTTAAACTTATATCGAAAGCTGGATATTATAATATAATTACTATGATTTAATAAAAAAAAATTGTTTAAAATTAATAATTGCAGAAGAGAAGCAATCTGCAGTAGAATACGAATTATTTCAATTTGGTTCTAATTTAAAACAAATGTATTACAATACTAGACGAAATTATTTAATAAAATGAAAAATTAATTATTCTTTTTCTATGAATTGGTTTTTCTATGAAAGAAAAAAAATGTCTCTAATCTTTCCTTTCTTGACCTTAGTACCAATTAATTATCAAAAATGTTTATAATTAACAACGACTCAATAAAAAAAAGTAATAATGAATGTTAATAATTGATTACAATAAATTAAAATAATAAATTCTTACCAAATTCTATTTCAAATCCATATCAGGTGTCATGGCGTCCTTTCAATATCCATCAAATATCTGTAACAAATAAGAAATACGAATTTATGTAAATAAAATTTAATTAACAATAATAAAATTATTATTAATAAACAATCGAACTATAATTTATGCAAAATATTTCAATAGGTACAATGCGTAAGTACTTACTGTAACGTGGTGTCACGTGTGCCCCCCCCCCGTTACAATCGTTGCGCTTTCCCACCTCCCACTCTAACCCCAGGCCTAACATGTAACCTAGGCCTGTCCAAGTAGGGGAATCCACTCCTGGAACACATGTTTCGGTTCCCCTTCCAACGCTGCTCCTTCAAATAAGATGGGACGGTTCCGACTACATCTCTCCGAGAGGACAGTACCGCCGCTAGGAAAGACGGAGAGACGGTAGTCGGAACCGTCCCATCTTACTGCATCTTACTTGAAGGAGCAGCGTTGGAAGGGGAACCGAAACATGTGTTCCAGAAGTGGATTCCCCTACTTGGACAGGCCTGCCGTAACCCACCTATAAACCCTTCCCTCACCTTACCCCTTTTTCCCCGCCCGTCGGTATCGAGCCGATGGAGGCGACGGAAAGAACCCCAAGAAGCGGACAACCCCAAGAGGAACTTCGAGGCCGGCGACAGACCCCCAACCCCTCCCAGGAAAGGGAACAACGATGGACCCTAAGGCGAAACGTCCACCCAGCTCAAACTGGCTCAAACAACAGCAGCAAAAGATGTGGCGGTCGACGTCGATGTCGATAAGGAAGATTACGCTGTCAAGATTACTCTTACCGCCACCTTTTTCGAACCATATTTATCCGTTCATTTGTTTGTCATTTAAACATGACCACCCTTACAGTAAAATTTCTCAAAATTGTATCTTCTGAGTCAAGCACGGTAATTTCTCATCCGCGGGTAGCCCGCCCGTGACCGGCGTTTTCGCGACACCCCTTTTCGTCCCCCCTAAAAGTTTCCCTTCTACAATCCTTCCTCGGCGCGTAACGTGCGAACCTCGCGCTGACCCGTCCTGACCCTGAGATTTCCCTGCCTATGAAAATCCTCCCTGCGTACTCCCCCGCGAAGTATTGTTACGGCCATCCCGGAAGAGCCGCGTACCCGTACCCTGTAACGACCCCTATTACTCCCCATTCCTCCTTGCCGCGAAACGTGGCTGGCACCCAACGAGTCATTGTTATCGATCGAAATTTCAGACTTTGTAAAGTTCAAGGATTATATTATAGAGTGAACCCCCGAAAGGGTCACAGTACCTACTACTTATGCGGAAGGATGCTCTCAACACGTCTTATCACTTCGACGTTCGCGAGAGAAATGGCGCGACCTTTCTTCCCGCCGCAGACTGTTCGGCACCTTTCGGTACTGTTCGATATCGTTCGGCACCGTTCAGCATGTTCCGCCATCGGCCGATATCTAGCTAATTTGGTCAGGTCCGACATTTCGCTAATCGCTAATATAACGCGAACATTTGATGGCATTTGTTCAAGAAATAAGCTTCTCAGGACTGAATCGTTGCACTGACCTGCTGCTAGATGTTTCATTCGTTGGAGGAAAACTGATGGTTTCTCATCATCAAGCTCGTGTCCGTGAAGAAGTTTTCTTAGTCTTGTTTCTGTTGTCTCAGTAAAAACGGTGATTATTCGGCTCTTCAGGGCTTCATGTCTCTTCCATGATCCGGCGACGATTCGAGGATGTCGGAGACGATTGGTAGGATTGATTGTTCCAAATTCATGACTATATATTTGAATTTCGAGTCATCGCTCACGACTCGGACAACGGAGAAAGCTGCTTCAACTTGTTTGTGTAAGGCTTGGGCAAAGGAGATGTTTAACTTGAGAAATGATATTTAATACGTGTTTGGCTTACAATGGTCGCCACAATACTGGCACTCTGGCACAGTTGTGGATGTTGTGACACTGGCTTTGCGGCAGCCATGCCATGCCGTGTTCGCTTCGCAATTAAACAAACGACTGTCTAAGACACTATCGTGCTTATAAAATAACATATGGGGCAACAAAACCCGATTACATTTGAACCATAATGAAGGATTTTCTTTCCAGAATGGCGGAAGTTTTACCAGTCGGGCTGTTTCCACATTTGCCTCCGGAGGATTTGTAAAAACTTTTGCTGTCTTTTTTCTTGAAGAGGTGAATAAAACATTACTTGGCCCGAGAAAATTTATTTTTTCCTTTCTTGTAGTATTAAACTATACTTCAGGGGCCCAAAAATTATGGCCTTTTTTTTACCTTCTTGAAGTATTTTACGTGTAGAATCTAAAAATCCTAGTTTTAAGGCACGGAATTCATTGGTTTAGAAGTTATACATGTGTAAAAGTGAGCGTTTTTAGCGTATACCGGGTGTGCTGTACTCCGGCGCTAACCCTTACCCTGACCCTGACCCTAACCCTAACTCTAACCCTAGCCCTAGAAATAGTAAAAAATGCCAATTATAATAGGAATCGAATGAAAGCCAAGTTTAGACTAATTTACCTACAAATTCTGTTTTACCGACGGCGACTCCACTCATTGGACGTGATTGGACGGCAACAGGCTACAAGTCAATATGGCGTCGAAATAACCCGTGAAATACGCTAAAAACCCTCATTTTTACACACGTCTAACTTCTGAACCGATGGATACCGCGCCTTAAAACTAGGATTTTTAGATTCTACTCGTAAAATACTTCAAGAAGGTAAAAAAAAGGGCCATAATTTTTGGGCCTCTGAGGTAAAGTTCAGCCGTTAACATACCTTTGCAGTTGATGAATTTTGTTAATAAAAATAAATGATTAGCGAAAATGATTAGTGGTGTCGACAATTTCTTCTTAATAGTCATTTTCTTCATTATCGACCTCGATGCCGGCCGCCACAAACGTGTGGACTTGTTCCGTATTTAAAATGAATGGTCAACGCTTCAATTGAAAAAATATATATTCGGAAATATTGATATAAAGGTTGACACGTCTTTAGGCTTGGAGAATTTGGCGAGGAATGAATAGTTACAAAAGTTATTCTAATTTGTTTAAAATGACAAATGAACAATAAATGTAGTTATAAAAAGGTGGCGATGAGAATAATCTTCAATCTTCCTTATCGATAACGGCCGCCACAAACGCGGAAGCACTAGCGCTTTCTATCGAAAAGCAGCGGAAACTTAAATAATAAATAAATTTTAGGTAAGTCTGCATGGTGGCGCCTGTAACAGATGATCGAAACGATATTCAAATACCACTGACCGACACTAATGATTGTTTTACAACTTTCACTAAAAAAAGTCAAAGTAAAATGACGAACAAATATTTAACTAATAACTAATTCAATTTTATTAGTCACCATCTAATAGAAAATCAGTACATTGCATAAATTTGACCACGATTTCGTACATGACAACAAACTAAAACATAACATGATCTTAAAAAAAAGACGATAAAAACGCTTAAAGCAAAAGACACTTCCACTTTTTCTACGCAATCACGGGTCGACAAACAGTTTACAAATCGCTCTCGTTTCCATCGGTATTGTTTGAATATTTACCGAGCGTTCGTAGCGCCGCCGGCTATCACGAAGACGAATGTGCGAGACAAAGATAAAGAAAGGTGGCACCCCTGTAAAACTGAGAAAGACAGGATGTCTGAAAGTGTCGCGGTCAGTTACGCAATTATCGGAAGAGATAGAGCGAGAGAGAGAAAGAGGGGGTGAGTAGCAAAATACGCCAGCGCAGTGTAGTACACGTTTTGGTCTACGGCAAGATGGCCGGATGGGCCCATCTGTGGTGATAGCGGTCTTGAGACGTCCTCGTTCTACGTTTAAGAAAAAGCAACAGTACGAGACCCTTCGACTCGAAAGTTATCGCGGAGTCGAGCAGAATCATTGTCGGAATCAAATGGTAAGTGAAAATTCAATCGATCGTATGTTATTATTTGTCAAAAACGCACGCGACTCCGTGCGTGCGACGTTTCGCGCGCTGCTTTTGAAACTAGCAGACTACTTTAACAAGGCCTGCGGGCTTTGACCAGTGATGGGTTTACGACAGAAGTCGCCACTATTCTATATTATTCAGTATTATAGGAAACATGGAAGAATGTCATTTAATCCGATGGGAGAAACTTAAATAGAATATTTGAATCTGTTTCTTAATTATTATTAAAGGGACAGCAATTTCAGAGTAATTTTTTTAAATGGGAATATATATAATACTTTTCGTTATTAGCATTTTATTGTGCATTTTAAGATGAATTCACTTTGAATAATAATTTAATCTTTTATCTTGCATCTTTTACTCATAGTGTCTCGTTAATTAGGCTAAAGATTCTGGCGCTTAAGACTTTCAATTCTTATTTCGTTTCTTTTAATAGAGTTATTATAATCAACGTGAAAATTTTTCGGTGGATTACAATTGACGCATGCAAACGATAATGTCACATCTGTATAGTGTGACATTCTAATCGAGTAGAAGAGCTTAATTTAATGTATGCATTAAAAAACAAGAACGCGTCGTTCTGAATTCGATCGCGTAAAAAGTTTGAATATTCGGACTATTTGTCTGCGCATGCGTAGTGCAGTAGAAAGAATATCGATATTTCTCGAAATAAATCGACGATTCGATCGAAAAATTCAAATAATCGTTTAAATGAAAATTTTAATTATAAAGTTTCACTTTGATTAAACACCGCCAGGTCAAAAAATCGGTCTCGTAGGAAACTGTTCTGGCTGACGAACGATTTTTTTTCCCGTGTTGGTAAAAATCACCATAAAAATAAATAACAGTCAGTTGGACAAAGGCCAACTGCACGGTGGGCTGAATCACGAGTACAAAAAACTCTTTGCACTTGTGATATTGAGCGGAAACAGCCGCGATGCGGCAATGTGCGGTCATTTCCCCAGTGAAACGTTACATTTCACCTTTTACCTGAGAAACAGAATGTGCGTCAAACGAATTGACTACCAGCCAGCCTTTAATCGATCTATTTTTCATTCAATTATCCGCGATATTTTGATAGAAAAACATATTTTTTAAACGCCATTTCAAACGTCCGATATTCTTCGTATTTAAATTTCTTTCTTTTTCTAATACATGATACAGGAGTTTCTTAATCACTCTAAAGGGAATGAATCGCAAGAATTAAACCAGAACAGGGTATTTTTCTTTCACTTGGCAAGTTTTACTAAAAACATACATTAATCACTTCTTTTTTTCTCCTGTAACATTGTACAAGAAAACTTGAAGAATTCATAGATTAACAAACATTTCATTGAACCTTCTTAATTATCATTCGTATCTAATTTTAATCACTTGTTGTATCGTTTGTTTTCTGCGTTGATTTGCAAAAGAATCCAATTTTGATTTTTTATCAAGTTTACGAGCTCATTAAATGTATTCAATTGATTACAAGTTATTCATTCACGTGCTGCAAGTATGGATTATCGAAAATGATAAATTTTACAAGATCAGAGAACTTTCTTTAATGTTACATTTTAAACTAGAGAGCAATGTCTCCCAACGTGGAGCCCACACCCCACAGGGGCGCAATTTGGTTGTTAAGGGTGGCAATTCGAAAATGGACTCGTCCAGAGTTTAAGTTAATCGTATGGCGACTCTCAGTCGCTACTCGAGCTGGGTAAACGTCCATAATTACTAATAATTAAAATAATATAGAAAAATCTTTTCATTAAAATGATTTCCTACTTGAATTTCAGTTCTCTATTATATATTTTGAAAATCTACTTACTGTGTTTCCTCAACAATTTTCTAGTAATTTCTTTGTAAAACCTATCATTTAAGTTTCTTCAGTGAACAATTCAATTTTTGAATATTAAAAATGATGTTTGCGTTACATAGGCGGCCTAAGAATTTTAGAAAGGCTTAAGTGGGGCATGGCACAAAAAAGGTTGGGAAACACTGCTACAGAGTATGAGTTACCTGCGCGTAGTGGATTATTTGACGGTCTATTATTGCAATAAATTATTGCCTTTGAACACTATTAAGACAGGTTGCTATCGAACGGAATCAGCCTCTTTGCTTATCAATAATTTAGTAACTGTTCCGAAGAATCGAGTACAATAACTTGTGATCTATCAACCTGTTCATTGCCCACGAATAATAATAGGTACATACAATAACAAATTGATTATCAGGGATTAGAGGTATCTCGGTGACGCACAAATTCGACCAAGAATTCATATTTACCTAATCGTAGATAACCTGACCGAGTACTTGAAAGTGTGCGAAGTAAAACGCGATGAAATAGAGAAAAAACAAATCCAACAATAACAAGTGCGTTATCGCTCAAAGAACTCGAGAAGTATTTAGAGTTTCATCTGGTTTCTTCAACTTTTAAGCAAAATTATGGAAATTATCATTTTTCTCTTCGATGCGGCATATGGATTAGAAATTTTTCCAAATGCACAGAGGCAAGTAAGAAGAAAATCGACGAAGTAGATCGTGTTCAATAAGGATGATTAGTCAACTATAGAGGATCAATCGCGCAGCAACGTTCGAATGAATTTTTCAAGACTTTTCCATTCATCCCGTGACGTTTGTTTCGACTCCGCGACAATCTTCCGACCGATTAGATAAAGACAAAGCTGCTCGAGGATTATCACGACAGCGCATCGTTGCTGATAAGCTTTCCTGTACGACGCGATCGTGGCTACCAGCGCAAGCTACGCGCTGATGTTTCACTGGATATCCTCGATCACGATACCCCGATAGGAAATTAGCAAATCTTCCACTCGATCTGACTACGTACAAAACCGTGCGTAAATTTAATCTGGAGGATCGTAGAAAGAAAATCGGATCGGTTCGATTCCAGACAAACATAGCTGGTTTCGCTTATTTTTGTAACCAGCTAAAGGCGATCGAACCTTCGATTCTTCTCCGCAAAGAGTATCAGAATAACCACAAATCCGATACGATTCGATCTGGGTCGAGTCGAAGAACGAAACACGATCGTGTTCCCGCGGCGCATTCGATCTCATTGATTTTTTCATTCAACGTACAGCGAAGACGAAAAGGAAGAAAACCAGAACCCGTGGATTTTTGAAATATATGCAATGGAATAATTGGAAGAATGAATTTAGTATCAAGATGACTTGTTCGTCCTATCTGGCGCCAGATTTGTTTGCCAGCTCGACGAGCCGATGTTTGATCGATCTGAGAAAAGGGAATCGAAGAGATCGAGTGATTCATGAAAGTAGCGTTTAGAAAGCGGCTTCCGCAAACAATTTTTTTCGACAGATCCGTTATCGTTATCGTTTGGTCGTCTAGTGTGATTCTCAAGCACTTCTTATCGACGCTTCTGATTCATTATTCCTGATTTTATTTTATTTTCAATGCCCTCGATCTACGGTTCTTTCAAAATAATAATCGCAATGGAAAGGATTTTCTAAAAGTTACAGTTTATTAATGTGATTCGGAATAAGCATTGAACTTGTCCGATTATATATTGATCTTCACTACTGACAATTTTTCAATCGTCATTAATGCGACAAACAGTCGTGTCGAGGCCAATAATAAAACACTTATTATAACACCATAATCCGGATATTAAGTATGTTTAACGAGGCGTGCAACTGTCGGCACATCCCGTTCGTAAATCGCGATTAACTGGACCGTGGCTTTATAAACCGTTTCACGTCATCGGTAATACCCAGGTAACGTACATTCATTGTGCTATATAAAAAGAATCATTTATTTATAATCGTACCGAGTTCTATTACCAAGCAATGAACCAAGAGATTAATGAGAAAACGCGATGCCCACGGTTACTGACACTTGATGTGTTCAGCAAAAAGGAAAGAAAAAATTGAGAAGGTCGATGGTCGCGACTAATCGTCTAGATTAATTGCTGTTTAATTTGTCAATGAAATTTGTTCCGCTTGAACAACTATTCGCGTTCTGGAAAATGATGTATGGATGAAAAATTGGGATAGGTTGTTAGCAAATAATAGAATAGTGGAAAAATAGTGAAGAGAAAAAGAAAACCTTTTATATAGTTTTACTTTATCTTTTACTTGTGTCAGCAACGTGAGATGAAAAATCGAAATAAATGAAAAGTCTATCTCTAAATTGAGTTACCATTTACTAGGAAGTCAGTCAATCAAAATTTTCGAACGACGTCAACCAGTGGATTTTATTTCTTAGCTGTCGAGATTATCAGTGTTCTCGTTATCGTTCGGTATCGAGCTTGACCCCCGACTCATCGTGAATTCGTTTGTTAGTCACGGTTATCAAGAGAAACACCATCGAGTCCGTCACTGACTGATGGAACATTGAAATTCTTCTAAAACAAAGTAGGAAGCCTTGAGTCGACTAAATATGAAAATAAATTATACAATTTTCTAATGAAAAATTCCACGGTAGTCCAGTGTACGGTAATTACAGTGAGAGGCAAAAGTGAGTAATTGAGGTTTTTTGAGAAGCTATAAAAATAAATTCACTAAAATGTGTATTTTCATCGTTTTAAAAAATTACAATTTGTTGAAATCGTGGAAAAAAATAGTGAATGGTAATTTTTATGTGAGTCTATAATGAAAATTTAAAATAGGTCATTCGTATAGTAATTTCATTATAAGTAATTAAAATTTCCGAAAATCGCGACTTTTCATCTAAGAATGGAACTAGTTACGTTTTTTTTTAATTTTCATTATAGGCTTACATAAAAAAGCTGAAAAATTTACTATTTTTCTTCACGATTTCAACAAATTGTAATTTTTTTAAACGAAGAAAATACATATTTCAGTGAATTAATTTTCATAGCTTCTTAGAAAACCTCAAGTTATTTAGTCCAATTTTAACCGAGGTATTCTATTTTGAATAGTGTCTACTTCCTTTGCCTCTCACTGTATGTCTGTTTGCAAGACAAATAAATACAGCTTACTATTCGTCTGATGTAACAGAATGATTGTGGTTATTTACGACGGAAATTGACGACTGAAAACGGTAATTATAAACCTCGAAACGACTCCTTTCAACCTTTTCTCTATCTTTCACCTCATTTGGACTGTTCTCCGTTATTCTCAACGCGTGCACGCAAAATCTCTTGTTTTTTTGCCAAAAATGTCCCCTCATCTCCTAAGTATTGCGAAAGGTCGGGACGTTTTCGTAGATCGCAACTATGTTTCGTGCAACCTTCTATGTTTCAGCTATTTCTACTACGAGTTCATTTTCTACTTTATTGACGAGTAAAATACATTCACGATTAAACGCTATCCATTTTTATTTTAGACGGAGCATTACACTCGCTCTAATCAATTAGTGCAACTCTTAATCGCATAAAACTTCTTGTGGGAGAAATGTTAATAGAATTCTCTTATGAATGATAACAATTAATATCGCGTTGTTGTAGAAGGAAAGACACATGTTTTAATTGAAAAACAACTGATCGTAGCTCGGTTTAAAACGCGTCTTATTCGAAAAGCGTCGCGTGGAAGAATTATCACGAGGTCTTTCAGGGTTAAGGGAAGTCGTGATCCAGTTCGAATTGGTTGTAGTTGGTACAAAGATTTATTGTCGTAAGATTAAAGAAATGTAACAACAACATCGGGTTTGTTTCTTTCTTAGCTATATTTAGAAAATCCGAATACTAAATTAGCCGACAAATATCTCACAATACATATTCTATGTAAATAGGCAAGTTAGAAAAAAGGAAAAAGAAAAATAGTTTTTTACTCTGTCCTAGTACACGCCTAAGGCTTCCACAGTTCTTGGAACGTTTACTTAGCAATCAATACTGATTCCCTTGATCTGGCTGTTTGGAAATAGTTGCACTTTGCGAGCGGAAGTGGGTTGAAAATAGCCAACCTGAACCACATTCATAGCGGTGAGTAATCTCCTCCCGGCTAATCGATCAGAGTTCGATCGGCGGAGGTGAAAGGTGTTGAAATGCAAATTTCGATGGTGTAGAATTTGTTGTCGGACACCAGAGATTAATACCTCGCCTTGTAATATCGAGTCTCTTGTCGCAGAGTATAGTTTAAGACAGGGGTAGTCAATCTTTTTATACCTACCGCCCACTTTTGTATCTCTGTTAGTAATAAAATTTTCTACCCATCCATCGGCAGTAATGGTGATTTATAAAGTAGGGAAATAACTTTACTTGTAGTAAAGGAAGTAAGGAAGTAGTAATAGAAGTAAAATTTCTATTTCAATGTTTTTAAAAAGCCAATTAAATTAAAAAATTGAAAGTGCCTCAGTATCGGACAAAATCAGGTTGACTACCATTGGTTTAAGGGTATAGTTATTGTGGTTTGCGAGTGACAGAACCTAATCGTATCAATTTCAAAACTGTCGTTTCGCGTATTCGTAATAAGTTAGCTAATTAAATAATAAGCGACTCAGTGGATAGCTAAGGGTGTCGAAAGGGATTCAAAGGATTTCGATTAGGAAAAGACGATCGAATTGTCGCGTCGAATGGCGCCTAAGCATCTTTTTTTCCATCACGAACGTCGATAACGCGTCGCGGATGATAACGTTCCAGTCTAACCCCGGGCCAATAAATGTCGGGACTTTGCGCCCAAGCATCGCATTATTCTACGCGTTTCGTTTCAACAATTCACGCTTCCAACATCTCCACTCGGTTCGATCTCCTTGCACCATCGTGAAGTTGTTACACGATGAAGTTCCATTGAAGAATCTCAAAGAAATTCTGGGATAGTGATCGATCAGGAGACTCTTAGTTTCGAACTAATTGTGTTCGGAAACTAATTGGAAAGTTTCCAAAAAGATCAGGGTATCGATGCTTTGTGAGTTTCTTGGACTTTGTATAGACCTCTGTTGATACTGCGATGATCGATTAGAGACAGTAAACTTGGTAATTCTATTTATAATAAAAAGTTTCGTGAGGGAACTGGCATTAGTGTGCCGAGGGTTGATCCGAAACACTTGAAGAAGGCGAGAGTCAAAAGTGCTATTAAGGAACATTGAAAACTGAGTGTCTTGCAAATAGTGTTCTGTGAGAAAACTGAAAATTTCACTAAATTGAAGAGTATTCTGGGGCTACTAATAGTATTAGACAGCAGCACAGTATTATCGAAGTTGAAACATTTCGCAGTGTTATTTTAAATTAAAAATGTTGGACCGCAACGTTGTGCTGGTTTTACGTACCAGACACGAAAGGACAGAGAGACGTTTGAGGCACAAAAAAGAGGCGAATCCACCACCGATGGAACCACCTCCACAATTGTTAAATAACAATCACCTGTACCTCGATCTGAACATAAACTTCAGTGAAAATGGGAAACAGTTGACTGTCAAAAAGAAGGTTGGTTTCATTGAATATTATTCTACTTTTTACTTATTAACTCTGAAACGAGACTGGTCAATCATGACCCAAATCTATGAAATACATGAAAAGTTAGACAATCAAATTTCCAAAGGAAATTGGAAAAATTTCGATGTACATTGTTCATCGTATTAATCATCATTCCTCTAGAAATATGTCTGATTTCACGGGTGTCAGCTTCAATTAACGTCAAATGTCTTAGCTAATTAATCAACCGATAAAACGATTGTTAATCATCTCTTACGTATGTACCTCGTAATTACATGTTCTGCACGGTTCTTTACGTAAGTGCGTCAATTGAATGATTTATATAAGAATAAATTATAACTTGGACTATTTTATTTTCGTATGTCACAATAAAAATTTTATTAACTTTCATAAATTCTATATCACGAAGACTGACAACCGAGTCGATACTACCAGTATCAGATCTCTGACAAGATATTTCATTTTTGCGAAAATACTTGATTTACTAGAATCACGCGTTACACTGATGTTTCGATGACGTTTCACAAATGATAAATTGGAATTACCAAAAGATACGCGTATTCTATTCATTTAAAAATTTCATTTCAACACTTTAGTGTCGATTCTGTCGTAGAATACGAGACGATTCGCGTCTTCCAGTGAAAAGGAAAGAGCAATTGTAGAGCACCGGGTTATTGCACTTTCTCCGACTCTCAACGACCTATCCGTGAGAGAATCTACTTGCAGAAAACCGAGCGAAATAATTAGATTTAGAAGTACCGGCAGAAGATAGAGGAAACGATGCAACTCGTTTCGTAACCGGAGCGGCGCCAGTGTTCGTAAACTACGCTCATCCGGTTTGCTTCTTCCGCGAAGGGTGATCAACCCTTGAGAAACGCGGTACAAAATGTTAGAGAGATGGATAAGTTTTCGAATGGCCCCACCAAAACTGAGAACTCAGGTTCGGTATATAATCTAAATTGGCTACCAGAAACTGATTAAAATTGGTTTCAGAGCTGGATGTCTTACCGTTTTTGAGATATCGTGGTAAGAAATTTTTGTACAATTTTGGGACTACGTATGCGCTATTCGTACTGCGCATGCGCTATTTAATACTGAACATATGCTATTCGATACTGCGCATACACAGAACCTAACCTTACCACGATATCTCGAAAACGGTAAGACATCCAATTCTGAAACCAACTTTAATCGGTTTCTTGTAATCAATTTAGGTTATATACCGAACCTGAGTTCTCAATTTTGGTGCGGCCATTCGGAAACACAGCCAGAGAGATTGTTGGAAATTAGTCGAGTTTTCTAGACGGTAGAATTACGGTCTTTTCTAGCTTCCCCACAGGATTTGCATTTAAAGAGTGCCGGCTCTAAGAGGGCGCGAACGCCTGTAGAAAAAAAGGGCAGTAGCGTATAATAACGCAGTAGGAAGAACTTGTAGGATGTCTTGTCAGTCAACAGTCTTAGATATTCATGGGATTCTCCCCTTCGAAGCGACGAGGCTGCATGTCGCGTACAATTCGACTTACTGTCAACTTTTTGGGCCGACCTTTCACCGTCCACCATTTCCCTTTACGTTTTCTTTCTCCTTTCATCAGACCAATCTTTTCCAGACGATCATTAAGAAAATTTCAGATGAATAATTAACCCCGATAGGAAAGGAAGTTTAGTCTTCGTTAATAAATCAGGGAAGATTATCAAAGTCCCACGAATTTCTCGGGAATGTTACTGTTAATGTCAAATTCAATCTTAGTGATAGTATTTATCTGATTGTTACATAATCTTATTTACCGCTACTCGACAGATATGCAACCGTGAATTAACCTTACATGTACGCCTACGCAAATAAATTTATATAAACAACTTTCTTTCCAACACATAGATCGATATAAAAATATAACTTTGATGGTGCAAAGTTATCAGATGGTTTTGTAACGTGGAAATCTTTTTCCATGAATCGTATGCCCTTCGAATCGTTGCTCGTTTACCAAGAATTCTCCTTTTTTTCCCCAGCCTCTTCTTACAAGCACACATGGTATTCTAATTAATTATAAATTCATGATGCGTATGTGCGCGATTGCACCATTCAGAAATAATCACGGACATATTTATCTCGAGGGGGTGCAGAAACAAGTATGCCTCGTTACATAAACATCTTGAAAATTATTTGATTTATGGAAACATAGAATTGTAGATTTTTCAATGAGAATATCGAAGAAGAGTTTCTCATTGGGAAAAGGGAAACACATCTTCTTCAGCAAGTGGAAAAGCATAATTACACCTACGCGGTGTACCGTTTAATTAACATTGTCGAGGACGAAACGCGTACTCTGTCCGACATATCGTGACGAATTAATGGGGCATATGATAATCACTACGATCCATCGATCCTCCATTCTCCAGGATCTATGCTCGACGATCTATTGTTTATTTCACGCACCGCGACTTTCAATCCTCTTCATAATTAATGGCCGATCAAAAATCGTTTGTAGGTCAATGGTTAGCTTTGCATACTTATTCTCTTGTGAATCTCGTATCTTAAATATAAATGGAACATTGAAAATCGATGTAGCTCCAGGATGGTTGGTGGTATTTCAGAAACGGGTCGAAAGGTGAGAAGAGAATATCTGATGTAAAGAAATAGAAATAGAAAGAATTGTATAAAAAATAACTTCTTGGAATGAGATTATTTGTCATTGTCCCATTAATAGTTTCTAAGAATACCGTGCGTGTTGGAAAAGTGAAAATTATACATTTCCCATAATCAACGTGGAAAACTGTTAGCAATCTTGGAACCTCGAGAAGAAGAACTTGATTCAAAATCAAATGCACCCTATTATGAAATGAAATTCATTTTGTTTAACCTCTGACACAATTTGCAATTTACATAATCACCTGTTGAATCGTAAAACCTCGTCAAGTGCGTCGTGAAAATTTATTAGGATCGCAAAAACCAGTAGATTACATAAAACACGCCGACATGTATGAGATCCGGGGGACATTGAATTATTGACCAGTCAACACGGTGCATTGATCGTTATTCGATAAAACTAATTACACCGCGAGTTGATTGAAAAACAGTCCGAAGACTGCCTTGACTGAACCTGTCCCCTTATTTGCAAATGTCATCGATTTTGCGAAATAAACTTACATAATTTTTATTCTTATCCCTTGGAAATGGTTTCTCTTCGCAAGGGACTGAACCTTGAAGACCATGACCTTTGAAAATGACTGAAAATCCAATCTGATACAATAATTACAATAATTGCTCGTCAATGTTGAATTACGCTTAGATAAAGTTTACATAAGCACGGTGAGAGGGTATACGGTGGTATGTAGCACAGTCGTTGTAAATGTTATGCAACTTGCGAATTCCATAGAATCGACGTTCATAGCTCGGATTCGCGGAGGATCCGCTATCTGTGATCTCATGATCCCTTCAGTCAACCGCAGATCGAGATCTGGTATCTCGAATCGGGACCAACGCGTTTCTCGAAGTAGAAGCATAAGCATTTGAAGGTGACAACCATTAATATTGGGATTCTTTATTATGCCAACAACTGTCATCTCCGCACGGTAGACAGATTTTTAGCGTGTAACTCGAAAAACAGACAACAGGTTACATAACGATACTCGCTCGACGAGGTGGAGGTGAACAGAGCGGAGGTAAGAGGTCTTGCGGCTCACCGCACGCTGTCTAAAGCCTCGTGGTACTCGTGTTACGCCTACGTCGTTACGGAATTGTTCCCTTGGACCAAGAAGCGTGGAAAAACTCGTCTCCTCTCGCGTTAACCTGGCTGCAAACGTTTCACGCTTTCGTGGAGGGGTACAGGTACGCTCCTCCTCCCACGTACCCCGTACACGGATTTTTACCCGAGCTTTTAGTACGGTCCCGAGCGTCGCGACGTTCCATTTGCAGTGTCGCGAGAGTGGTTGTTTTGTCACGTTTGTTTACCTCCTCTTTTTGTCGCCGTGAGAAGAACGATGAACGAACTAAGCGGTTAATCGAACGCTTGCGAGGCTTCCTCTGCCGAGCAGATTTGATTTTTCACTGAGGGATGAAAGTGAAATAATCCCTGTCGTGTTAACACGATCAAGTCGAATGAAATTTTCTATTGATAAATTGAACCGTGTTTGATTTTATTTCATAATTAAAATCCGGGTGCGAGCAAGAGTGGGGTTGTGTTGAAAGAGCAGCTAAGTAAATCTATTCTAGAACGTGTCAGCGAAGCGTATCGACTCGTCTGGCGAGCGTCGAGCCGGCTGCTGACGATGAACCCCCGTATTACGAAGGGTTAGAAGGTGCGAATCAACCGCAGACCGAGGCTCTAGCCACTGGAACCGGTCTAACCTCGACTCCCAGGCTTCTCCGTTTCAAAAGATCCAAGCGTCCGCGTCGCGTCGTCCGCGAAGCGGGGCCGACAACCGAGGGAGTCGGTTGTTCCCGGCTTTCTTTGCTAGCCCCTCGCCAGGAGCAACGGGAAAAAGAGGAGGAAACGGAGGGGGAAACGTGTCGGATTATCCGTAGCTGGCCGATCGGACCTAGAAAGTCAGCTCTTCTAAGGTTTCCACGTCCACCAGAGGAAGCCAGGCCGTGGACTGCGCCGTCGATCGGCAGAGTGAGACACAAAACAAGTTGTACACGCGCGTCGTCGCTCATCCTCCGAAGATTCAACCTCTCCTTCTCACCTATCTACCCCTTCTTCGTGCGAGGATGGATCGAAACGAGAGCGCAAACGAGGGTGGAAGCTCGCCCGACACGGTGATCGCGCGTTCTTCCGACGGGGAGGAGGAGGAAGAAGAAGAGGAAGAAGAGGATCGTGGCAAGTACGGTTGCAGCACTTCTGGGGAATACGTGACCGTCGGTGACAGTAGTTCCAGTCTGGACACCCTGACCAGTTCGGGCGCTACGGGAACAGCGCCCTCCGCGGATACGACCACCGTGGAGGACAAGAAGAGGGGAAGATTCGGCGCGCTTAAGAGCAGCTTCCGTAAAGAGGGTGGTTTGTTCAAGATCAGAAAGAAGAATAGGTCCAACGACGAGACGGTCGCCGAACTGGAGCCGGATGTTGACGAGAAAGGTTCATTCTTGTGGGAGTGGTGTTGGGATGAACCACATCCTTTACCTTTTATTTTCGTCCAGTGAGATCTTCCTCGCTTTGTGAATGAAAGTGATTCGTCATGTTCTTGAATAGTTGCAGAATGATGGAGTGTGTTGACTTGTAGATATCAATTGGGGAAATTGAATTCTTTTTCGAAGTCATTTGTTCCTTCATTCAGATTGTCGCTAAGTGATCGATGGGATAAGTCTTTAGATGTGTGAATGGGTACCTTGAGATTTTAATCGTTCTAATGGCTGTTTTCTATCTCTGTTATTATTGGAATCCACGAATTTGTTAATTATAATGGATTTATGTAATCAACTCTTTTTTTAAGTGTCCTAATCAAAGTAATCTAAACCAATTTCAAAATGTCTATCTAAACTCTATCAAATTAGCTGACTTAAATCCTTCAAAATAAAGAATAACGTCTGGTCTATCATTAATCTAGGTCCTAATAGACTAGATCTAGATCCCCTATAGTGCAACAGTTCCAAACTTAGTTTCAATTTAAACCCTATCAAATGTCTGACCGGAAATCCCCTGTCTTGGCAGAAGGGGGGCGCAAACGGAGCCCGGAAGAGGAGAACGAACGCAAGGGTGGCTCGGTAACGGCCTTGAAAAAGAAGAAGAAAAAGTCTCACTCGTTGGTGCACAAGCTGAGCTTGAACAAATTTCGTTTGTCGACGGAACAAGAGCCAAGGCACACGCCCGAAGGTGGCGACAGCAGCCGATCTCAGAGCCAATCGTCGCAAGAATCGCCTAGTCTCTCGGACAGCCCGTCCAGGATCACGAGGAAGGGGCAGGAGATCGAAAGGCTTGGCCATCGGGACGGCTTCGAGGCTCTGAAAGAGAGGGAAAGAGAGAAGGGAGAGACTAGGAAATCGGAGAAGCTGACGGTGAAACCGGTGAGCACCGTGACCGTAGTACAACGCAGGTCGCCGTCGTTGACCATCAGGAGCTTTTCCAAGAACGAACCTGGTGAGCCATCTCTCTCTCTCTCACGCTCTCTCTGTACGTGACTGCTCTCTTTTATATTGCTGGCTTCGACCCTTTCTATCCTTAACCCTTTCAATGCGACAGCCTTTGCCCTTGTAGGTATGTTAAGTCATAAATAAAATAATTCTTCCTTGCACTTAAGAATTTTTCACTGCAGTCGTTCTTATGGTTAATTATCAACAATACACTGCTTTTTAATTATTCTCGGTTCGCTTGTGCAATTAAACGATGCAAAGTGCAATGATAAGAGGCGATTCTTCCCCGTAATTAAATGCTTCTTTGGTTCAATTAAACGGTTCAGGAGCGCATTAACTCTGTTATGCTTTCTCGATTATAGCCACTGAAATAAATAATTAAACTCGGATCAACACATTTTATTGGCTTTCTTGAAAAATAACTCGTTGTTAATTAATCTACTGTTGAATTTATCAGCTGCTTTTAATTCTACATAAGTGTTATTATTTCGAAACCATAATCTAGTTAAAGCAGTTTTTTGGTAGATTAGATTAGATTAGATTTCATTTGATGCAGTTTCAAATGCTTTTCAATATCTCACCCCCAAAAATTCCATCATTAAATTAAAAAAAGAGCTCGACATAGTATTACGTAGCAACCATTGAACATTTATGACCGTGCTACCGTGCGTGCGCAGATCTTCAGATAGCAGAGAAGTTATCCCAACAGGAAACTCCGTGCAGCTCGACGCTTCCGTACGCGATTTCCAAATGGGCTGAACAAAAAAGCGGAAAATCGAGCAGTGATTCTTCGAGAAAAACGAAATTGAATATAAAATCCGAGTCGGAATCGGGGATATTGAAATCATCCCCTCACGAGGTCCGCCGGAAGTTGTCGTTACTGGAGGAGAAACGAGCTATCTTTCAACGACGATTGTTCGAGACCACTCGGGACTCGGATTCAGGTGAAACCGTGATCGCGGTCACTGTAGACGACGAAGAGAGGACGACAACCACGAAGAAGGAGGAGAAACGTGAAGAGGGTGTGAAAAAGAAAGCTAGACACATCAGCGTGAAGAAGTTTGATACGTTCTCCACGTTCGAAGGTACATTCGACGAGGAAACTGGGGTTGGTTACCTGGCCGGTACCGAAGAGGATTACACCGAGAGCTACGATAGACAGAACGACGGTTACGCGAGTGTTCCGACCGCCATGGGACCCATGGTGGGCAGCGACACCATAGAGAAGGCGAAGATCGCCAGTCAGGATAGCATGGTGAGAAACTAGGGTTGTCATACGACAATTTGAATACAGTAAAACCTCTATAAGTCGTCATTTTCCTTTCCTCGTCATTTTAAAATTTACATGGTTTTTACTCTGTTTAAGCCGTCACAATTTCTCGGTCCCTTGAGTGACGACTTATCAAGGTTTTACTGTATTTCCTAGATTAGAGTTTCAAATATTTTTCATAGACAAATAATAATTTTCAACGTCCAAAGATATCCTCTTTTTATATCGCTATGAAACTAAACTACCTACTTACGTCCCTGATCTTATAGCTTTTAAACGATGCCATAGAGAATTTATACCAAGTTTTACTACTGGTGGCTGATATTCCAGGTTTTACTACTTGCTCGACTTAAAGAACTCTCGATTTTAAAATATGAAACAAGGAAAATTAAAAATGTTGTATTCTTGAAGTAATTGAATTGAACAATATGAACTTGTTTTGGAAAACAAATTAACTGTCTCGTTATCTCAGTCGGTTGAAGATAATTATTAGTAATCAACTTTATCTTACCAAATTAATTTGCAATTAACATTGTAATCTTGCAAGGTCTACCAGCAAGATTCGACCTTGTTTTGCATTTCAATTTAATCGCAATTTCATAGAAACGCAAAAACAATGATACTCGAGGCGGAACCTTATCGAGCTCCAAAAATATTTTTATCATTTTATGTTTATTTATAGAATACATAGTTTATTTATTTAAAGTATATAGTACCATAACAAACCCTTCGATATCATTCTCAAGTTTACAAATTAAACCCACTATCACCATGAATGTCTACGGAAAGGCTTGAAAGGTCAAGCAGCGTCTGACAGACAGAATTTTCCCGCGTTTTCATCTCGAGACGAGAAGCATGCTCCAATTAAACTTCTCGGAACAAGAGAGGGAGATAAAGCACGCAAAGCCGCGTAACTTGAACCTCCCTCTTCGTTCTATAATAAAGCCGGATCCACACTATCGGTTCGGTTACGGTCCGCTCTCGGTCCGGTAAAATATAGTACAATGTAAATCTATGAGCGTATTCATACGCTCCAGCTCCGATCTAATCACGCTCCAATCTCGCTCCAATCCCGCTCAGATCCCTCACCGATCCCGAGCAATCACGAAGAATATTTTCCTGGAGCCACTCTTTTGGTTCGCTCATGGTCCGTTCTCGGTCCAGTAAAATATAATACAATGTAAATCTATGAGCGTATTCATACTATGCGTCCGCTCCAGCTCCGATTTGATCACGCTCCGATCTCGGTCCAGTCCCGATCACTCACGAAGTATATTTTCCTGGAGCGTGACTGCGCTCCCTCGTTTGAAACGCTTCAGCTTGTACGTTTCCACCTTGTCTTCGTAGATTGTTTACATGATTTGTCTCAATGTATTCCAAATTCTTTTCGCAATTTAAAATCGATTATTTCTAACAATACTATGCAGAATGCATGTCGTTAAAATAATTGTAGTGGCATTTTCAGGATCAGTTATGAGTCTTCTACAATAAACTCTGAAGGTTTGTGATAAAATCTTTTCCCTCTACATAATCGATAATTAAATATTCTTTTTTCAATATCTTCTATACTTTTTGATCCTAGATAAGGCCGCATTAAATATTTCTTTAATGGAAATGCTTCATCACCTAATATCACATAAGGTGCTATTGTATTTGTTCCTGACAGCGGAGAATCCTTAGGAACATTCAATTTGCCACTTTGTAAACTTTTTCCAAAAGCAGAGTTCGCGAAAATACCATCATCATTATTTTTTCCATATGAACCTACGTATATCTACAATAGTAAATTTATAATTTGCATCTACTAATGCCAAAAGTACAATTGAAAAGGACTTTTTATAATTGACTATCAGACCGAGAACGGCTCGAAAGTGGCATAGTATGCGTACGGTAAGATTTTACCGATCCGAGAGCGGACTGTGACCGAAGCAATATTGTGTGGATATTAGTGATGTGCGGCCCGACTAGTCGGGTCGGTTCGGAAAACATCGGGTGGGCTCGGGCGGGCGTCCGATACAAGCGTGCAGTCGGGTAGCCCGACTATTTCGGAAAATTATCTTATTCCAAAATTCCATATAAAACAGACTTTGCACATGTTTATTGCAGGTACTATTAACAAGTACATAAGAGTTGGGTCGCGGGCCGTGGCCCGCGGGAGATCGTCCGAATCTGCCCGACTGTACCCGACCGAACCCGAAATAGTCGGGCTACCCGATTGCACGCATGCACCGAACGTCCGTCCGAGCCCGCCCGATTTTTTCCGAGTCCGCCCGATTTTATCCGAGTCCGCCCGATCTTTTCCGAGTCCGCCCGACTTTTTCCGAGTCCTCCCGAGCCCGTAATATCGGGTATCCGCACATCCCTAGTGGATATAGCCGTACGGTAAGATTTTACCGGACCGAGAGCGGACTATGACCGAACCGATATTGTGTGGATATAGCCGTACAGTAAGATTTTACCGGACCGAGAGCGGACCGTGACCGAACCGATAGTGTGGATCTGGTCTAAAAAAAGGCAGACAAAAGTGAAATAGAAGGGACCACAAAATCATCTGTCGCTATGATTTCATTATTAAAGTTATAGAATTTCAAGCGGGAGATAGAGGAAGACGGTTTTGAAACCGAGGCGATAGAATGAATAACAGATCGAGGGAAAAAGAAACCACTGATTATGCAAAGATTATATCGTATCACGGACGGAAAGTGTTAACTGAATCGAAGAGAAAAACAAGATGATACATTGTGGTATTGTTGAGTTTCTTTAGTGCACTTGACAAAACGTAAATCTCTCTGTAAAAATTTAAATTCCAGCCCACCCCAATTCAAGGGGTCTCATATGTAGAACTTTATGTCGCGTTGAAAGCTACGGGGTGTACGTGAGAAATATCACGTCCACTACTACGGAAAATTCGTAGTCATTCCTTATCACTGACTAATATATATTTTGGAAAATTCCAAGATGCTCTAGATCACTTTGTCTCAAAACATCTATGTAATTGATTTGTCGAGTGTTTGAACTAATACTTTGTTTAAGGTGAAACACGATGTTCGTGTTTTCCACACAGATTAAATGCCATTAAATACGACACACCATGACAATGTTACACGGTACACTCGTGGCTTCTACTTTTACACTATACCATTATTACCTAGAGTTTATGATTACGACTTACCCTGTACTTTCATCAGACGTATTCAATATCGTGTTTCCTAGCATGATTTCATTTCATTAGGATACGTTCTGCGAAATATCAGGTAGAAAGGTGTACGAAACTAATTCTCCTTTTACCTGAGTTTACCGAAATTGAACCCTAAGTACCCCTGTCATTACCACTGAAAATTTTCCACAGAATTTGTAAGCTGATTTGAAAATATTATTTCTAAAATTGCATAAAAAGAGGAGAACAAGTGGCCATCTCAAGAATTAAAATTGGTCATTCTAGAATTACTCATTGACTCTGTAATATTCATAGATCATTTAATTCTCCACTGTACTAAATATGATTTCCTCCGCAACAAATATAAACTAGGATCTTTACTCAAGGACAACTTAAAAAATAGTAAAATTCAAAACTTACTTAAATTTATAAAAGATACCAAACTTTACCTACTCCTTGATGTCGCTAGTAACCTTGTAGTTGATGCGACAAAAATCCGTAAATAAACAAAAAAAATATATTTTTATTAAAATAACGTATTTCGACGCAACAGGTTGTTATAAAACGCAAGCTACTATATTTGCAAATCGTATTTGATGGTGAAGATCGATCAAAGATCATCTGTTAATAAGATACGATGCTATTAATCCTTTCCCGAAAATTTATATAAAGCATATTTGCATAACATCCCGCAAATTTATCATAACTTGTGCAACATAGAATCCTCCAGATGTTTACATATCAGCAGATACACTATTTGCCAGAAGTATATTAATTAATTTTGTAAATTCTTTGAACGATCCCATTGCAAAAAGGGGTAAGAAGATTGTTGGAAGGGTAAAGTTTACTTTTCGCTGGGTAATTGAAGAGTGGTGGTATTTAAAGAAGGCGATCGAGTTATTTAGCCGCATTCACGAACAGCCGTTGTCGGTGATTCATTCACGTGGTGCAAGTCGACCGGTTCAGTACGTTTAGGAGCGTCGCGACGCGTAAACGTCGTTTAGCAAACACGTGCGATGGACGACCTGAAGATTTGCAAAAATCTTCAACCCCTCAATTTGTCGAAATTGAAAGTGAACCCGAAAAGGTGGAAGTGGTTCAGGGTTGGTTTTATTAATTACCATCTTCATTTTCTCTTATTGTAATCACGTGTCTCTGCGTTTCTTTAACGTTTCATTACATTTTAGTGAACTCCAGTGAGGTTTTGGAAATATTCTGACTTGTTTGAACTTTTCGGAAAATCAGAATATTAAAGAATAATAATTTTCGGCCCGATGCGATAAATAAAGAATCAGTGCGAGACTTCAAAAAAATTTATTCCGATAATGTGTGAAAATGATTTATTCAGCTTCCAATATTTTCAATATGTTAAATTCTGTTCAATTTCTTTTTTATTACCGTGAAAGTGTGCCAAGTCCTAGACAATACAATTGCATGATAAAGATAAAAGAGGAAAGATTGACGCGGGTTGCCTCATCACATACTGGGAACCATTTGCTCGATTAACAAACAGACAATAATTATTAGTGAATAACAAGTGATTAGATATTGTAGCTCATTTATGTTCACAATTCAGTATAATTCAATCGACTTGGAAAGTCGAAAATTCAAATATTCTTAACAAAGTTATTAATAAAAATTTATGAAAAATTCGATATACCAATTAAAAAAAACATTCTTTTTTTTGTCACAGTCGTCACAGAACAATGCGCCGAATGCCGGAGTAGGCGAGAAACGAGAGCACTTGTATAAAATCCTGGTGATCGGCGAGTTGGGAGCCGGAAAGACATCCATCATCAAGAGATACGTTCATCAATTCTTCTCTCAACATTATCGCGCGACGATTGGTGTCGATTTCGCATTGAAAGTGTTGAACTGGGACCCACATACCATCATAAGGCTCCAATTATGGGATATCGCAGGTCAGTCGTAATTGCTCCTCTTCAATTGCTTCTCTCTAATCGTGTCACTTTGTATTTTTCCTCTAGTCTAATTATAAATTATTCCACGTATCACAGTGTTCACCAGTGACTCTATAAACGTATTGATTGAAAATTAATGAATGTTTAGGTCAAGAAAGGTTTGGCAACATGACCAGAGTGTACTACAAGGAAGCCGTGGGTGCCTTCATAGTATTCGACGTAACGAGAAGCGCAACCCTAGACGCGGTGGTGAAATGGAAACAGGATTTGGACTCGAAAGTGCAGCTTCCTGACGGTTCACCGATTCCTTGTGTCCTCCTGGCTAACAAATGCGATCAGCAGAAAGAGGGTCTGGTGAATTCGCCCACGAAAATGGACGAGTATTGCAAAGAGAAGAACTTTGCCGGATGGTTCGAAACGTCTGCCAAGGAGAACATAAACATCGAGGAGGCAGCGCGATTTCTCGTCAATAAAGTAAGGAACGGTCATTCATTTTTATCATCTCGGAACGAACGGTAGTTTGTTTTCCTCGATTCGGCAGCTACGCAACAAGTTATTTGCGGAATATCGTGTTGCCCTCGCGATTAACCATTCACTCGTTTTGTTTATTGTGTTTCGTAGCTTTTTATCAGGTTGTTTCACGTGTATCAAGGTAATCGTCTTACGACGTGCAGTTAATCACCGGTCGGTTAATTTAGAGCCTCGTCCATCTGCGCGTCATCACGATAACACGTCTTTCGTGTAAAACAGTCACAGTTCCATTTTAATATCCCTGATGAAAAATTAGTTTCACTAATTCAGCCTTTTACTTTTACAGATACTCCAAAACGATCAGCTGATGAAGGGTAACGGTTCCCAGGACCAGACAGACGGTGAAAGATTCGCGTTGAACCAATCACCCTCCAGCTCAAAGAAATCCTGTTCCTGCTGACGAATCGGTAAATCACCGATAGCAGGATCATCCGGTCCGTTATCATCCTTTCGTCGCCGTATTGCCGTCGGTGCCATGACACGAAAGTCGCGTTCCATTTGGTCCACAAAGGCCACCATGTTTCATCTTCATGGGAAAAGAATCGTTTATTATGCGAACGATTGCGTTTTACGATCGACCCACTTCCTGAATGTCTTTGATTCGTATCCTCGTGAATAGTAATTGATTTTGTATCAATTCTTAAATTTGTCCATTGTACATACACGTGCTGCCTGGTTCACGAAGGGTTGCATTTAGGGGATGTTGATTGGAATGCTGAAGCTGGGATGAGAAAGAGATTTTTCTTTCAGTGTGGAAAATTTAAAGTTACGGATCACGCGATAAGTTTTTCATTTTTTTTTTTCTTTTCATTTTCCTTTGCAGTATTAAATCTGTAAGGAAGATTTCATGGGAATAAAGTTTAGGAATAGCGAGAGGGTAGTGTGGAAAAGTTTAGGGTTGAGAATCACGCGATAAATGTAAGAAATTTTCAATTTTTCCCAATTTTCTTTCACAGTATTACTTCAGCATTCCCGGGTCAATGTTTTCCTGCAATTTTGTACTTATCACTTTTGAAAATGATGGAACGATTGCGAAACAACGAACGACGTGGGAAGTTCGAAAGTACACGAGGACCTTAATCGATAGTAGATTGAAAGTAAACATTGTTCAAGACTTTCTACCTTCGTTGAGATTATCACGAATGATTCTTTGATGCCAGAAATACATTTTAGAACACTGATTTCACGTTTTGCTATATCTGTGCAGTATTTCACGCGAAAGAACTTCCAATAGAATGATATAATTGCTGATCTTTTTTAAGGTTTATAATCATTCTCGTCTGGCAACAAAGAATTGAGGAATTAAAAATAAGCGGCAACATTGAAATTCTATGAAAGAATGATATATTTTTAATCGATCATTATTGGCACGAACATTCCATGAGAAATAAATCTTTTTTTAAGTGGAATTTTAATGAAGGTTGAATGAAAAGCTATACTATAAGCTACAGGTCATTTGATATGCAATAACTTAATAATTCCTTTCCATTCCACGATGCGATTGATGTATCATGGACACGGCTGTAAACTAATGTTAACTAATTTTAACCAAGACTACGTAAAAAATAAAGATAAAAAGGAAGAAGAGGGTAGCTAATAGGTAGCTGACTATCGATCGTACCTTTATTAATAAGTCTAGTTGTGTAATCGATTCTCTGACGAACAGATCCGTCGAAACTGTTCAATAAAAAAGACAAAAATATATATACCGAAATGTTTTTTATACAAAACTAACGCAATTATCAGTGTTAAGCATACGAATAACAACGAACTCAACGATTCACGTTTTTACATCACGATTTTTGAACACTGAGGTGCCACGTGTTCGCCACATATTTTCGATATGGAGTACTTTTATTCGTGCGTATTCTGTATATTCTATTTATAAATATATACATATAAGAAGTATGTTATATATATATAATTTATAGTAAATCGAATTGAGATTTAATATAACGTTCAGTTGTGTCAAGCATTTAATTTCTTCGACGAATCATTTGATAATCCTATCTTTAAATGATCCTAATTTATGAGCCTACCTATGCTAGCGGAGGGTTAATTTTAATTATCTACCGGAGAATCTTAGAAAAATTCAAAGGAAAAAATTTCGTTTAGGTCGCAAAGGCAGCTACCGTAATTTAGTGAAGTGAGAATGAACAGGACATGATTGTTCTTAGAGAATCACGCGAATTCCAGTTTCACATCCTACAGGATTGATGTAATTGATGAAACCTTCCATTAATTAGCTTCGACCTTTATACAGAGTGTCTCAGCCGATTTTGACATCTTGATTTTCTTGGTATTGCGACACGTAGTGAAAAATGTTTCATAGGGAATTTAAATGGTATCGAGTGGGGCATGTTTTGGTGTTATTAGTTTTTTCGTACGTAGACGCATCAAGGATATATGAAAGTCAACTTTGTTTTTTTAAATGGACATTTTTTATAAAAAAGTACTGACCTATGTATATCGAAAAGCTGGTAGTTTAGGAGATATTTCAATTTAAATAATTCTAAGATTTGTACTGACATTAGCGTTTATTTACAGGTATGGTTCAACATAATGACCATTTGCATCACAACATTTTTGAAATCGATGAAGTAAGGACTGGCCTACGTTGTTTAATGTAACGGCTGATATTTTGCCACATTCGTCAATAATACCCCAGATAGCACACGATATCTTAAAGACATCCATTTTACGACCATTTTAGGTCTGAACGGAAAATATCTGAAATTCATGTCTTTAAGGCATCTTTACAGGGTACGAAACGAACGTATTAATTATTCGAACGCATTGTTAAATAGAACGAATTTCAATGGAACGAATGCTAAATGTATTCATAAATGTACCAGTCATCATATATACTGTTAGAACTACTTCAATGTAGGAATAAAAACATGATCGAAAAAACCGATTGCTAGGACCCTCCAATAGTCCTAATTGCCCTAGTAGTTCTAATTGAAATATACAAGAGGTATATACAAAAATATCATCGTCACTTTGTAGTTTCGACACTATTAACACCTTTCTTTCAATCTCTTGCTTAATTAGTTTATATCAACCTAAAAATATCAGGAAAAGTTAAACTCAATAAATATTACATGCGTGCAAACAGAGCTCTGCTCATTTTATACATACAGTCGTTCAGGAAACCTCTACAGCATCCACAGTAAGCTTAGCAAATCAGGATACACATAATTTTGTAGACAACCCTTCTTCTTCCGAAAATGATTTTGCGTCTGTTGATTGTCCTACTGATTTTCAAAATGAAATTTTCAAATAAAACGATCAGTTCCGAAGAAAGTACAGTAAAAGCTGGATATATGCAACAAAAGTTTGGCTGGATATATGCAACATCGCTATCCCCTCCACTTGGGGGGATCCCCCTCAGCCGAACCGAACCGCTCGGCGAGGAAACCGTGTAATATGATCCGACCGTAATATCGGTGTGACTAATACTAATTGAACGATAAAACTTTTTTATTTTTAACTTTTTCTTAATGAAACTTTTACTAACGCATTTGTGAAGTTTTTCTGATTAAGATGGTACCAAACACGATATGATTTGAATTATATTTATTTATTAAAATAATAATAAAACTGTACATATGTATAAGGCAGGCCGTACACCAAAGATACATCAAACACGCAACATGCAACATGCAACACGTCGCATGTTGTGTACGAACATAGAATAGGTATCGCGGCACGGTACAAACGATTTGTACGAACGTAGAATAGGTATTGCGGCACGGTACAAACGATTTGTACGGACGCAGAATCGACACCAAGACTGGATATATGCAACGTTTAAATGCCCAGAATCGACACCTCGGCTGGATATATGCAACGTTTAAATGCCCAGAATCGACACCTCGGCTGGATATATGCAACGTTTGAAACCCGAGCCGACACCGCAACCGGTTTTCATTTCCAATCCTCCTTTGCTTTTCGCCAACTTTTAACATCAATTTTAGCAAGTAATTATAATTCAAACTATATAGTGTTTGGTATCATTTTAATTCGAAAAATTTCACCAATGCGTTAGTAAAAGTTTCAGTAAAAAAAGGTCAAAAATAAAAAAGTTTTATAGTTGAATTAGTATTAGTCACACTGATACGTTTCGGCTCTTTCCTTTGATCATCGGACCTCTCTCTTTCCACCACTGTCTGTCCTTTTCTACGTTCACGCTTGGCTGCTCGTCGCGTGTAACCCGAGATTAGACACCTCGACTGGATATATGCAACGTCTGGGTCCCAATGTTTGTTGCATGTATCCAGCTTGTACTGTATCCGTAATATATCCTCAATATCTGGAACAGATATCTTTAAGATGTTTTAACGATGTCTCTATGCTATCGGGGACGCTGCTTCATATCAGTCACTGTAGTTGAACCTTTCGCGTAAACTTTATCCTTTACATAGCCAGTCCTTACTTCATCGATTTCAAAAATGTTGTGATGCAAATGGTCGTTATGTTGAATCATACCTGTAAATAAACGCTAATGTCAGTACAAATTTTAGAATTATTTAAATTGAAATATCTCCTAAACTACCAGCTTTTCGATATACATACATAGGTCAGTACTTTTTTATAAAGAATGTCTAGCTGCATTGTTTGATGCATAAAAAAGTACCCCATTCCATTTAAAAAACAAAGTTGACCTTCATATATCCTTGACACGTCTACGTACGAAAAAACTAATAACACCAGAACATGCCCCCACTCGATACCATTTAAGTTCCCTATGAAACATTTTTCACTACGTGCCACAATACCGAGGAAATCAAAATGTCAAAATCGGCTGAGATACCCTGTATAAGATATCTAACAGGAGCTGTCACTCTTTCTTCGCACTTACACTTCACATGTTCTCCTTCATATGAATCAAAAGTTACCAATTAAGAGTAATTCATGACTCAATGATAGGGATCGAATCATCCTCGTGACAACAAAGAATATACACTAACCGTGACAGTGAAAATTGAAGTGACAATTGAAACTGAAACCGTGACAATTGAAAGTGAAGTACAGTGTTATTTACTACGATTAAATAAAAAGGTATCATCCCCGTGATCATTATATTCTGGAAGAGAGAAAAGATACTTCTTAACTGTGAGAAGTCTGAAGAGTGTGAAGTTTCTCGTTTTCCACTGGTTTGACTGAATTTGAATTCGAAAGAATTCGAAGTAAGTTTCTGGAGATTGGAAAATTTTAGTGATTGATCATATTTTAAGAACATCATTCATTCCTAATGCTTTTCTTTCTGCTAGTTCGATATCACTTCTTCGGTATTAATTCTGAAAACACAAATCAAAATTAATAACCTGTTGGAAATTTTCTAAATGAAAAAAATAACACATTCTTAATATTTTCTAAGTAATGGGTAAGATTAGCTACCCCCCAAATTTATCGTATGTTCATCTAACTTTGTTGTAAAAATAAAATCCAATTATAAATGATTTAGTGATAGGTAGCTTTACAAAAAAACACATACAGTAAAAGCTGGATATATGCAACAAACATTGGGACCCAGACGTTGCATATATCCAGTCGAGGTGTCGAATCTCGGGTTACACGCGACGAGCAGCCAAGCGTGAACGTAGAAAAGGACAGACAGTGGCGGAAAGAGAGAGGTCCGATGATCAAAGGAAAGAGCCGAAACGTATCGGTGTGACTAATACTAATTGAATCAAAAAACTTTTTTATTTTTGACTTTTTTTTAATGAAACTTGTACTAGCGCATTGGTGAGATTTTTGTGATTAAAGTGGTACCAAACACGATATAGTTTGAATTATAATTACTTGCTAAAATAGATGTTAAAAGTGGCGAAAAGCAAAGGACGATTGGAAATGAAAACCGGTTGCGGTGTCGGCTCGAGTTTCAAACGTTGCATATATCCAGCCGAGGTGTCGATTCTGGGCATTTAAACGTTGCATATATCCAGCCGAGGTGTCGATTCTGGGCATTTAAACGTTGCATATGTCCAGCCGAGGTGTCGATTCTGGGCATTTAATGTTTCATATATCCAGCCGAGGTGTCGATTCTGGGCGTTTAAACGTTGCATATATCCAGTCTTGGTACCGATTCTGTGTCCGTACAAATCGTTTGTACCGTGCCGCGTTACTTATTCTACGTTCGTACAAATCGTTTGTACCGTGCCGCGATACCTATTCTACGTTCGTACATAACATGCAACGTGTTGCATGTTGCATGTTGCGTGTTTGATGTATCTTTGGTGTACGGCCTGCCTTATAAATATGTACAGGTTTATTATTATTTTAATAAATAAATATAATTCAAATCATATCGTGTTTGGTACCATCTTAATCAGAAAAATCTCACAAATGCGTTAGTAAAAGTTTCATTAAGAAAAAGTTAAAAATAAAAAAGTTTTATCGTTCAATTAGTATTAGTCACACCGATATTACGGTCGGATCATATTACACGGTTTCCTCGCCGAGCGGTTCGGTTCGGCTGAGGGAGATCCCCCCAAGTGGAGGGGATAGCGATGTTGCATATATCCAGCCAAACTTTTGTTGCATATATCCAGCTTTTACTGTACCAGTATATTTCGAGCTGTATATCATATTAAAATTGTATGAGAATCAGTATATCAATTATGTAAAATATTGAATTATAAACATCTATTTAACAATATCATATCCTTCTGATGCGTTGCACAAATCACAATATAGTATTATTAAAATGTGCAAGTTCAGTTACTGAAAGGCATAATTTACACGATGCACAAACATATACAAACATTTTACGTATTACTAGTTATTTGTTCATGTGGTAATTTCCCTTATAATAGTAAAGTAGGAAAGTGTGGTACTTATTATTTGTAACAAAAAATGTTAATCTTGTAATTCAGAAAACTGCTTTGGCAATCGTTGATTATATCGTTCGTAAACTTAAATGATATTCTTCAAAATACAGAAGGAAAGGATATTAAAAATCGATGTACATAGGATGACACACAATAATTGCAATTATTCAAAACACTATCGTTCCATTATTGAATTTAATTTCTCTACTTGATACCTTGAACAATTTTTTTCCATTTGTTGCAACCAAGATTATATTCAAAGTGTCAAATTCTTTTATAGAAATATAAGACAAAACTAAATGAAATATACATACCACTCACTGTGGTAGAAGTTTCCAATGTCACAGGGAAGAATCCAGCAGCAGTTAGGCAACATGGTTGTAATGATCTCAACATGATTAATCGCATGTTTTTACGTAAAGATTTTCCAATTTTGTTCATTGGCAAAATGGTCCATAATCCAGAGTAAATAGCGGTAACGATTTTCTCGCTTTCCTCTATCAAGCCGTGGCAACTATACGTAAAGGCAACGACATATGTATGAAGGCTCCCCGATCAGATGAAAAATGGAACCCATCTTCATCAGTGAAGATGAAAATTAGAAATACCCGAATAAATGATGCTGTCAATAACGATTATTGATTGCGGTATGGCGAATTTGGTAATTAATAAGTAGTAAGGAAAAATTCGAAACATTATATAGATCCGGCGGAAAACATTTCTAATTGTAACGATTGTATCAGAAGGTGGCACTATTTCTGATGTAGTACATGTAGTTTAATAATCTGCAATGAGTATATGTTGATTCTCGTTGAATATTGGTGTAGCAGTCGAGAAAACACACACGGTGGTGGTTTCGTCTCGGGATCGTCTGTCAGACTCGTCAGTGGGGCTGACAACAGACGACCCCTGCCCCAGACACCTATCATACCCAGGTTCGAAACTTGTATATATTCGAGCCGCATGCCGGACGAGCGCTTGCGAGAGCACGGTTTCACTCGCCGCCACCTAGCGCTCCCGACCCGAACTCAAGGCGTCCGGGGAGACGAAACCCCCTCCACTAAACGATTGCGACAATTGTTTACTTGAAATTATTAAATGGGTCATTTGTCATAGGTTGCCGACGCCTGAAATAGGATCTTCCTAGTAAAAGAAAAGTTTAAAATTTTGCGCTGCCCTAGAAAAGGTTGAAATGTATTTAGTATTTAACGATGAAATAGGTTTTATTAAGAGCTGTGGAGTATTGGTACAAATGAAATAGAAATTATTTTACACTTCTTAGCGCATTTAGAAGTCGGTTGTATTTTTTGTTAAAAATTATTTTTCCGTAAACCAAGCCGCTGCAAGTTTCATTACAATCCTAACTGCTGGGATAGAAAGACCTTCGATCGTTGTTTCCTTCTCCATGGTCTCTTTCAAATAACTGTAAGATCAGATTAAGCGGAGCTTAATTAATTATTAAATGGTGTGGACAAGAAATCAAACCAATACTCTGTGGTCGTTCTTAAAAGAACTGACTCTGTATTTCAAACTGTCTGTACAAGTTGACGGTCAGAACAAGAATGAGTACGCCTTCGACAGTATGCCCTTTTGTTTATGACACCCTCAAATTGGAGAAAGGGAACGCGCTGACAGAATATACATGGCCTGCCTCAACCGTTCGTCTATTTCGAATTTTCTAACATAACTCACCCCGTCTTTGCATTTCCATACTACTCATTATGGAAAACATTAATTGGAGTGACATGTCTGTTGAATGGTACGAGTCTCTAATTCTCGCACGTTTAGACAAGCTGTTCGACCTATCAATTATAAATCCATCGAAAACTGTACGGTTGTCTAATATGAAGGTTCTTTTTTATGAACACTAGCTGATCGGTGTTTCACATTACATTACAGTGTCAGTTCTATAAGTATATGTGTAATAATAAAAACGTTCTCTACCGAAAACAGAACAAGATAATGTAGTGTTGAGATGGTGACAATCACATTAGTGATTGCACAGTGACACAGACACATTTAATACGTCAAAGTTACTTAAGCTATCACACCTTGTACATACATACGGTTTCATTCCTTTCACTTACATACTGGTTACAATCATTTGGAAAAACTCAGCAGGATGTTTCCCGACTAAAGTGGAAAGGATTCGCTAGTGTGAAGAAAGCAAACAAAAAGTGGACACTTAACACAGTTTTCTGTACGTAGGTTTTGAGTGAATAATTTTTATAATGTATAAATTTTAATGAAAATCTGACAAAGCTTTCGATGTAAACTTTCATATAAAAAATCTTCGAAATATGAAAATTGCGTTTTACTGTACACAGACATGCAAACTATGTTTTAAGTAGAAAATTCTACACTACATTTTTATGTTAAATACATAAGAGATCCATTTTGTACATTATTAGCCTTCGTTTCTCATGAACGATTCCCTCAACAGAGTAAAGTAAGAGAACGTGGAACTTGCAAGCTGCAAACATAAATATTAGTCTTGCAGCCTAAATAATTGAAGCAAGTGTTAAGTGGAAATAGAAAATCTTACATACCCCAGTAAAGGTCTCTAAGGAGACAGGAAAAAATCCACCAGCAGTCAGACGACAAGGTTTTAATGACCTGGTCATAATCATTTTCACATCCGATCGGAGCGATCTGCCGATTTTATCCATTGGCAAAGTATTCCACGATCCGAAATATATCGCTGTAATAATATTTGTGCTTTCTTCCATCAAACCGTGGCAAGTGTACGTGAATATCATTAAGTGGATAAAGCTACCCAATACGTGGAACACGAAAAGCAAACGTCTTGAAGTACAGGTGTCTGACTAAAAATACATAATATAATGCAAGGTTATTACTTTGAAAGGATTTGTATCAAGTGTAAAACGTTAATAATCCTTGAAGAAGTACGTTTGGGTATTCATACCAAAACTATTTCATAGCAATCGAAACCCATTAACAGACTGAAAATGACCATATGAAATAAAACTGTGTACGAGAACACGTGTTCGAGCTTCTCGCAGAATTGAATAAGCGATTGATGCTGTTGAATACATTTCTTCAAAGCTGCGGAACATTGGGCACTGTATCTGACTGTGCCTGTGTCTTTAACATCGGAGTTCCAGAAATGCAACATTTTATATTGTATGATGCGAAACTGACAGATCACGTGTATATTCAGAATGCACAAGAAGACGTCTGGGCAAATATACGCAACGAATATTACGGTCACAACAATCGCCTGAATGAAGAATAATTTCCTAAGTCATAAGCTGACGTGAAAATTGATAGGTTAAAAAAACGAACAGTACCTGCCACGTGAATAATATTTCGTAATAGGGTGTTTCCCTTAAAGGCCAGCTGGACCGTACTTCGAATATGAGTACCCTCTCTGATTTATTAAGTCCAACGTTTGCTGCAATACATTCATTAAAAGACTGTAAACTGTTACATTTCATTTTACATCGATTTACTCACAAAGGATGGGTGTGATCACGTAACTGAATAACACGAATACTGGAATGATAAGTACAAAGTAGATAACAAATTTGCAGAACGCTTGACACTGGGCGAAATATAACTGTTCCTGAGCATCGTAATTGTAATGCCAGAAATGCTTTTCCGCATAGGCAACCACTTCTGCCAGTTCAAATCTCCGAATTCGTAACACGGTCACTTTGGATAATGCTAAAGTAATACACAGTACGTTGCAGAAACAGTACACGCAATACTGAAATCAGAGTATCCATTAATTAGAAAAAACTATATGTGATGAGGCATATAAAAACTGCTATCATTAACCCTTGAACAACGGAGTCTGGTTCAATCGAGACCCAAAGTCATAAAAAATGTATGGCAATAATATGAAATACAAAATTCAATTAAAATTGAGACTCTCCCCATGGTCGGCGTCCGACGGTTAAATGATATGACTGATTACTTTTAAATGAAAGCTTCCAAATTGGCACCTTTCATTATTAGTACAATTTTCATGTTAATTTAAATATACCTTCTCTAATCTTTGACTAATTATTCGATTACACAAAATTCACTTACGCTGATATCATTACCCCAAAAGTAATGAATATTCATAGTGTTCACAAACAGGCTGTACGTAGCTAAAATAGCGACGTTAAGCAACGAGATTTTTCTTCGGAATTCTTCAGCATTGTTCATAGCGATCCAAACACCGGCAATTCTTAAAAAGATCTTTGCTGATATGATAGAAAGATCTGTGTACACTTCCTTACCCATGGCACTCTGTGAACAACTGAATTCCAAACTTCCACGAGTATCAAAGCGACACAAGGAAATACATTGACGTGACACCAGGACAATTAACAAGAACCCACCATTATACATTTTGAAAGACATGTCCTTTTCCGTTTGCACCTTGAAACGTACATATAATAAGGGGTTGCCATGCTAGGCATGGAACAGGATGTACAGACATCAATGAATTATGTACGAGTCGAAAACTGCGTAATTGCCCTATCTTTACAATGTACACCTTTCTTTTAGCAGCGGATCAATTGCAGCTTGATGTTACATAGAGGTTTATACTTTCAAGGGGGTTGAATAACAAAGACTTTGGTACGTGACTTCCATTTCACAAATAAGAAGATACAGTGTAAGGTGTTCATGTGAATATTTCGAATGAGACAGAGTAATCAACGTGATAGCAAATTGTGATCATTAAATACAATAAGGGATGAAGATTAGGATAAAAACATTGACTGCTATGCACATGAACAAAGGAGAAACACTTAGTGGCTATTTTCTACATGTAAGTTCTAAGCAAACAGAATTTCTTAAGTTATTACATACCGTTTCCATTCTTAAGATAGTATGTATAGGTATAATTTACAATAAAAAGGGAGAAGGATAAGGTAGTTTTTCATCATACTTTTTGTAATGTGCTAACTGCATTTTATTTTATACAGACATGCAAACCATGTTACAAAAGGTTCTGTACAGCAATAATTTAGAACATTATACTGTCATAGTCTTGTGTTCGTGTCTCATTAATTTTAATGCCCTGTGAGGGCTATTCCCTTTCGTTTCTTAAGAACGGTTCCCTCATCAAAGTAAAATAAGAAAATGTAGAACTTGCAAGCTGCAAACAGAAAATTCAAGTTTCATTACAAATAATCACCGTGATAGATATGAAATCACACATTCGTAAGAAATCACTCAATACATATATGGTTTAGAAACAACATCACAAAGCACATCGGACGTTAAAATTTGCTTAAAGAAAATAGAAATTATGGTACCTGAACTAGGAACAACAGTTCGTAATAGGGTGTTTCCGTCGTGGGAAAATCACTGGAATCGAGCGGGATGAAAGTTCTCTTTCCGATTTATTGCTTCTCATGTTTACTGCAATACATAAGAAGAATTATTTAAAACTGAACCTAACTTACAGATACACGTTCCCTAACACCTTTTCTTAACACGTTCACCACCATATCACCCATATTTAAATTTCCATCATCTATATTATTAAAAATTTGTTATTTGCTTAATTACAAATACTTTTGTTAGATATTGAAATATGAAAACTAGAAGGGTAAAGCAGAAATGATTAAATCAATTCGCTCACAAATGATTGGTGAAGAGCAGTAACCGAGCAAGACGAATAACAGTATACTAAGTACGAAGTACTACATCAGTATTTTGCAATATTTTTGACCTTCAGCAAAGAACATCTACTCCTCAGGATCATAATTATAATGTCAACACATGCGACTACGACCTGGAGGTCTGATCTATGAATCCGCAAGACTGCCACCTTACGACAAAAAGGATGTTGGTGCAACAGTAAGAGCAATACTGGAATCAGTATTTCCATTAGTCTGGTGACTTCGAAATTAGCCTCAGCTGATACCAATGACACAGCTAATTTGCCGATACTTGTATCAGTAGCCCAGAAGTAACCAATATTCACAATGCTCACCTAAAAGGAATACACTGACACGACAGCCAGTTGAAACAACCCGATTTTCCTTTGAAACTCGTCAGCTTTGTTTGTCGCAAGCCATACCCCAGCGAACTTTAAGAAAAACTTCGCTAAAATAATCGAATGGTCATTGTACACCTTGTTGCCGATGGTGGTCTTTAAGCAACTGATTTCTTAAGAGGTTACGCCTAGTTGAGATCGAGAAAATGACGCAATTTGCTGTCCTAATAAATATTTAGTATGAAGTGAAATATACTATCGAAAAATACATGTTTTGAAGTATTAGGTCATTGCATAAGTTTGTGCCGTTTTTTGAACGGTTCCATATGTTAATGTCTTTAAATGTATATGAATTGTTGTTTTTGGTATTTCTAGAATATTTGACATCTCATGAACTAATAAATTAAGTGATTTCTTTACAAGATCTTGAATTTTGTCTTCCTGTGTCTGAGAAAGAGGCCCAAAACGTTCCTGATCTACTAAACAAAAATTCTCATCTTTAAAATGTATAAACCATTCAGTTACGAGATGAAAGAGCAGTTTATCCGCACACAGCACATATATTGTTTGTCGCAATTGTTACCGAACTTCCTTTTCGAAATTCATATAATATTAGATGTCGGAAATGAATACAAATTTCACTCATCATTTTTAACTATTAAAAATCAATGTGTTCACTATTTCACGATCCCATACACACGAAAATCTCTTTTAGACTGCCCTCAAACAAATAAACTGAAGTGCATTGGTTTCTTATCGTCTTGTGTTTATAAATCGAGGCGTGAAATGTATACATACAAAAGTTGGCACGAACTTATGGGATGACCTAGTAGTTTTAAGATTTCTTCTCGTAGAACGGCCTTTTCTTGCGGTGGCCACGATATTTTCCAAACCGCTTATTTGAAATCAATACCAAAGAAGATTGAGTTAGTATATTGTTGGAAAATTCGAAAACCAACTAACCATTGACCCCACGTGGAATGCACGTGGCTGCAAAACAGTCGCCAGGACACTTCGGTGACGGAGCCCGACACCATGGCGACAAGGCCTCATAAATTTATCAAGGGTCCTCAAGTTTTCCGCGGAGGGAAAAGGACTCTCCAGGCCCAAAATGAGCATTCTTTTTCGGGACTTCGGACTGACAACACGCTCGTTGCTCTCGCGCGGAATAAATCGCATAGTTTAAACGTCTACTCGAACTCTTTATTTCAACCCTTCCTTTTATTCTTACAATATTGTATTATTAAGAGCCTTATAGTTGCAGTTACAATAAATAATTATTAAGAAATGGAAAATGCACCGGGAAGTATAGGAAGGTATTCTTCTCCCATTAGGATCATATTTGATTTAATTCACTTACCAACAATAGGTGTGACCACATATCCGGACAAATTGAGATGTAGAAAAGCGATTGCGAAGATCGCATGTGCAATATTTTACAGGTACATAAAAAATCAGTCGTTCCTCGGGAGTATACTTGCGATGCCAGAAGTGTCGTTGCGCGTAGAAAAAAGCGTCTATCAATTCCGTGCTATTAAAGTTTAGGTTGAGCATCTTAATTGTTGACATACTGATACACATCATGTTCATTGTCAGAAACATACAGCACTGAAAACACAATACACCTGCTGATCATATAATATTTAATCAAATAATAAAGAAGCAACAGCTTCATAGATTTTTAATCAATAGCACTTTGAGATACTTATTTAAAAAGTTATCACTTGATATAGTGTCAAATTCAAACATTTTTCCTAATGACTCAACCAAGCTCACTGACGTAGTCACTTAAGGCTGGTTCAGACACGGCTAGTAATTTAATCGAGTGGCGAGTAGCTACTTACTACTAAACCGTTTAGCGCATAGAAAAGTGTTCGGACTAGTACAGTTGAGCTTTGGAAATCGAGAGTACAAGATATATCGCTTCACTAAAGAAATGCGTCCAGACAGGTCTGTTCGGAAGCCTATTTAGTAGTGGGGCAGCCTACTCGAAAAGAAGAATCCAATCCGAGTAGAAACCGAGTAGAATCCGGGTAGAAACGGATTTTACTAAACTACTCGACTAAACTGTCCATACATACCAGGTTACTAAATTACTCGCCTCTCGACTAAATGACTAGCCGTGTCTGAACCTTTACGGTTGCATTGCCCCACGAGTTGTAAATATCTACCACGTGCAGGTATATCCCATACAGAAGTGCGACGGAGGTATACGTCGCGGATATCTTCCTTTGCCGTTCTTCAGTCACATTTCATGGTAGCCATATTCCAGTGTACTTTGCTATATATGTACTTCGCTGAAGCGATGGAGAAATTCGTGTACGATCTGGTGTCCATGGTGCTTGTCGGAAAATTGACATCTTGGCTTTTGATGTACAGCGTAGCTATTGCAAAAACATCAAAAACGTTACAAAGTTATTCAGTGACATGACGCCACTGTAATTACCAAGGCACGTTCATAATCTAGTACAATGATTTTTACCCTTCTCATTTGCATCTTCAGTCATAAAACATGGGATTGCGGTCATAGGAACGACAGGGGACAGATCAAACCATGAATTATGCAAGGACGGATTAAGGGTACATTCTCATGTAAAATTTTCAGAAAATAGATTTTCAGTTATTTTCGATATTTCAAGAGTATATTGTAGAAGTTACAAAAGGAAATTCGTAAAGGTGACGATTCTACAGCCATGAATCGAGGGGGAGGCCGAGTTTACGTAGCCGGGTTCACAACTTTCCGGTTTTTGTTTATGTGTTAGCAAAAACAGGTTTCAGTCAGCGAATTTTCGATATTCTTTTAAGTCTGAGGGTCATACGACAGCCATCCATACAAGTTTTAAGGAAAGTTTCAGTTTTTTTATTTCAGATGACCGGATCTCGAGATCTCATGTTTATCATTCGAGTATCTATTTTGTACAGCACCACGCTCTCTGCTGCCTTTATGTCTATAAAGTGAATTAAATAACGAAAAAAAAACTTTTTTTGTACTGTAAGATGCTAATAAATCCCAAAAATGATTTTACACAGTATCCTTTATTATACCTAAAAAAATATCACCAAAAAGTTGTTATTTCAACCGTGTATACCAGGAGGTGCAACCATTATTCTTTGATATCACAGCAGGAGAAAAAGTATTTCATGCTATTCATATCGAGCATACTATATTTTGCTCTACGCAGAAATGCAAAATGTACATTAATCACGACATTTTATACACGTTGAAAATTATTCACATATTATCTTTCGACAGATTTGTATGTTTCTTACATCGCATTTAATGCATATTAAGTTATTTCTTATATTACTCTCCATCTGGTCTCGTGAACGATTGCCTCATCAAAGTAAAGTATGAGAATGTAGAACTTAAAAGCTGTAAACAAAAAATTGCAATTTTGTTATTTCGATTAGTGTGCCTGTAAAGCTGAATAGAGGGATTTATACAAAAATAAGTTACCGAAGTAAAAGTTCTCAAAGTCAGAGGGAAAAATCCGGCAGCAGTCAGAGAGCACGGTTTTAATGATCTAATCATAAGGAATTTCATAGCCGATCGAAATGATTTCCCAACTTTATTCATTGGCAATGTGCTCCAAGATCCTAAATACATCGAGGTAATAACATTCGTGCTTTCCTCCATCATAAAATTGCTAGTGTACGTTAGCATAAACAGCTGTCCCAGGCTTCCAATTGCGTGAAACAAGAAAGTGATTCGCATAGAACCACTCATATTCGCCTGTGTATGTACACATTCAACAGTATATTTGACTACCAATAACAATAAGAAGTTTCTCTTAAGCTTAAAAGCAATCCATAAACAACGTCCGTAGATTTTCACTACTTTAATACCACACCATTTCTCTGTAAGGACGGACGTCCTTTATGAAGCGTTCCTTAAAGCTTACTACTTTAAAACAAAACAACTTTAATTATCATTTCTATGTATTAAAAAAAAGCTTGGTTACAACGATTTTATTCTAAATAATTGCAATCATTCTACGTAATATTGCACTAAAGACAATAAAGTAATAAATTAGAATATGTAGCACGGGTGGTACGACCGGTTTTGATCGGTCATCATTTTGAACATTTAATTTAATTTAAATAAATTCAATGCAAAGTTTGAAGTTATCATTGCTTTATCATAAATTTCTTATTTCGAGGTTATTTGAAAGTCATAGTGTACCATATCGTTGTACTCGTCTTGACATCAGCTATAACCCTATGATGTTAAAAATATATGATGCAATCTAAAAATCATCGATTACCTTCAAAAGACCTTGAAAACGATAACAATCGGAAATTTTATTTATATCCCCATATTTGTCTCCTTAAACAGTACAACTTTTTTCTCTAACATTTTCTTCTATCTTTAAACCGAACGGAGGTAATTAAGTGTTCTGTTTTTCTTGAATCACCCGGTATATATATATAAATACCTACCACAACTATTTCGTAGGAATCGAAACACAACAATAAACTTAAAACTGTCATGTGCGTAAAGATCGTCATGGTGTATACTTGTTCAAGCTTCACGCAGAACTCAATAAGCAACTGATGGTGTTGTATACACTTCTTGAGAGCTGCATAACAATGATCGGTGTACATGACTGCGTTCATCTCTTTGCTTTCGACGTTCCAGAAATTTAACATTCTGTGTTGTAGTATACGAAACTGACCCATCACGTGCAGATTAAACAGGCATAAAAACATTTCGGGGCAAACGTACGCGGCGCCAATTATGAATACGCTAATCACCTGAACCAATACTATATTAAATCAATGGTATAGTAGTCGCAAAAACATAGGGTGATCATTGAATACGAAAGCATACTCATTGTCAAATGAACAAAAAGAATCAGCATTTGTGGGAGTTCTTCCCACAGGGACCCATCTATATTTAATAGAAGTAGTTTCTCTCTGCTATAAAAAGTACACTTTCGATAACTTTTTCAGATTTGGTTGAATTTTTCATGCTTGCCACCCATGGTAAACGAAATATGTGTCAATAGACAAATCAATTAGATTAACGATCACGCTATATTTCTACGCTAACTATAATCACACGTATTTAAATTGACAGCAAAATTAACATTACCTGGAAAGTAAACATTAGTTCGTAATACGGTGTCTCAGATAAAGGCCAGTCGACCCACATCTTGAATGGAAGTACCCTGTCCGATCTATTTCGTCCAAGGTTTTCTGAAATACGAACCAGGAGCGACTTACAGTTTTTTTATAGTTGTAGTCACAATAAACACTAATTAAGAAATGAAAAACGCACCAGGAAGAATGGCAAAGTTTAATTCTCGGATTAGGATCATGTTTGGTTTAATTCACTTACCAATAAGAGGTGTGATCACGTATCCGGATAAAACAAGTTGAAGAGAACCGGCTATGAATATCACATACCGTGTACAGTATTTCACAGATGTGGAAAAGATAAGTTGTTCCTCGGAATCATAGTTTCCATGCCAAAAGTGTCGTTGCGCGTAGCAAAGGGCGTCTGCGAAACCAGCTCTATTAGAGTTTAGGATGATCATCTTAATTGTTGTCATACTGATACACGTCGTGTTGAGCATCAGAAACGTACAGTGCTGGAAATCAATACATTCGCGGATCAGAAAAATTTCCATTAAATACAAAAAGAAAAACAACGTCATATGTTTGTAATCACTATAAGTTGCGATACCTATTTAAAAAGTTATCATTTGGTGCAGTGTCAAATTAACACATTCTTCCTAATGACTCAATCAAGCTCACTGACGTGGTCACTTACAGTTGCATCGCCCCATGAGTGATAAATATCTACTGCGTTCACGTATATCCCATACAGAAGTGCGAAGGCCGTATACGCTATTGATATCTTCCTTTGCAGTTCTTCTGCAGCATTTCGTGGCACCCATATTCCTGTGTACTTTGTTATATATGTCGCTGAAGCAATGGAAAAATCCGTGTACGATTCGATATCCATGGTGCTTGTCGATAAACTGACTCATTTGCTTTTGACGTACAATGTAGCCGTTGCAACAACATCAAAGACGTCACAAAGATATTGAGTGACATGACACCACTGTAATTAACAAGGCACGTTCATAATCTAGTATGAGAACTTTTCCCTTCTCATGCGCACCCTCAGTCATAAAACATGCGTTTGCGTTCATAGGAACGATGATGGACAGATCGAACCCTGAATTATGCAAGGGTCGATAAAGGTTTGTTCGCGTTAGCACGCGTGCAAGCGTTGACACGTGGCAGGGTCAATGCATTTGGGGCTCTGATCTGTTTTTCAAGGATTTCTCAGAATTCTTTAGTCTTATCGATACCCCGAGCCACATGTTTGTGATCGGGCTAGGGCCGCGGTCGACGGTAGTTGATACTTGAGGTGCGACGAATTATAACAATAAGAGTCGCGGATATTTTGTTTATGGAACGGCGATAAAGAGTTCGTTCGCCGATCCTCAAAGGAACGCGCGTGTGGCCGATGACCTGAAGTCATGGTGCTGCATGGCACGTGTAAAAAGATAAGGTTGATCTAAAAGGATCTGGCCACGGAGTGGGGAAGATCTTGCATCTTCTGGTAGGAGGACCATGAAGAACGGTATGGCACTTACCCCAGAATCTTGATCGAGGAAACTACTAAAAAATATTCTAACAGGTTCCTATTAATGACAGCACTCTTCGAATGCAGACCACTATTAATCCTTAACGGTAAAATGTGTAAAATGTGGGCAGGATTAGCTTGTCAGTTTAGCATCAGCAATTAACATCTGCAGTGATATATCAATGCCTTTTGTAGTTGTAGGCGTTTAGTGGAGGGTAGGGAGTTTCGTCTCCCCGGACGTCGCGAGTCCGGGTCGGGAGCGCTAGGTGGCGGCGAGATTTAACTGTGCTCTCTCAAGCGCTCGCCCGGCATACCGTTCGGATATACAGGGTGATTCCCTCGCTACGCAAGACGAAATCCGTGCCGCACAGTGGAACCCCTACTGTTCCGTTTCTTGTCTTCGTCTCAGCCATAAACACACACAGAGCAGTCTTCGGTCCGGCCATATGGCCCCTGGGTCTCTTTACCCGCAAAAACAGCAGAGTTCGATTGTGCGGTACGGCTTTTGTCTTGCGTAGCGCGAGAATCACACTGTATATGTATAAGTTCCGAAGACCGGTGTCTGGGGCAGGGATCGTCTGTTGTGAATAACGCGAGTGTCCGGCTTGGGACGCGAACATAAGAGCGTCGTGTGGACAGCGCTAGTAGAGTTTTTTTGTGATTTTGGCGGATGTGCTTTGTAATTTTTTAGTTGGACTATTGTACTGTGTGCTATTTAGGCTTCGTTAAACATTTATGCGGGTTTATCCCGTAAAACTGCCTCGGTTATGTTTTCGCCAGCCTCTAAAAACAATAACGGTAGAACGCCATCAAATAGTGCGCGGGTAGTGTTGTCTGATCTTTCGGAACAAGTGCGTGCGCGACAGGGGCCCAAGCCTCCGAAGCTGCATTCCTTGCAGTTAGATAAACTGTACAAAGATTTATTGAAAGAAAATAACCGAAATACGATAAATAGTAAGCAAGTGGTTTCTAATCTACAAAGGACTAGGAAGCGACGCAGTTTATTGTCTTCGAATACTAGTGCCATCTCTACGCCTGATGAGCAAACACCAGGCCCATTCACTAATGGCTGGGTGCAACCGAAAAAGACTGCTAGGGTCCGTGACAATAACTCTTCTGTACGTGCAGTGTCCGCAGAAGATCGAAATAGATCCCAGCCTCTTGTGGACGTTATTGAGAATGACGATGTCATGCATACGGAGGATGAATCTCATGGCATTTCAGAGATCTCTAGTAAGGCTGGTAAACCTATATTTGTTACAGGCTCGTCATTTAAGGCCTTAATCGACTTGGTGAAAAGCATCTGCCCAAGGATGACGGATTTTTTTAAGAAATTGACAAGGTTAACCATACTAAACCTAAATCTATTGTTGTTAAGGGCATTATAGGTGTCTTCTCCTGTGACGAAATTAAACAGGAGATTATTGATTATCAACTGCCTAATGTTGAAGTTACCAGTGTTACTAAGTTTGTGTTTAACAAGAGCTATCCTGAGAAATTTTACCATTTAGTACAACTATCTTCATGTAGCCGGATTCCGGAATTGTTTAAAATAAAGATTCTGGCTTTTAGGTGTGTTACGTCTGTCCAATCGCATGAACCTGGCGTTTGCCAAATCATGCAGTCTTTGGACAAGGCGGTTCTTAGATGTGCTAATTGTGGAGAAAATGGGCACCCGGCCTCCTATAAGGGTTGCCCATTGATAAAATTTGCGCTACAGTGTAAGAAAGAGCAAAAAAGCTCTTTAAGGCAGAATCTAGTACGTAATGTAAGGGCTATTTCAACTAGTGTCCGAAATGGTGTCAGCTTTGCAGATACTGTCAGGTGTGCCGGTAAAGGGGACGTCCCTGTATTGGCGGATACATATCGACGCCACCGGGATCAATCTTGGGAACATCCACCTTTCACTGGCGCTGGCAGTGGCAACCATGATCCATCAGGGAATCCAGCAAATCATCCTTCGTCAGGAGCACCTGCTTGGATTAGCGATCTTAAGGCGGACATCGCTTCATTAGTATCTAGTCAATTTAAAACTGTAGCGGTGCAAATTGCAGCTAATACTGAGAAAATTGAGTTTATTCTAAATTCTATGTTTAATTCTGTTCAAAATGGCGGCCCATGATGATTTGCACTCCGTTGAAATTGATCTTCATCAACTTGCAGGTATACTTAAACATATATTTAATGTGTTCAAAAAAATTTTTGGTGTTATAAAATTGTACAATATGGCCAAGTTATCAGCCTTTCCACTGCAGCCTCCAATTGGGGGGAAAGATGCTGGTCGTATTTCTTGTCTGAAATGAAAAAATCCAAATAGTTTTTAATGCTGACATATTTTTCTTCTGGGTGAACTAAGAAAAAGCAGGAAAAAAGCGCGTAATTATACATTTTTTTAATTTGATACGAAGAATGTCTATTTTTTGGAAACAATATTTCACTTTAACGTGCTGTAAAAATGATTTAAAAAGAATTTTTTAACAATCTTTTTAGTTCGCCTAGAAAAGAATTTAATTCTGAAGAGGATAAGCTTTGGTTTAATTCAATAGGTCGCATAGTTTTTGTGCTATCACGCCTGCTAATTTTAAAGAATCGCAAAAATGAAAAGTGGAGAAATCGCGGTTTAAAGTTTTCGATAGGAGAAAATGTTAATTGTTGGTTACTTACACCAGTGATCTGTTAATCAGCTATTCCTGCTCCATATAATAGCCCTTCCGCCTGTTCTAAATTACTGTAATAACTATTAGCTGTTCGGATTCTCGCGTGTCCGTGGTCTTTCATTCACGGTCGAGCGCTACAATGCCGCTTACCTGCGTTCGGAGCTGTATCTTTAAAAATACTTCGAATTGGCCGCTGTAACTTTGTGAATACATTGTTGGAAAATTTATCTATCGATTTAGGCAATAAAAAAAAAAATCGATTATTTCAACCTTGTAAAGCAGGACACCCCGTTAACGTAAATTCTTTAGGTGCGCTCCACCGCAGACTTGAATTAATGGATTTTATCCGTAAATATGGGCATAGCATCTTATCACTGTCTGAGACTAAGCTCAACTCCAATCATAAGCTCTCCTTCAGGAATCACTATTTAATTAGGAGTCATAGACCTGGCCCAGGCGGCGGTGGGGGTACAGCTATACTTGTGAGTAAAAATATTAACTTTGAGACTGTTCACCTCCCGTGCAATACCTTTTGGAATACCTTCAAAATCATAGAATGTACGATAATTAAATTAACTACTAGCTTAAGGAAAACTTTGTTTGTGTAGGAGGCTTTATTGAGCGGAAGGAAAATAAATGATTTTTAGTAATATTAATGGTATCACCGTCTTTATCTTTATTAATCTGTTCGACTCGAGTGTCGTCAGGGAACTGAACTTTTGCTTGCCGTGTCCGTACACTTCGCTCGAGGACACGGCAGGCCAGATATTAGTAAACATTAGTCTACAGTCGGTCTACAGTTGGTACATGAATATTGGATGCCTACATTTGTGATAAGCATTTATGCGACTAATGATAATAGAAGACTTTTCATTGATGAGTTAGATATGCTCTTTTGTGAACTGGGTTTGGAGGATATTAATACATACTATATTATAGCTGGCGATCTCAACACAAGGTGTAAACATTGGGGTGATAGGACGTATAATAGACGGGGTCGGTTTTTCCAACAGTGGGAAACTTCATATTGTTATACACTCATAACAAATATTTCCTTTTACTCACTTCTGTCTCATCCAAAACTTTATCTTCCACTAGTCACCAACTTTCACCGTTACTCACTTTCGACCCTTCACCTTCCAACTCTCCCCTATACAGTCGAAACCCAAAGTTGACCTTCCGAAATCCTTAAATAGCCCTATTTTTCAGCTCTCCAGTCAGTCTTAGTTTTCTCACGCGCACAGCATTTTGTAACAACGCTGAGTTTATAATAAAGTTTCAAAGTTCCACGTAACGTCGATCTCTAATTAAATACATTCAAGTGATACCCCATTTCCTGCATCCAACATCGAGGTATTGGATCAAACCGGGCATCACAGAAAGAATTCGTAGAAAGTTTCTGCAGATTGGAAAATTTTAGTGAATGATCATATTTTAAGAACATCATTAAGAACATCGTATTTAGTATACTATTTAACGATCAGATAGGTTTTATTAATAGCTGTGGAGTATTGGTACAAATGAAATAGAAATTATTTTACACTTCTTAGCGCATTTAGAAGTCGGTTGTATTTTTTGTTAAAAATTATTTTTCCGTAAACCAAGTCGCTGCAAGTCTCTTTCAAATAACTGTAAGATCAGATTAAGTGGAGCGGGTTATTAAATGGTGTGGACAAGAAATGAAACCAATACACTGTGGTCGTTCTTAAAAGAACTGACTCTGTATTTCAAATTGTCTGTACGAGTTGACGGTCAGAACAAGAATGCCCTGCCGTCCCAAAACTCTTCTGTCGTGAGAACGCCTTCGACAGTATGCCCTTTTGTTTATGACACCCTCAAGTTGGAGAAAGGGAACGCGCTGACAGAATGCACATGCCTCAACCGTTCGTCTATTTCGAATTTTCTAAAGCCTCGTACTGACCTATGCATTTGTGCGCCGAAAACGTTCTTTCGGGCAAAAATGCTGAAGTGAGTACGGCCCGTTAATGTGTTCGCGAAGGCCCAGAGCACGAAGGAACGCTTTTTGACCGCTGTAGCCTCGTACTCACTAGAGCATTCGTGCGCCGAAAACGACCCGTTATGAGTTCGCAAAGGCCCTGGGCACGAACGAACGCTTTCCGACGGCTGTCGGTCCATCAAAGGATATTCGTGCGAACAATTTTACTATGCCGGTTACAAATTTCCAAGTACCTTTAGTCGACCGCTGTCGAATTTACCCTTCGCAAAAAATCGGAAATCCGGAACAATTTTTGATATTAATTGTTTGGATACTTTAAACAGATACTGAAGGCTCGTATATGAATCTCCCGTTGCTAAAAAACGTAGCGTTATAGATAAGCGTTCTTTCACCGTCATTTCAGCTTTTCTGAATCTGGTGTAGTTTTTTTGAATTTTGGGACCGATTGCGTTTATTAAAAATTCAAAATCTTCCGATGACATCCGCACAAAATTTTTAAAATGTCCACTAGCTTCTATCTGTAAATCTCTAACTACTTTTTCACCATTAGAGGTTGCTCTATTTTTATACATCTGACTAATCCACCATCGTTTATCTTGATTTGTTCTTCTTCTTTTTCTTTTAATTACTGTGTTCATAATAATATACGCTGCACTGGCGATCGTGACATCTGTTCCTGTCGACATTCTGACTTCGACTGGTTTACGGTGGAAAGAACCTTTCTACATAGAACCCAGATACAAAGGTTTACGGTACCCCAGGTAGAAAGATTTGCGCGAACAGCCGAAGAAATTTCACGTTCGTTCGCCGAGAGCATTCGTTTGGGCAAAATGCCCAAGTCAGTACGAGGCTTTACACAACTCACCCCGTCTTCGCATTTCCATCCTACTCATTTTGGAAAACATTAATTTGAGTGACATGTCTGTTGAATGGTACGAGTCTCTAATTCTCGCACCTTTAGACAAGCTGTTCGATCGATCAATTATAAATCCATCGAAAACTGTACGGTTGTCTAATATGAAGGTTCTTTTTTATGAACACTAGCTGATCGGTGTTTCACATTACTTTACAGTGTCAGTTCTATAAGTATATTTATAATAATAAAAATGTTTTCTACCGAAAACAGAACAAGATAATGTAGTGTTGAGATGGTGACAATCACATTAGTGATTGCACAGTGATACAGACACATTTAATACGTCGTGAAAACTCAGCAGGATGTTTCCCGACTAAAGTGGAAAGGATTCGCTAGTGTGAAGAAAGCAAACAAAAAGTGGACACTTAACACAGTTTTCTGTACGTATGTTTTGAGTGAATAATTTTTATAATGTATAAATTTTAATGAAAATCTGACAAAGCTTTCGATGTAAACTTTCATTTCAAAAATCTTTGAAATTGTATGAAAATTGCGTTTTACTGTACACAGCCATGCAAACTATGCTTTAAGTAGAAAGTTCTACACAACATTTTTATGTTAAATATATAAGAGATCCATTTTGTACATTATTAGGCTTCGTTTCTCATGAACGATTCCCTCAACAGAGTAAAGTAAGAAAACGTGGAACTTGCAAGCTGCAAACATAAATATCAGTCTTGCAGCCTACATAATTGAAACAAGTGTTAAGTGGATATAGAAAATCTTACATACCCCAGTAAAGGTCTCTAAGGAGACAGGAAAAAATCCACCAGCAGTCAGACAACAAGGTTTCAATGACCTGGTCATAATCATTTTCACATCCGATCTGAGCGATCTGCCGATTTTATCCATTGGCAAAGTATTCCACGATCCGAAATATATCGCTGTAATAATATTTGTGCTTTCTTCCATCAAACCGTGGCAAGTGTACGTGAATATCATTAAGTGGATAAAGCTACCCAATACGTGGAACACGAAAAGCAAACGTCTTGAAGTACAGGTGTCTGACTAAAAATACATAATATAATGCAAGATTATTACTTTGAAACGATTTGTATCAAGTGTAAAACGTTAATAATCCTTGAAGAAGTACGTTTGGGTATTCATACCAAAATTATTTCATAGCAATCGAAACCCATTAACAGACTGAAAATGACCATATGAAATAAAACTGTGTACGAGAACACGTGTTCGAGCTTCTCGCAGAATTGAATAAGCGATTGATGCTGTTGAATACATTTCTTCAAAGCTGCGGAACATTGAGCACTGTATCTGACTGTGCCTGTGTCTTTAACATCGGAGTTCCAGAAATGCAACATTTTATATTGTATGATGCGAAACTGACAGATCACGTGTATATTCAGAACGCACAAGAAGACGTCTGGGCAAATATACGCAATGAACATTGCGGTCACAACAATCGCCTGAATGAAGAATAATTTCCTAAGTCATAATCTGACGTGAAAATTGATAGGTGAAAAAAACGAACGGTACCTGCCACGTGAATAATATTTCGTAATAGGGTGTTTCCCTTAAAGGCCAGCTGGACCGTACTTCGAATATAAGTACCCTCTCTGATTTATTAAGCCCAACGTTTGCTGCAATACATTCGTCAAAAGACTGTAAAATGTTACGTTTCATTTTACATCGATTTACTCACAAAGGATGGGTGTGATCACGTAACTGAATAACACGAATACTGGAATGATAAGAACAAAGTAGATAAAAAATTTGCAGAGCCTTTGACACTGGACGAAATATAACTGCTCCTGAGCATCGTAGTTGTAATGCCAGAAATGCTTTTCCGCATAAGCAACCACGTCTGCCAGTTCAAATCTCCGAATTCGTAACACGGTCACTTTGGATAATGCTAAAGTAACACACAGTACGTTGCAGACACAGTACACGCAATACTGAAATCAGAGTTTCCAATAATTAGAAAAAACTATATGTAATGAGGCATATAAAAACTGCTATCATTAACCCTTGAACAAGGGAGTTTGGTTCAATCGAGACCCAAAGTCACAAAAAATGTACGGCAATAATATGAAATACAAAATTCAATTAATATTGAGACTCTCCTCATGGTCGGCGTCCGACGGTTAAATGATATGACTGATTAATTTTAAATGAAAGTTTCCAAATTTGCACCTTTCATTATTAGTACAATTTTCATGTTAATTTAAGTGTACCTTCTCTATTCTTTGACTAATTATTCGATTACACAAAATTCACTTACGCTCATATCATTATCCCAAAAGTAATGAATATTCATAGTGTTCACAGACAGGCTGTACGAAGCTAAAATAGCGACGTTAAGCAACGATATTTTTCTTCGGAATTCTTCAGCATTGTTCAATGCGATCCAAACACCGGCAATTCTTAAAAAGATCTTTGATGATATGATAGAAAGATCTGTGTACACTTCCTTACCCATGGCACTCTGTGAACAACTGAATTCCAAACTTCCACGAGTATCAAAGCGACACAAGGAAATACATTGACGTGACACCAGGGCCATTAATAAGAACCCAACATTATACATTTTGAAAGACATGTCCCTTTCCGTTTGCACCTTGAAACGTACGTATAATAAGGGGTTGCCATGCTGGCATGGAACAGGAAGTACAGACATCAATGAATTATGTACGAGTCGAAAACTGCGTAATTGCTCTATCTTTACAATGTACACCTTTCTTTTAGCAGCGGATCAATTGCTGCTTTACGTTACATAGAGGTTTATACTTTCAAGGGGGTTGAATAACAAAGACTTTGGTACGTGACTTCCATTTCACAAATAAGAAGATACAGTGTAAGGTGTTCATGTGAATATTTCGAATGAGACAAAGTAATCAACGTGATAGTAAATTGTGATCATTAAATACAATAAGGGATGAAAATTAGGATAAAAACATTGACTGCTATGCACATGAACAAAGGAGAAACTCTCAGTGGCTATTTTCTACATGTAAGTTCTAAGCGAACACAATTTCTTATGTTATTACATACAGTTTCTATGCTTAAGATAGTATGTATAGGTATAATTTACAATAAAAAGGGAGAAGGATAAGGTAGTTTTTCATCATACTTTTTGTAATGTGCTAACTGCATTTTATTTTATACAGACATGCAAACCATGTTACAAAAGGTTCTGTACAGCAATAATTTAGAACATTATACTGTCATAGTCTTGTGTTCGTGTCTCATTAATTTTAATGCCCTGTGAGGGCTATTCCCTTTCGTTTCTTAAGAACGGTTCCCTCATCAAAGTAAAATAAGAAAATGTAGAATTTGCAAGCTGCAAACAGAAAATTCAAGTTTCATTACAAATAACCACCGTGATAGATATAAAATCACACATTCGTAAGTAGACACGTGAAAAAGTAAATACCATACTCGATGAAACTGGAATATATAAAATTGGTTTCGTCTGAAGTTTCGTTCTTTGACAAAATTGCATACCGTGGTGACAATCTCTAAAGTAACGGGGAAAAATCCACCAGCAGTCAAACAGCACGGTCTCAATGATCTTATCATAACCGTTCTTATGTCTGATCGTAGTGTTCTACAAAATTTATTCATTGTACACCGTTGAAACGATACTCGTGCTATCAAACCGTGGCAACTGTACGAGAAGATAACCAGGTGGATGAAGCTACCAAGCAGGTGAATTGCGAAAACTAAACGCTTTGACATAAGTATGTGTGCCTGCAAATACATATGTCAATATAAATACAGGGCCGTGTGTTTTCAATGCTGAAAGGGTCATCAGATGTGTTCGACTAATCAGAAACAAAAGCAGAAAAATATTATTCTGAATAGCATTAATGTTACATTAATAATGTAAGGTAAAAGTAGACATATAAAAATTCAAAATCTAAAGATTTTGCGACAAAACCTTAAGTAAATATTACTGATCCAGGAATTTAGCCACGCACATTAAGCATATTTAGCCACATGTACCAGAAGTATTCGGTAATAATCAAGACCCATCAGCACACTGAAAACTACTATGTGCCAAAAGATAGTGAACTTGAACAGACGTTCGAGCATCTTACAAAATTGAATAAGTATTTATGGCTGCTGGACACACTTCTGCATTGCATTGAGCACTATATCTGATTATATTCGTGTCATCAACACCGGAGTTCCAAAAACGCAACATTCTATATCGTAGCATACAAAACTTACAGATCACGCGTAGGCGTGTAAATATGTTCAGAATGCACAAAAGGGTATCAGCATAAATATAAGCGAAGAAAACTACGATCACGACAATCACCTAGAATTAATATATATATATCGTTTATAAACAACATCACAAAGCACATCGAACGTTAAAATTCGTTTAAAGAAAATAGAAATTATGGTACCTGAACTAGGAACAACAGTTCGTAATAGGGTGTTTCCGTCGTGGGAAAATCACTGGAATCGAGCGGGATAAAAGTTCTCTTTCCGATTTATTGCTTCCCATGTTTACTGCAATACATAAGAATTATTTAAAACTGAACCTAACTTACAGATACACGTTCCCTAACACCTTTTCTTAACACGTCCATCACCATATCACCGATATTTAAATTTCCGTCATTTATATTATTAAAAATTTGTTATTTCCTTAATTACAAATACTTTACGTACAAATATCTACCACGTGCAGGTATATCCCATACAGAAGTGCGACGGAGGTATACGTCGCGGATATCTTCCTTTGCCGTTCTTCAGTCACATTTCATGGTAGCCATATTCCAGTGTACTTTGCTATATATGTACTTCGCTGAAGCGATGGAGAAATTCGTGTACGATCTGGTGTCCATGGTGCTTGTCGGAAAACTGACATCTTGGCTTTTGATGTACAACGTAGCTATTGCAAAAACATCAAAAACGTTACAAAGATATTCAGTGACATGACGCCACTGTAATTAACCAAGGCATGTTCATAATCTAGTACAATGATTTTTACCCTTCTCATTTGCATCTTCAGTCATAAAACATGGGATTGCGGTCATAGGAACGACAGAGGACAGATCAAACCATGAATTATGCAAGGGCGGATTAAGGGTACATTCTCATGTAAAATTTTCAAAAGATCGATCTTGAGTTATTTTCGATATTTCAAGAGTAGGTATATTGTAGAACTTTCAAAAGGAAATTCGTAAAGATTCTACAGCCATGAATCGAGGGGAGGCCGAGTTTAGGTAGCCTGGTTCACAACTTTGAACGCGATTTTCTCAAAACACGGTTTTTTCATGCGGTGAACATGATTTTGAAAAAACTAATGGACCGATTTCAAAAATTCCTGCGGGACTATTTTCGTAGATCAATAACCTATCGCGTGACCTTCAATCAAAACATTCGGACCAAAAACAAACTGTTGATTTAACGATTTATGGTGAGAAATATCCGGTTTTTGTTTATGTGTCAGCAAAAACAGGTTTCACGATCAGTCAACGAATTTTCGATATTCTTTTAAGTCTGAAGGTCATACGATAGCCATCCAGACAAGTTTTAAGAAAAGTTTCAGTTTTTTTATTTCAGATGACCGGATCTCGAGATCTCATGTTTACCATTCGAGTATCTATTTTGTACAGCACCACGCTCTCTGCTGCATTTGTGTCTATAAAGTAAATTAAATAACGAAAAAAAATTTTTTTGTACTATAAGATGCTAATAAATCCCAAAAAGGATTATTACTCAGTATCCTTTATTATAGCTAAAAAAATATCATCAAAAAGTTGTTATTTCTAACGTGTATACCAGGAGGTGCAACCATTATTCTTTGATATCACAGCAGGAGAAAAAGTATTTCATGCTATTCATGTCGAGCATACTATATTTTGCTCTACACAAAAATGCAAAATGTACATTAATCATGACATTTTATACACGTTGAAAATTATTCACATATTATCTTTCGACAGATTTGTATGTTTCTTACATCGCATTTAATGCATATTAAGTTATTTCTTATATTACTCTCCATCTGGTCTCGTGAACGATTGCCTCATCAAAGTAAAGTATGAGAATGTAGAACTTAAAAGCTGTAAACAAAAAATTGCAATTTTGTTATTTCGATTACTGTGCCTGTAAAGCTGAATAGACGGATTTATACAAAAAGAAGTTACCGAAGTAAAAGTTCCTAAAGTCAGAGGGAAAAATCCGGCAGCAGTCAGAGAGCACGGTTTTAATGATCTAATCATAATGAATTTCATAGCCGATCGAAATGATTTCCCAACTTTATTCATTGGCAATGTGCTCCAAGATCCTAAATACATCGAGGTAATAACATTCGTGCTTTCCTCCATCATAAAATTGCTAGTGTACGTAAGCATAAACAGTTGACCCAGGCTTCCAATTGCGTGAAACAAGAAAATGATTCGCATAGAAGCACTCGTATTTGCCTGTGTATGTACACATTCAACAGTATATTTGACTACCAATAACAATAAGAAGTTTCTGTTAAGCTTAAAAGCAATCCATAAACAACGTCCGTAGATTTTCACTACTTTAATACCACACCATTTCCCTGTAAGCACGGACGTCCTTTATGAAGCGTTCCTTAAAGCTTACTACTTTAAAACAAAACAACTTTAATTATCATTTCTATATATTAAAAAAAAGCTTGATTACAACGATTTTATTCTAAATAATTGCAATCATTCGACGTAATATTGCACTAAGGACAATAAAGTAATAAATTAAAACATGTAGCACGGGTGGTACGACCGGTTTTGATTTTGATTATCACGCAAGACATGTCTCGTTCATTATCGAAGATCAGTAGTGATAAAAAGCTCTGCCCCCACATTACGTTTCACCCAACTGCATGTTCTCAACAACTTACGTTACAGTGTATCTTACCACAAACGGTACTTCTCACTGTGACAGTCAACGTATTAACTACATATTTGTTTGAACCCCTAGGAACCTAAAATGTCAGCAAACGTGCTGAAGCACATATGTTTATAAACTAGCGATTACCCGTGACTTCGTTCGCATTGTATGCGTAATAAATAAACATAAATTTGTTTAATTCTGTGATTGATCGGCTCTCTCTTCGATTTTCACAATTAAAATCAGTATAATATATATATATGTAAATGCGTGAACTGCATAAACGGACTTATAAAAAAGTTGCCTCATTAAAGTCTGATTTTCACAGTTTTTTTAAGTTTACGCGAGAACTCTGAATATTTCCAGAATAAAAAGAAGTCTAAATTATTACTCTATACATTTTGAATCTGCCAATGAAAATCTCGTCAAAATCGGTTCAGTCGTTTCGGAGATTAGCCCGTTTAAACACACAGATAGACAGACAGACAAAAATTTAGTAAAAGCGTGTTTGGGTTCTAGCAAGGTGCAAAAAACCATTAATGAGCTAAAAAAATCATTATTTCTAAATCACAGACAGACGCTTCAATTTTATTTACCTATATGTATAGATCTATAGATACGTACCACGAGCATCTCGTAGGAATCGAAACACAACAACAAACTTAAAACTGTCATGTGCGTAAAGATGGTCATGGTGTATACTTGTTCAAGCTTCACGCAGAACTCAATAAGCAACTGATGATGTTGTATACACTTCTTGAGAGCTGCATAACAATGATCGGTGTACATGACTGTGTTCATCTCTTTGCTTTCGACGTTCCAGAAATTTAACATTCTGTGTTGTAGTATACGAAACTGACCCATCACGTGCAGATTAAACAGGCATAAAAACATTTCGGGGCAAACGTACGCGGCGCCAATTATGAATACGGTAATCACCTGAACCAATACTATATTAAATCAATGGTATAGTAGCCGCAAAAACATAGGGTGATCATTGAATAAGAAAGCATACTCATTGTCAAATGAATAAAAAGAATCAGTATTTGTGGGAGTTCTTCCCACAGGGACCCATTTATATTTAACAGAAGTAGTTTCTCTCTGCTATAAAAAGTACACTTTCGATAACTTTTTCAGAGTTGGTTGAATTTTTCATGCTTGCCACCCATGGTAAACGAAATATGTGTCAATAGACAAATCAATTAGATTAACGATCACGCTATATTTCTACGCTAACTATAATCACACGTATTTAAATTAACAGCAAAATTAACATTACCTGGAAAGTAAACATTAGTTCGTAATACGGTGTCTCAGATAAAGGCCAGTCGACCCACATCTTGAATGGAAGTACCCTGTCCGATTTATTTCGTCCAAGGTTTTCTGAAATACGAATCAGGAGCGACTTACAGTTTTTTTTATAGTTGTAGTCACAATAAACACTTATTAAGAAATGAAAAACGCACCAGGAAGAATGGCAAAGTTTAATTCTCGGATTAGGATCATGTTTGGTTTAATTCACTTACCAATAAGAGGTGTGATCACGTATCCGGATAAACCAAGTTGAAGAGAACCGACTACGAATATCACATACCGTGTACAGTATTTCACAGATGTGGAAAAGATAAGTCGTTCCTCGGAATCATAGTTTCCATTCCAAAAGTGTCGTTGCGCGTAGCGAAGGGCGTCTGCGAAACCAGCTCTATTAGAGTTTAGGATGATCATCTTAATTGTTGTCATACTGATACACGTCGTGTTGAGTATCAGAAACGTACAGTGCTGGAAACTCAATACATTCGCTGATCAGAAAAATTGTCATTAAATACAAAAAGAAAACAGCGTCATATGTTTGTGATCACTAGAACTTTGGGATACCTATTTAAAAAGTTATCATTTGGTACAGTGTCAAATTAACACATTCTTCCTAATGACTCAATCAAGCTCACTGACGTGGTCACTTACAGTTGCATCGCCCCATGAGTGGTAAATATCTACTCCGTTCAGGTATATCCCATACAGAAGTACGAAGGCCGTATACGTCATTGATATCTTCCTTTGCAGTTCTTCTGCCGGATTTCGTGGCACCCATATCCCTGTGTACTTTGTTATATATGTCGCAAAAGTGATGGAAAAATCCGTGTACGATCCGATATCCATGGTGCTTGTCGATGAACTGACTCATTTGCTTTTGACGTACAATGTAGCCGTTGCAACAACATCAAAGACGTCACAAAGATATTGAGTGACATGACACCACTGTAATTAACAAGGCACGTTCATAATCTAGTACGAGAATTTTTCCCGTACCCTCAGTCATAAAACATGGGTTTGCGTTCATAGGAACGATGATGGACAGATCGAACACTGAATTATGCAAGGGTCGATAAAGGTTTATTAGTGTTAGCACGCGTGCAAGCGTTGACACGTGGCAGGGTCACTGCATTTGGGGCTCTGATCTGTTTTTCAAGGATTTCTCAGAATTCTTTAGGTTATCGATACCCCGAGCCACGTGTTTGTGATCGGGCTAGGGCCGCGGTCGACGGTAGTTGATACTTGAGGTGCGACGAATTCTAACAATAAGACTCGCGGATATTTTGTTTATGGAACGGCGATAAAGAGTTCGTTCGCCGATCCTCAAAGGAACGCGCGTGTGGCCGATGACCTGAAGTCATGGTGCTGCATGGCACGTGTAAAAAGATAAGGTTGATCTAAAAGGATCTGGCCACGGAGTGGGGAAGATCTTGTATCTTCTGGTAGGAGGACCATGAAGACCGGTGTGGCACTTACCCCAGAATCTTGATCGAGGGAACTACTAAAAAATATTCTAACAGGTTCCTATTAATGACAGCACTCCCTCGCTACGCAAGACGAAATCCGTGCCGCACAGTGGAACCCCTACTGTTCCGTTTCTTGTCTTCGTCTCAGCCATAAACACACACAGAGCAGTCTTCGGTCCGGCCATATGGCCCGTGGGTCTCTTTACCCGTAAAAACAGCAGGGTTCGATTGTGCGGCACGGCTTTTGTCTTGCGTAGCACGAGAATCACACTGTATATGTATAAGTTCCGAAGAGCGGTGTCTGGGACAGGGATCGTCTGTTGTGAATAACGCGAGTGTCCGACTTGGGACGCGAACATAAGAGCGTCGTGTGGACAGTGCTGGTGGAGTTTTTTTGTGATTTTGGCGGATGTGCTTTGTAATTTTTTAGTTGGACTATTGTACTGTGTGCTATTGAGGCTTCGTTAAACATTTATGCGGGTTTATCCCGTAAAACTGCCTCGGCTATGTCTTCGCCAGCCTCTAAAAACAATAACGGTAGAACGCCATCAAATAGAGCGCGGGTAGTGTTGTCTGATCTTTCGGAACAAGTGCGTGCGCGACAGGGGCCCAAGTCTCCGAAGCTGCATTCCTTGCAGTTAGATAAACTGTACAAAGATTTATTGAAAGAAAATAACCGAAATACGATAAATAGTAAGCAAGTGGTTCCTAATCTACAAAGGACTAGGAAGCGACGCAGTTTATTGTCTTCGAATACTAGCGCCATCTCTACGCCTGATGAGCAAACACCAGGCCCATCCACTAAAGGCTGGGTGCAACCGAAAAAGACTGCTAGGGTCCGTGACAATAACTCTTCTGTACGTGCAGTGTCCGCAGAAGATCGATATAGATCCCAGCCTCTTGTGGACGTTATTGAGAATGACGATGTCATGCATACGGAGGATGAATCTCATGGCATTTCAGAGATCTCTAGTAAGGCTGGTAAACCTATATTTGTTACAGGCTCGTCATTTAAGGCCTTAATCGACTTGGTGAAAAGCATCTGCCCAAGCAAGACGGATTTTTTGAAGAAATTGACAAGGTTAACCATACTATTAGTACGAATCAGCTGGATCATTTTTATAAGCTTAAGGATAAACTTGCTGATTGCAAGGTTAATTTTTATACCTTTACGCCAAAGAGTATTAAACCTAAATCTATTGTTGTTAAGGGCATTATAGGTGACTTCTCCTGTAACGAAATTAAACAGGAGATTATTGATTATCAACTTCCTAATGTTGAAGTTACCAGTGTTACTAAGTTTGTGTTTAACAAGAGCTACCCTGAGAAATTTTACCATTTAGTACAACTATCTTCAAGTAGCCGGATTCCGGAGTTGTTTAAAATAAAGATTCTGCATGTCAAATTTGGTTGTTGGTTTTTCGCGGTACACTTCCTCCTTTATAATGTTTGCAAAGACAGAAAGTGAAGGTCTTCTACGATCGGGAAATCTTTCACCATACACACGCACCGCTTCCCTCATAATTCTATGACATTCACCATAAACAATAACCATTTCTACTTTCTCTGCTATCGTGTAACGCATTTTAGAAAATTGAACACTCACAGATTGAATATTTACCACCGCGCTGTACTCTAGTCCAGGCATCGCATTTCACTGCTTTTTTCGGCCGATTTTCAGATGTCGGCGGGGAAAAGGAGGCGTGACATCTGAAAATCGGCCGAAAAGAGCAGTTAATTCCGATGCCTGCTCTAGTCGATAGACAAACTATCAATAACATTTGAGGATACGGATAAGCGTACAGTGTGATTGAATGTTTGATTACTTTCTGCGACCCTTATCAGTATGTACTAGAGCGGTACGCCAACAATCAGTGAAGATACAAAAGTATTCGAAGTGTGGTCTCAGACAATTTATTTTCTATTGCAGTTGACCTTGAATGACCTTCATAATAGGTCATTGTATTCGTCTTGAAACACTTTACCTGATTGTAAATAAAAAACCATACCATTCCATTAAAAAAAACAGAATTGATCTTCATATCTCCTTGGCGCCTTCACCTACAGAAAAATTAATAACATCAGATTATGAGCCCCTCGATACCAAGCAAGTTTGGTCTAATGCCTTTTCCTCTATCTTCAAAAACAAGCGAGTTATTCAGGTGACCTGTTTAAAATGCCCCACCCTGTATTTTGACAATAGGTCAGAATGCAGAAATAAAGATTCAATCACCGAGCGAAGTACTTGTCGTGTTCCATTGCGTATTTCTTATTCATGTAAATTGCGTTAGTTGAGTTCGGCGTGACATAGAGAATAACTCGAATAAACTTTTATACCTTAAAAGCGATCGTTCTTCACCCGGATCCCAACAGACATGTCTTCGAGTTGTAAGGATGGTGAGGCGTAAAATTTGAAGCTATTGTGTTAGGATTAAGAAACTCGAGAATATAAAGTTTACTGTCGCACGAAAGTGAAATTGTCGGTTGTAAAGGTTAGAAAAAATATGTGAAAAGTTAATCTCTACCAGAATTTGTTTTGCATGTTCATGTCATAAACCAACCTGCGAGAAATATCGGGCATTGTATTCCGCATCGGACGCAACAAATACATTCATATGAACATTTTGTACTGTGCAGAGATGAGATGTTGCGGAGGCTAACACGGACGCACACGACCAGGCAGAATTCAATGGATTAGTTTCGACAGTTTTTCGAAAATATCTCGAAAACTAAGGCCGAACAACGGTTATATGTATAGGAAAAAGTTGTTCAAAATATTGATTTCTACAACATATTTAAAAATCATCGAAATTGGCGATGCCGTCCGTAATCTAAATAATTACCGTCTCTTTCTACGTTGACGTCGCGTCGGCAAAATAGAAACAGTTGGAGAATCCAACCTTCTGTCCGCTAAATGTTCCTCAGCGATCTCGAATTGTGATCGCGAAATAAGGCTCGCTTTCCGAACAATTAATGTGTAGAAGAATGTTCGAGAATAAGCGATTTGATTCAGCGAGAAAACAGGAACACTTACAAGCCTAATCATCATAACCAATTGTCATAACAATATCGTGTTTGATCTCATTTTAATCAGAAAAATTTCACCAATATGTTGATGAAAATTTTATTTAAAAGAAATTAAAAATAAAAAAGTTTGTTGCATTGGTATTGTCTCACCGATATGTATTTAGGCATTTAATTTTTTACGGCCACCTCGACTCTCATTCCCTCTTTCTTCTTTATCAAACTGTCTCTTTCTACGTTCGTCGACGTCAACAAAATACAAACGGTTAGCAGAATCGAATCTTCTGTTCGCTAAATGTTCCTCAACGGTCCCAAATTCTGAACACATATTGAGCCTTTATTGTATATCTCCTAGTTTCCTTATCTCCAACTTGAACCTCACACCTTATCGTCGCTTCAACTACACCTCACATCGTGCTAAAAATTAATATGTCCCCTTTTCCATTTCGTACACCTCGCAAACTGAACATTACAAACTAACAACTTAATTGCACAATTACCTTTAATAGTGGTCTACATTCGAAGAATAATTCATGGTTTCATCTGTCCACTGTCGTTCCTATGACCGCAACCCCATGTTTTATGTCTGAGGGTGCGCATGAGAAGGGATAAATTCTCCTACTAGATTATGAACGTCCCTTGTTAATTACAGTAGTGTCATGTCACTCTATAGACATGACACCACTGTAGATATTTCTTTGTGACGTCTTTGATGTTTTTGCAATAGCTATATTGTACGTCAAAAGCTAAGATGTCAGTTTTCCGACAACCACCATGGACACCAGATCGTACACGGATTTTTCCATCACTTTTGCGACATATATAACAAAGTACACAGGGATATGGGTGCCACGAAATCCGGCAGAAGAACTGCAAAGGAAGATATCAATGACGTATACGGCCTTCGTACTTCTGTATGGGATATACGTGAACGCAGTAGATATTTACTACTCATGGGGCGATGCAACTGTAAGTGACTACGTCAGTGAGCTTGATTGAGTCGTTAGGAAGAATGTGTTAATTTGACACTGTATCAAATGATAACTTTTTAAATATGTGTCTCATGATATAGCACCGTGCATCCCACGGACGTCCGTTTCATGTCCAGATTATATCCGAACGTCCAACGTCCATTTTGAAAATCCTTGAGATGTCCACAAGGCGTATATTTCGTATGTCCTAGGAACGTCCGTCTTGAAAGTCCTACGGACATAGATCAGACGTATGTCCAAGATTGGGTAGAATGACCCGTACGTCACCCGCGCGGCGAGAACGACCGAAATTTGCGGCCTGCTGTTTTATGACAAGGTCTAAGCAGAAAACAGATCCCGGGCGCTGACAAACGATTGGCAGAATTCCCAACTTGGGAATATGACGAGCCACCATCGACACTTTTTCGTGAAACGTTGTTGCGACAAGACGTATAGCGAGTCTCCGTACAGTTTGAGTGTGAATTTCAAGCGTTGACGATCGTCATATTACGAGTGAATATTAGTATTCCTTATTTGTGTTTATAGTGTGTTGACGAGTTTTTCTGCCATCTCAGGTAAGTGTCACTTTTTTCTTAATTAACTTAATTCCTTAATTTTTCTTAATTTTTCTTAATAATAGGTAATTATGCCTTCTTTGAGACGACAACACATATGTTATTCGTATACGATTCATACCGATTTCTTATTCTTCTTTATGAAATGGTTGTGCGTACAATTCTATGTATAACGTATAGTCGGTATCCATCATATATTATTTTTTACATTTATTTGTATCGAATTGAATATATTATTCAACTGAATTTCTATTATTTAGACGCAGCACAAACATTAAAAGTGTGCAAAGATAAGAAAGAAACGGAGGTGTCCATACAGTCTTGGCTAAGGAGAGCTGCGGAACGCAACAAGAACATTGTAAAAGATATTTAGTAGAAATAATAAAATAAATAATAGGTATGTAATAAAAATAAAGATTATAAAAAAAAGTACTGAAAACGTTTTGTAATTTTAAATGCTCCGAAAACATTCCTTATATGGCTTTCAAGACGTAAGCATAGCGTTCTGCAAAGTTTTATAAACGTTCACACAACGTACAGAGATCGTTACTTTAGGACGTTCAGAAAACTTCCTGAGAATGTGCGCACAGGACGTCCCCTGGACGTTCCACTTTTTGACAGGCATAACCAGAATATATAGGGAACATATGGATGTTAACGGGACATTCCCCGTATGTACGAAACGTCCAGCATGGACGTTCGATGGACATACATGAAATGTTTCTGTGCTATTGCAATGTTCTAGTGATTAAAAACATATGACGTTGTTTTTTTTTTGTATTTAATGGAAATTTCCTCTGATCAGCGAATGTATTGAGTTTCCAGCACTGTACGTTTGTGATACTCAACACGACCTGTATCAGTATGACAACAGTTAAGATGATCATCCTAAACTCTAAAAGAGCTGGTTTCATCGACGCCCTTTTCTATGCGCAACGACACTTTTGGCATGAAAACTATAATTCCAAGGAACGACTTATTTTTTCCATATCTGTGAAATACTGTATAGGGTATGTGATCTTTGCAGCCGCTTCTCTTCAAATTGCTTTATCCGGATACGTGATCACACCTCTTATTGGTAAGTGAATTAAACCAAACATGACCCTAATCCGAGAATTAACCTTTGCCATTCTTCCCGGTGCGTTTTCCATTTCTTAATAAGTGTTTATTGTGACTGTAGCTATAAGAAAAGTACAAGTCATTCCTGGTTCATATTTCAGAAAACCTTGAACGAAATAAATCGAACAGGGTACTTCCAGTCAATATGTGGGTCGACTTGCCATTATATGAGACACCGTATTTCGAACTAATGTTTACTTTCCAGGTAATGTTAATTTTCCTTTTAAAACAAATACGTATGGTTATAGTTATCGTAGAAATATAGCGTGATCGTTAATCTAATTGATTTGTCTATTGAGACATATTTCGTTTACCATCGGTGACAAGCATGAAAAATTCAACCAAATCTGAAAAAGTTATCGAAAGTGTACTTTTACAGCAGAGAAAAACCACTTCTATTAAATGTAAATGGGTCCCTGTGGAAAGAATTCCCACATACGCTGATTCTTTTTGTTCATTTGACAACGTGTAGGCTTCCTTATTCAATGATCACCCAATGTTTCTACGGCTACGATACCATGGTTTAATATAGTATTGGTTCAGGTGATTAGTGTATACGTAATTGGCGCCGCGTACATTTGTCCCGAAATGTTTTTATGCCTGTTTAATCTGCACGTGATGGGTCAGTTTCGTATACTACAACACAGAATATTAAATTTCTGGAACGTCGAAAGCAAAGAGATGAAAGCAGTCATGTACACCGAACATTGTTATGCAGCTCTCAAGAAGTGTGTACAACATCATCAATTAATTATTGAATTCTGCCAAAAGCTCGAACAAGTATACACCATGTCGATCTTTACGCACATGGTAGTTTTAAGTTTGTTGCTGTGTTTCGATTCCTACGAAATAGTCGTGGTAGGTATTTATATATATATACCGGATGATCCACGAGAAACAGAACACCTAATTATCTCCGTTCGGTTTAAAGATAGAAGAAAATGTTAGAGAAAAAGGTTGTACTGTTTGAGGAGGCAAATATGGGGATATAAATAAAATTTTCGATTGTTATCGTTTTCAAGGTCTTTTGAAGGTCATTGATGATTTTGCGACTGCACCATATATTTTTAACATCATAGGGTTGTAGCTGATGTCAAGGCGAGTATAACGATATGGTACATTATCACCTTCAAATGACCCTGAACTGAAGAATAGGGTCTATTCCGTCTGATCATCGATTCCAAGTTGCTGGATAGGACGTGATGGACAAATACCATGGCCAGCTCGTTCACCCGATTTAACTCCTCTTGATTTTTTTTGATGGGGAACACTGAACGATGATGTGTATCATGATCAATCAAGTACACCAGAGAACATACAAGAAAGAAATGAGCTTGCGTCATTGTTCAAGGTCATCATTTTGAATATTTAATTTAATTTAAATAAATTCATTGCAAAGTTTGAAATTATCATTGCTTTATCATAAATTTCTTATTTCAAGGCTATTTGAAGGTCATAGTGTACCACATCGTTGTACTCGCCTTGACATCAGCTACAACTCTATGATTGTTAAAATTATATGGTGCAATCTAAAAAACATCGATGACCTTCAAAAGATCTTGAAAACGATAACAATCGGAAATTTTGTTGATATCCCCATATTGGCCTCCTTAAACAGTACAACTTTTTTCTCTAACATTTTCTTCTATGTTTAAACCGATCGGAGGTAATTAAGTGTTCTGTTTCTCGTGAATCACATATATGGTTCAGCACGCTTCATGAAATTTCAGGTTCCTAGGGATTCAAACAAATATATAGTTAATACGTTGACTGTTACAGTGAGAACTACCATTTGTGGTAAGATACACTGTAACGTAAGTTGTTGAGAACATGCAGTTGGGTGGAACGAAATGTGGGGGGCAGAACTTTTTATCACTAATGATCTTCGATAATGAACGAGACATGTCTTGCGTGATAATCGAAATCAAAACCGGTCGTACCACCCGTGCTACATGTTCTAATTTATTACTTTATTGTCCTTAGTGCAATATTACGTCGAATGATTGCAATTATTTAGAATAAAATCATTGTAACCAAGCTTTTTTTTAATACATAGAAATGATAATTAAAATTGTTTTGTTTTAAAGTAGTAAGCTTTAAGGAACGCTTCATAAAGGACGTCCGTCCTTACAGGGAAATGGTGTGGTATTAAAGTAGTGAAAATCTATGGACGTTATTTATGGATTGCTTTTAAGCTTAACAGAAACTTCTTATTGTTATTGGTAGTCATATATGTATACTGTTGAATGTGTATACTGACAATGAGTTCCATCGAAGTTGTCGCACTAACACATTCACGCCACGTCGGTGAGCCGATGGGTGAGCCAACTTCACTGCAACAACTTTGGTGGGACTCAGTAATCAATATATTTTAATTAGAATAATATTTTATACTATGAAACATCGATATTTTTTTATTATAGAATAAAAATTTAAATTTTGTACACAGGCAAATACGAGTGCTTCTATGCGAATCATTTTCTTGTTTCACGCAATTGGAAGCCTGGGTCAGCTGTTTATGCTTACGTACACTAGTCATTTTATGATGGAGGAAAGCACGAATATTATTACCGCGATGTATTTAGGATCTTGGAGCACATTGCCAATGAATGAAGTTGGCAAATCATTTCGATCGGCTATGAAATTCGTTATGATTAGATCATTAAAACCGTGCTATCTGACTGCTGCCGGATTTTTCCCTCTGACTTTGGAAACTTTTACCTCGGTAACTTAATTTTGTATAAATCCCTCTATTCAGCTTTATAGGCAAACTAATCGAAGTAACATAATTGCAATTATTTGTTTACAGCTTTTAAGTTCTACATTCTCTTACTTTACTTTGATGAGGCAATCGTTCATGAGATCCGATGGATAATAATATAAGAAATAACTTAATATGCATTAAATGCGATGTAAGAAACATACAAATCTGTCGAAATATAATATGTGAATAGTTTTCAATGTGTAAAAAATATCGCGATTATTGTACATTTTGCATTTTTGTGTAGAGCAAAATATATTATGCTCGATATGAATAGCATGAAATACTTTTTCTCCTGCTGTGATATCAAAAAATAATGGTCCTGCCTCCTCGTGTAAAAATCTTGATCTCCCTATTATTTGTAATTAAAAAGCAACTTCCATACATTGAAACCTTTCCAGCAAGTATGTATCCTGTTATCCTCTTCTCCATTTTGAACTTCACACATTGTCGTCGCTTCCGTCACATTATCTTGCACTAAAATATTATATAAACACCACTTTGTATTCCATACAATTCGCGAATCGGACGTTACGAATGAACATGTTTACTGCATGGTTACCTTTGGAACTAAACACTTTGTTACTTTGCAAAGTATTGTTTAAAAATAATTTTTAACAAAAAATACAACCGACTTCGAAATGCACTAAAAAGTATGAAATAATTTTTACTTCATTTATACAAATACCCAACAACTATTGATAAAACCTATTTACTCGTTAAATAGTATACTAAATACATTTCAACCTTTTCGGAGGCGGCGCAAAATAGTTTTTCACTTATATCTCGGAAACTAAAGCTTTCCGAATCATGCCCCCGACAACGTATTAAAAGGTCATTGAAATCGTCCAATCTTGACATTAAAAACTTCCTGTAATTTGCAATAACAATGAAAAAATGAAAAATTTTTTTTCAATGGGACCAATCGGAAGACATACCCTACAAGATGCAAAAGGTGTCGTTCCGATTGGTCCATCCATCTCGGAGTAATCGGCGAACACACAAAATAAAAAAAAAATTAAAAAAACATACATACCGATCGAATTGAGTAACCTCCTTCTTTTCGAAGTTGGTTAAAAACGGATCATCTGTCCTCGGGTGTGTGACAGTGATAGTTACGATAATCGGCCCTTGCATAAATCATGGTTTGAGCTGTCCACTGTCGTTTCTATGACCGCAACCCCATGTTTTATGACTGAAAGTGCGAATGAGAAGGGGAAATATCTTTGTACTAGATTACGAACGTGCCTTGGTAATTACAGTAGTGTCATGTCACTGAATATCTTTGAAATGTTTTTGATGTTTTTATAATAGCTACGCTGTACACTGTATATATCACAAGCCAAGATGTCAGTTTTCCGACAACCACCATGGACATCAGATCGTACACGGATTTCTCTATCATTTCCGCGAAGTATATAACACAGTACACAGGAATATGGCTACCACAAACTGTGACTGAAGAAAGGCAAAGGAAGATATCCGTGTCGTATACCTCCTTCGCACTTCTATATGGGATATGGTTGCATGTGATGGATATTTACAACTCGTGGGGCGATGCAGCTGTAAGTGATTACGTCAGTGTGCTTGGTTGAATCATTAGGAAAAATGTTTTAATTTGATACTATATCAAGTGATAACATTTTAAATAAGTATCTCAAAGTTCTATTGATTAAAAATCTACGAAGCTGTTGCTTCTTTATTATTTGATTAAAAATTATATGATCATCAGGTGTATTGTGTTTTCAGCGCTGTATGTATCTGACAATGAACATGTTGTGTATCGGTATGTCAACAATTAAGATGCTCATCCTAAACTTTAATAGAGCTAAATTGACAGACGCTTTTTTCTACGCGCAACGGCACTTCTGGCATCGCAAGTATACTCCCGAGGAACGATTGATTTTTTCTGTATCTGTAAAATATTGCACACGGTATGCGATCTTCGCACTCACTTTTGTACATCTCAGTTTGTCCGGATATGTGGTCACACCTGTTGTTGGTAAGTGAATTAAATCAAATATAATCCTAATGGGAGAAGAATACCTTCTTATACTTCCCGATGCGTTTTCCATATCTTAATAAATATTTGTTGTGGCTGCAACTATAAAAAAGTATAAGTTGCTGCTGATTCATATTTCAGAAAACCTTGGACGAAATAAATCGGACAGAATACTTCCATTCAAGATATGGACCGACTTGCCCTTATCTGAGACACCGTATTTCGAACTAATGTTTATTATTCAGGTAATGTTAATTTTCCTTTTAAAACAAATACGTATGATTATAGTTATCGTAGAAATATAGCGTGATCGTTAATGTAAATTATATGTAAATTAACACATCCTTCGTTTCCATTTACCACGTCAAACAGAAGGGGTTATGAATGACCAACGTTAAAAGTTTAAACTGATCGGAAAAAGTTTCTAAAGGTGTGTTCTTCCAAATGACGAATAAATTGTTTGTTTTTTTTTTTGTTCTTTTTTTTGTAGTGGTAATAGGGCTCGCTGGAAAGAATTCCCAACCATGCGGATTCTTTTGACCTACCTGTGTAGGCTTAATCACTTAATGATCACTCTATGTTTCTGTGGCTACTATACCATTGATTTATTAAAGTATTCGTTCAGGTGATCAGCGCATACATAATTGGCATGTCGTACATTTCCCCTGAAATGTTTTTATGCGTCTTTAATCTGCACGTAATGGGTCAATTTCGCATACTACAATACAGAATATTGAATTTCTGGAATGTCGAAAGCAAAGAGTTGAACGCAATCATGTACACCGAACATTGTTATGCAGCTCTCAAGAAGTGTGTACAACATCATCAATTAATTATTGAATTCTGCCAAAAGCTCGAACAAATATATTCCATGACGATTTTTACGCACTTGGCAGTTTTAAGTGTGTTAATGGGTTTAGATTGCTACGAAATAGTTGTGGTTCGTATCAAGCTTTAAAGGGCTTTCCATTAAGGATGTCCGTATTTAAAAAAGATTAGGGTAATGTAAAAATGGCGGAAATCTACGAACGTCTTTTATGCTTTACCTTTAAGCTTTACAGAAATTCGTTATTATTGACGCTATAAAAATATACCTTCGGATGTATGTACAGGCAGACACAAGTAGGTCCATGCTTCTCACTTTCGTGTTCCACGGAATTGGCAGCCTGATTCACCTTTGTTTCCTTACGTACACTTGCCATTTTATGATAGAAGAAAGCACCAACATTATTACAACGGTATATACCGGATTGTGGTGCACTTTGCCAATGAACAAAGTTGGCAGATCGTTACGATCAGATATAAAATTTATTATGCAAAGATCGTTGAAACCGTGCTATCTGACGGCTGGTGGATTTTTTCCTGTGTCTTTGGAGACTTTTACGTCGGTAGGCAACTTATTTTCATTCCTCCATTTAGCTTTGCAAATAGTACGGCTTCTGGAACGCCATGATTAAATTACCAAAATTGCAACTTTTTGTTCACAGCTTTTAAGTTCTACATTTTCCTACTTTACGTTGATGAGGGAGTCGATGACGAAAACCGAAGACGAATAGTATATGACACAGATTAATATGTATTAACAGCGACTCTAGTATATAATATATAAAAGTGTAGGAAGATAACTTGATATTTTTTAATTTTCCTAAAGTTGTTATGCACAATATATGTTCTCCATTTTTATGTACAAAGTGCCATTTAAAATATATAATGTGATACGAAAAATTTTCTTCTTATACCCTGGCATAAAAAAGTAAGTCACGTACCAGCTTCCTTTATGGCAATTTATGCTTGGACTTTGCCGTCACCTTAATTACTATCACCAATAATAGGTATTGTTTTCGATTCTTGCCTAATTAACTGTTCGATCTTCCCCGTATCGTTCCTAGGTGCAGTGAATGTACAGTAAAAGCTGGATATATAGTAAAAGCTGGATATATGCAACAAAAGTTTGGTTGGATATATGCAACATCGCTATCCCCTCCACTTGGGGGGATCTCCCTAAGCCGAACCGTCCCGCTCGGCGAGGAAACCGTGTACAGTAAAAGCTGGATACAGTAAAAGCTGGATATATGCAACAAAAGTTTGGCTGGATATATGCAACATCGCTATCCCCTCCACTTGGGGGGATCCCCCTAAGCCGAACCGAGCCGCTCGGCGAGGAAACCGTGTAATATGATCCGACCGTAATATCGGTGTGACTAATACTAATTGAACGATAAAACTTTTTTATTTTTAACTTTTTCTTAATGAAACTTTTATTAACGCATTTGTGAGATTTTTCTGATTAAAATGGTACCAAACACGATATGATTTGAATTATATTTATTTATTAAAATAATAATAAAACTGTACATATGTATAAGGCAGGCCGTACACCAAAGATACATCAAACACGTAACATGTAACATGCAACACGTTGTCGAACGTTCTACGAACGTAGAATAGGTGTCGCGGCACGGTATAAACGATTTGTACGAACGTAGAATAGGTAACGCGGCACGGTACAAACGATTTGTACGGACACAGAATCGATACCAAGACTGGATATATGCAACGTTTAAATGCCCAGAATCGACACCTCGGCTGGATATATGCAATATTAAATACCCAGAATCGACACCTCGGCTGGATATATGCAACGTCTGGGTCCCAATGTTTGTTGCATATATCCAGCTTTTACTGTAGTGCTGTACACAAGCCAAAGTGATTAATTTCATTTTTGTAATTTTCGAGAATTTTAGTATGAAAGCACTTAATTGGTGCTTAACTTTTTTGGAGTTAATAGAATCCACAAGTGGCTGGCTCAATTATAAAAATGTCTTGAAATTAAATAAATAAATCATTTTATTTACACAACTGTAAATAATGTAAAGTATATGCACATCGCAAGTTTCATTACGTATTCACTAAATCAGGAGCTGAGTGTCTTAGAAGTGTGAAATAGGACATCGCTGTGCTGAGAACCTTAATATGTAGTGCTCTTCGATAATTGCGTATTTACCGCTGTACAAGTTTCCAAAGAGACGGGGAAGAATTCACCAGCGGTTAAGCAGCAGGATTTTTTGGATCTTATGATAATCATTAGCACATCCTTTCGCTAAGCTCTGCCAACTTTATTCATGGAGAATATGTGCCAGGGCCCTGAAAACGCTGCTTGACCAACGTTCACACTTTCACGTATCAAACCATCCGAACAGAACGTGGACATTAAAAGTTGAGAACAAATGGCCAGCATGCCTAGTATCAAAGTTACGCGTCTTGCTGCTGGTGAATTTAGCTAGAATCATGTTAATCAAATGACACTTGAAGACTAAAATTACCTCTGTGTGATAAATTGAATTTTTTAATAAGCTTCTTCAGTTAAGAAAAAAAAAAAAATGGAAAACAGTCGTAGGGACTGTCGACAGAAGTGAAAACTTAAAAGTATGAAATAACAGTGGCTTTTTTTGAATTTTCAAATTAATTGTAGCATCAAAAATTAAAATTTCATAATTTAATAATTTCGTAAAATTAAAGAAAATATTTTCGGAAATGAAAATTGTAGTGGTAATTATTTAGATTACGGACGGTAACTCCGATTTCGATGATTTTTAAATATGTTGCAGAAATCAACGTTTTGAATAACTTTTTCCTACACATATAACCGCCGCTCGACCTTAGTTTTTGAGATATTTTTGAAAAACAGTCGAAACTAATGCATTGGATTCTGCCTGTTCGTGTGCGTCCGTGTTACATCTTACGCATTAGTGTGCGATCGTCGCTTTTCTACTGTTTCTGCAGGCAAATATTACCGGTTAAATATTAAAAAACTAACAAATAAATAATATCAAATTTTTAAACACAAATATTGATACTTTCCACGTAGTCAATTTAACTTTACTTGTATAGATATACACAGCACTAATGTTGCACAACTCGTTACCCTTATAGCGCGTGCGCCAGTCTGGTACCAGAGCAGTAGATCGTCATTTCGAGCATGTCGGTGACGCGAACCCATAAGATTTTCCCTTTCCGAAAATCGCTCAACGCGCCTAAAGCAGTTTTCACTTCAAAAAAATTACATATTATTGTTTTCTGAATTGGGAATTGTTGGTATATGTACCTACAGTTCACCGATGAGATGTTGCGGAGGCTAAAGAGTGACTCCTCGGTCTGTCCCGCCTAGTCCCAACGTCGTTACGCATCGACACCACCTGACTTTGCGGTGTGCAAGCGGCGGGCTTAGCATGTGTGAGCGTTTCGACCAATAACACGCGTGACTAGAAACCTCTGATCAATCGTACCTGCATTCCTTAGCCTCCGCAACATCTCATCGATGCACTGTATACATTTCTATTGTTTGACTGTTCTATGGTTTTGTAACGGTTTCTTCTAGTGTATGGTTCTTTGGTTTTATATACTGTATACTTGGCAAGATGGATGCCGTAAAGGAGTAGAGTTAGCATTAAGCAATATTTAACCATACATATAATAAAATATATTCAAGCATTTACATATCTATTGTTATTTTAATAGGAATATTGAAATTTTATGAATTATAACATAGTCTTATAAAAATGATAAAAATAGAATATTTTTCAAAAACATTGTAATGTACAGACCAAAAATACTTGAAATCCCTGCAAGCACAGTAACACGGCTAAAAACAACACTTCGCTAAGCACGATCGAAGTAAACACGTTCTCAAGTTTTCTGCAATAATTAATCAGCGCCTGATGATGCCTAACGCAGCTCTTCAATTTAACCCGATACTTGATTGCATTTTTCAACAGGCACGCATCCAAATCTTGACCGTCTATTTGCTTCTCAATTATGTTACTCAAACTCGTCATTCTGTGTTGCAGTATGCGAAATTGGTTGGTTATGTTCAGGCATACGAGGCATAAAAAATTGTCGAAGCAAAGGTAGCTTATTGGAACGTGATACACGCAAAGCATCTGTGCAAACACGTTTCAATTTCACTTTGCTAATTGTCGAAATATAATATTTAATCCGATGAATTTTTAACTAATACACAATAAACTCTTAAAGTAATTCTATTAAATTCTTGTATAAGTTGCCAATTTCAATTTCAACTCATATTTCATGATAATATCAATGTCAATTTATATTTCATAATAATTTAACATTATAAAAATCTTGTTTTAGCTGATTCACGAGTGAAAACGTAAGAAGTTTCCTTCACTGAAATACACCGGAAATGCAGCACGCGAAAAATGCATAAAAATACGTATGTACTTACCTGTATAGTAAAACACACTTCGAAGTAAGACGATATTGAAGTGGGTAAGTCAATCCACAAGTTAAATGGTAAGAGCTTTTCGGATTCGTCCTTTCCAATATTTTCTAAAATATACTGAAAAAAAAGAAACGTTAGACAAGAATAAGTATACTATAATATTTAGTAATTGAAAATGAAATAGAAAAGCCGTGTAAGTTCCACAAGAAATGAACTCACCTAAGATAGGCGTGAGAGCATAACCGGCGCAAGTAAGTACCTTGTACACAAAATGTAATAAAAAAGATGAACATGTCGCACAATATTTTGCAAACCATTAAAATTTTCTGCTCTTGACGATCGTTTCCTGGACTTATGAAGTTCCGTTCCGCAGACATAACTAAATCGTAGAACTTCTGTCTGTGTACGTACAAAAGTACTACCTTAAAGAAACCGACTACCAAGTATAGAATGTTGCACAATATGTAGACGCAATCCTAAAATCGTTCAATGATAAATTCGAAACCTAAATTATGAACTCGAGGTGAATAAGATTTTTATACAAAAACAGACAAAATCAATTAAATTCGTTATATACTCACGTTAAAGTTGCCCCACGAGAAATATAGATCCCTTATCTCGATACAGGTGACGGTAATCAATGCGAAAAGTGTATAAATCAAACAAAATTCCGACGCAACTGTTCTGCTCTATTAGTCGCTATCCATAGTCCAATTACTTTCATTAGGAAGCACATCCAAACAATGGAACGATCTTTACTGTGCACCAAACGCATCGTGAACATCGAATAGCTGAAGATAGGAATGATAGATTCTCCCGGAAATTCAACGATCGATTTTTAAACACGAAACGCCAAACAGGATATCTAACAAGAGCTGTTACTCTTTCTTTCTACTTACACTTCACGCGTTCTCTTTCATATGAATCAAAAGCTACCAATTAAGAGTATATTATTCATGACTCCAATGATACGGATCGAATCATCCTCGTGACAACAAAAAATATACGCTAACCGTGACAGTACGTGAAATTGAAAGTGAAGTACAGTGTTATTTACTGCGATCAAATAAAAAAGTATCATTCTTTGAGAAAAGATACTTCTTAACAGTGAAAAGTCTGAAGAGTATGAAGTTCCTCGTTTTCCACTGAATTGAAAGTAAAACTGAATTAGAATTCGAAATAAGTTTCTGTAGATTGGAAAATTTTAGTAATTGATCATATTTTAAGAAATTCTTTCTACTAAATCAATATCACTTCTTCGGTATTAATACTGAAAACACAAATCAAAATTAGTAACTTTTTGGAAATTTTCTAAATGAAAAAAGTAACACATTTTCAACATTTCCTAAGTGATGGATGAGATTAGCCACCCCCCAAATTTATTGTAATAAAAATAAAATCGAATTATAAATGATTTAGTGGTAGGTGTTTTAAAAAAAACACATACCAGTATATTTCAAGCTTTATATCATATTAAGATTGTATTAGAATCAGTATATCAATTGTATAACACATTAAATTATAAACATCTATTTAATAATATCATGGCACAAATCACAATGCAGTACATTAAAATATGCAAGTTCAATTATTAAAAGGCATCATTTACACGATGCACAAGCATATAAAAATATTTTATGTATTACTAGTTATTTCTTCATGTGGTAGTTTCCTTTATCATAGTAAAGTAGGAAAGTGTGGTACTCATTATCTGTAAGATAAAATGCTAATCTTGTAATTTAGAAAACTACTTTGGCAATCATTAATTATATCGTTCGTGAACTTAAATTGTATTCTTCAAAATACAGAAGGAAAGGATATTTAAAATCGTTGTACATATATAGGATGACACACAATAATTGCAATTATTCAAAACACCATCGTTCCATTATTGAATTTAAATTCTCTACTTGAGACCTTGAACAATTTTCTTCCATTTGTTGTACCCAACATTATATTCAAAGTGTCAAATTTCTTTATAGAAATATGTATAAGACAAAACTAAATGAAATATACCACTTACCGTGGTAGCAGTTTCCAATGTCACAGGGAAGAATCCAGCAGCAGTTAGGCAACATGGTCGTAATGATCTCAACATGATTAATCGCATGTTTTTCCGCAAAGATTTTCCAACTTTGTTCATTGGCAAAATGGTCCATAATCCAGAGTAAATAGTCGTAACGAGTTTCTCGCTTTCCTCTATCAAGCCGTGACAACTGTACGTAAAGATAACGACATGAATGAACGTTCCGATCAGATGAAGAATGGAGTTGACTGTTTGCGTAACGGATATGTCTGCCTGAAAATAAATAGCGCAAAATATTCGATACACTGATGTTTGTAAATTCTAAGGTAAAATTATACGACGCGACATTATTATTCTTTTTTTCCTAGACGTACCAAAAATATCTCGTAAAAGTCGAAACTAAATAATATACTACAAACCAACAGATGCGCGGCATTCATTATAGTATATACATTTTCAAGCTTAGCGCAGTAATCGATAAGTAATTGATGCTGATGAACGCAGCTTCTCAGTTCGTCGTAACAATGTTGGGTGTATTCGACGATATCCATCTTTTCGTTAACAGAATCCCAAAGTGATAGCAATCTGTGTTGTAATATGCGAAATTGGCAGACCATGTGCATATTCAGGATGCACAAGCAAGCGTCCGTAGAAATGTACCCAATGGCAATTAAGTTCGCACACAGCAACTTAATTAACAATAAATCGATAAAAATTATTATTAACGTGATATTCGTTAACACGTTGAATACCTTTCAGTCTAAACATTTCAGTTGCTACTTCGTGTATAGATTATTGCAATTGATCAATGAAAATATTGCAAATTACGATACCTGATAAGCATACATTAGTTCGTAGTAGGGTGTTTCAGTTAAAGGCAAATCGACCCACATATTGAACGGAAGTAATCTTTCCGATTCATTCGCTCCAATAGACTCTGTGAAACAGACAAAAAACTATTTCATTAAATTATATTAAAATCTACATAAATAATATGAAAAACTTCCGATGGAAACAAAAATGATCAAATTAGATCGGATTACTTATTATTCGAAAAAAAGAATTGTAATATCAAATTTTTATTTTTCGTGATACAATTTACTCACGAGTAATCGGCATTACTCCATAGGTGACTACACAACCTAAAACTAAAACGTATACGAAGATCATCCATAATGTACACATAAAACGACACTCAGTAACGTAGACCAGTTCCTGCGAATCATAATTGCAATGCCAGAAATTTCGTTTTGCGTACAAAATAATTTCTACGAAATCCTTTCTATGATAGTTTATCATCGTCAGCTTGCACATCGCCAACAAGATACAACCCACGTTAATGCTTGCAAACACGCACTGCTGAAATCAAAACGTTTAATAATCAAGAAATTTTCTCCAGTATTGATAATAATTAAAATGAAATAATCTTTTGGAAATATCTTAGACCAGAGGACATTAGATATTGTACATTCAACAATTTCTAAATTGTTTTAAAGAATTTGCAACGTGCTTCGAGTGTGACTGCCAGAAATAAATTTCAGTTGAATTTATTAATACTTACGTTTATATCACCCCAGGAGTGATATATATCAGATATGTTTACGAATATACTAATAAAATACGAAGTAGCAATAAAGAGCAACCAGAGTCTTCTACTAAGTTCTTCGACGTTATTATTCGTAAGCCAAGTTGCTGCAAATTTCAATAAAATCGTAACTGCGTGGATAGAAAGATCTTTGATCGTTGTTTCCTCCTCCATGGTTTCTTTCAAATAACTCACCTCGCCTTCGCATTTCCTTCGCATCCTACTCATTTTGAATGTAAAACATTAATCAGGGATTGGAGTGACATGACACCACTGTATGTCTATGTCCGTTGAATGGCACGTGTCTCTAATTTTACCTTTAGATCAGCCGTTCGACCTATCAACTATAGATCCATCAAAAACTTGTCACGGTTGTCACGGTTGTCTAGTACAAAGTTTCTTTTTTATGAACACTAGCTGATCGGCATTAGAATGTCAGTTCTAGTGATTGCACAGTGACACAGACACATTTAATGCGTGGAAGTTACTTAAGCTGTCACAGACTGGTTACAATCATTTGAAAAACTCAGCAGGATGCTTCGCAACTAAAGTGGAAAGGATTCGCAAGTGTGAAGAAAGCAAACAAAAAGTGGACATTTAACACAGCTTTTCTCTACGTAAGTTTTGAGTGAATAATTTTTATGAAAATCTGGCAAGGCCTTCGATGTAAACCTTCATTTAGTTTAGTTTGTGATTGATATGATGATGGAACAGGAAAATACTTAAAAAATCTTCGAAATATGAAAATTGCGTTTTACTGTACACAGACATGCAAACTATGTTTTAAGTAGAAAATTCTACACTACATTTTTATGTTAAATACATAAGAGATCCATTTTGTACATTATTAACCTTCGTTTCTCATGAACGATTCCCTCAACAGAGTAAAGTAAGAGAACGTGGAACTTGCAAGCTGCAAACATAAATATTAGTCTTGCAGCCTAAATAATTGAAGCAAGTGTTAAGTGGAAATAGAAAATCTTACATACCCCAGTAAAGGTCTCTAAGGAGACAGGAAAAAATCCACCAGCAGTCAGACGACAAGGTTTTAATGACCTGGTCATAATCATTTTCACATCCGATCGGAGCGATCTGCCGATTTTATCCATTGGCAAAGTATTCCACGATCCGAAATATATCGCTGTAATAATATTTGTGCTTTCTTCCATCAAACCGTGGCAAGTGTACGTGAATATCATTAAGTGGATAAAGCTACCCAATACGTGGAACACGAAAAGCAAACGTCTTGAAGTACAGGTGTCTGACTAAAAATACATAATATAATGCAAGGTTATTACTTTGAAAGGATTTGTATCAAGTGTAAAACGTTAATAATCCTTGAAGAAGTACGTTTTGGTATTCATACCAAAATTATTTCATAGCAATCGAAACCCATTAACAGACTGAAAATGACCATATGAAATAAAACTGTGTACGAGAACACGTGTTCGAGCTTCTCGCAGAATTGAATAAGCGATTGATGCTGTTGAATACATTTCTTCAAAGCTGCAGAGCATTGAGCACTGTATCTGACTGTATCTGTGGCTTTAACATCGGAATTCCAGAAATGCAACATTTTATATTGCATGATGCGAAACTGACAGATCACGTGTATATTCAGAACGCACAAGAAGACGACTGGGCAAATATACGCAATGAACATTATGGTCACAACAATCGCCTGAATGAAGAATAATTTCCTAAATCATAAGCTAAAATAACACAGTAATAGGGTGTTTCCCTTAAAGGCCAGCTGGACCGTACTTCCAATATAAGTACCCCCTCTGATTTATTAAGCCCAACGTTTGCTGCAATACATTCGTCGAAAAACTGTAAAATGTTACGTTTCATTTTACATCGATTTACTCACAAAGGATGGGTGTGTTCAGGTAACTGAATAACACGAATACTGGAATGATAAATACAAAGTAGATAAGAAATTTGCAAAGCCCTTGACACCTTATGTAAACTTCCGATGTAACAGTTCTATCGAAAAATATAGGGCCAATTATTCTTCTTCGCGATATCGCACACCATACCCCGATTTTTTGAGAATGTAGTGGGGTACTAAATATTTCATGCGGATTTTCTATCGCCCACCTCCGAGTATTTTGGGAATTCGTGTAAGTACCCGCTCAAGTGAAACCACGCTTCATCTGTGAACCACGTAAGGTGCAAAATATGCGGTTGGTCCTCGATAACATTTATCCGTTATACACATTTGCACCCACATAGCCACCTTACCTGCAGGGGACACCACCCGTCGAGGTATCGACGACAGAAAAAGGTCTTGGGACACTTCATGCTATTGTGGCGACACTTCCTTTGAGTCCACTAGCGAGAGGATCACCCTGCATTTAGACCTTTTTTTCTCTTCCTTCTCTGAATGCCTTTTTAACGGAGAGGATGGCCAAGCACAGGAGAGTATTGGTTAAACGTCGAGAGAATCAGCATCGAAATAAACCAAGAGTGCAGAACGGAGTTGATTGAGTCAATTTTATTCTCTACTTTTTCTACAAAATACATATTTTCTATGTCATTTGTAGGTAAGTGAACATTTTTATAGCGGTATTTTTACCAACGTTCTGGATGAATAATATGTAAATTACTGAATCATTCGTACCTGGCATAACGAAGGTGATACAAAAGTTTATATATATATTTTTTTAAACGAAAATTGAAATTTACTGTACCAAGAAGGTGAATAATAGTTCGAAGTAAGGTGATTCGGATGCAGGCCGATCAACCCGTACCACTACTAGAAGTACTCTCTTTGATCTATTGGGTCGGCAAGAAAGTAATTTCGGTTTTTAAGTATGAAATATTTTAAGTGATTTTCAATAGTTGTGTTTGATACATTTAATCTCTCTGCAATCTCTCGTACAGTTACATGACGATTTGATGCAATTATGTCTTTGATCTGGTCATCATCAACTTCGATAGGTCGACCAGAACGTTGGTCATCTTTCAGTGAAAAATCTCCAGAACGGAATTTTCGAAACCAATTCTGACACGTACGTTCTGTTAAGTAATCAACGCCATAACTTCACATACAGTAAAACCTGGATAAATTCAACCAAGATTGGGACCCAGTGGTTGCGTTTACCTAAGCACGGTATCGAAGCTCGGATGACACGCGACGACCAGCTAAGCGTGAACGTAGAAAGGGACAGACAGTGGTGGAAAGAGAGAGGTCCGAAATCAAAGGAAAGAGCCGAAACGTATCGGTGTGACTAATACTAATTGAATCAAAAAACTTTTTTATTTTTGACTTTTTTTGAGTGAAACTTTTACTAGCGCATTGGTGAGATTTTTGTGAGTAAAGTGGTACCAAACACGATATAGTTTCAATTATAATTACTTGCTAAAATTGATGTTATAAGTTGGCGAAAAGCAAGAGAGATCGAAATCCAAACCAGTCGCGGTGTCGGCTTTGGTTTCAAAGGTTTCATTTATCCTAGCGAGGAGTCGATTCTGGGCATTTAATGTTTCATTTATTCAAGCAAGGAGTCGATTCCGGGCATTTAATGTTTCATTTATTCAAGCAAGGAGTCGATTCCGGGCATTTAATGTTTCATTTATTCAAGCAAGGAGTCGATTCTGGGCATTTAATGTTTCATTTATCCAAGCGAGGTGTCGATTCTGAATCCGTACACATGTTTTCTTTGTAGCCAACATGCCGATTCTGTGTCCGTACACATCTTTTGTATTCAGCCGACATCATTTATATTCAGTCGTGGTCTCAATTCTATGTTGCTTATTCTATTACTATTGTTTATAAATATAATTCAACCTATATCGAGTTTGGTATCATTTTAATCAGAAAAATCTCACAAATGCATTAGTAACAGTTTCATTGAGAAAAAGTTAAAAATAAAAAAGTTTTATCGTTGAATTAGTATTAGTCACACCGACATTACGGTCGGATCATATTACACGGTTTCCTCGTCGAGCGGTTCGGTTCGCCTAGGGGGATCCCCCCAAGTGGAGGGGATAGCGATGTTTCATTTATCCAAGCATTCTTTCGTTGAATTTATCCAGGTTTTACTGTATCTCTTTGTGAGCCTCAGCAGCTTTCTTTCCTTTACGAAAATAAAAAAGCAAATATGTCGAAAATATTCGTTTTTACGCTCCATGTTAAAATTAATATTAAACATCTACTTATAAACAAAATTACGTGCAATTGGCTTCTAAAATAACGTAAAAGCAGCAGCTATCGAATGACAAACGGAAAAATCAGAACATCGACAGACGTCATTAAAAAAAGAACATAGTGTTATCTGTCTGTGAAAACCAAAATTACTTTCTTGCCAACCCAATATTTCTTCCAATATTTGCTACATAACATACAAACAACGACTTGTGTTAAGCAATACTCGTCTTTATGTAAATGTATACATTTACTGCACCTAGGAACGATACGGGGAGGATCGAACTGTTAATTAGGCAGGTGTTCGAAAACAATACCTGTTATTGTCGTACACATCAAGTGCAGACGTTCTTGCCTGATCAGTACTTCGTAACGCATCAAACTGTCCAGTCTAAAAACCAATCGCGCACCAAAGGTGATTAGGTGACGGCAAAGTGCAAGCATAAACTGACACAAAGAAAGCTGGTTATTTATTATTTTCCTCTACCTGGGTAGAAAAAGAAAATTTTTCATACTCCTTGTAATATCCACATTATATGTATATTTTACTGTACATAAAAAGTGGAGAACATATATTGTGTATAACAGCTTTAGTACATTAAAAAATATTCTTAAATTATTTTCCTTCACTTTTATATATTTCTAGCATCGCTATTAATACATATGTCTGTTTTATATTACTATTCGCCCTCGGTTCTGATTAAAGACTCCCTCATCAGAGTAAAATACGAAAATGTAGAACTTAAAAGCTGTGAACAGAAAGTTCCAATTTTGTTAATTCTGTGGTATATACTTAGTACCATTCACAAAGGTAAATAGAGGAATGTTGACAAGTTTCCTACCGTGGTAAAAGTCTCCAAAGACACGGGAAAAAATCCACCAGCAGTCAGATAGCACGGTTTCAACGATCTTATCATAATTAATCTTATATCCGATCGTAACGATCTGCCAGCTTTGTACATTGGCAAAGTGCTCCATGAACCAGAATATATCGTTCTACTAACGTTGGTGCTTTCTTCCATCATAAAGTGACAAGTGTACGTAAAGATAAAAAGGTGAATTAGACTGCCAATTACGTGGAATATGAAAATCAGACGCATCGATAGATTTGTGTCTGCCTATACATACAATATCCGACAATATATTTCTATAGCGTCAGCAATAACAAATTACCGTAAAGCTTAAAAGTAAACCATAAAGGACGTTCATACATATTTGATAGTACCCCATCCTCTTCTAAAGACGAACGTTCATTATTGAAAGCCTTGTAAAGCTTAATACGTACCACGAATATTTCATAGCAGTCCAAACCCATTAACATGCTTAAAAATGCCATGTGCACCAAAATCGACATGGTATACACTTGTTCCAGCTTCACGCAGAACTCAATAACCAACTGATGATGTTGTATACACTTCTTGAGAGCTGCATAACAATGATCGGTGTATATGAATGCAGTCATTTCTTTGCCTTCAACGTTCCAGAAATTTAACATTCTGTGTTGTAGTATACGAAATTGACCCATCACGTGCAAATTAAAGACGCATAAAAACACATCAGGGCAAACGTACGCGACGCCAATTAAGAATATGTCTATCACCTGAACGAATACTTTATTAAATCAATGGTATAGTAGTCGCAGAAACATGGAGTGATCGATAAGTGTTTAAGCCTATACAGATAGATTAAAAGAATCCGCATCAATGGGAATTCTTCCCAGCGTGCCTTATTACCACTACAAAAAAAAACCAATTTGTTCGCCATTTAAAAGAACACACCATTGGAAATTTTTTCCGATTAGTTGAAATTTTTAATGTTGGCCACTTATCTTTAACATTTTAATGTTTGACGTGTTAAATGGAAACGAAGAATGTGTTAATTTACAAATTAATTAGATTAACGATCACGCTATATTTCTACGAGAACTATAATCATACGTATTTGTTTTAAAAGGAAAATTAACATTACCTGGAAAGTAAACATTAGTTCGTAATATGGTGTCTCAGATAATGGCAAGTCGAGCCACATCTTGAATGGAAGTACCCTGTCCGATTTATTTCGTCCAAGGTTTTCTGAAATACGAACCAGGAGCGACTTATATATGTATATTTTTTTATAGTTACAACCACAATAGTTACTAATCAAAAAATTGAGAACACATCTGGAAGTAGATCAAAGTATCATTCTTCTATTACGGTCATATTTAATTTAATTCACTTACCAATAATAGGCGTGATCACATATCCGGCCAAAGTAACTGGCTGAACAGCGAATGCGAAAAATATTAACCGTGTGCAATATTTTACAGATATGGAAAAGATCAGTTGTTCCTCGTAATTGTAATTATCATGCCAGAAGTGTCGTTGCGCATAGGAAAAAGCGTCTGCTAATTTAGCTCTATTAAAATTTAGGATCAGCATCTTAATTATTGTCATAGAGATACACATCGTGTTCAGTATCACGAACATAGTTTGCTGAAAACGCAATACATTCGTTGATGAACAAATTTTTCATTGAATACTGCAACAAAAGCAGCTTCACAGATTTTTTATCAACAGAATTTTAAAATAACTGTTTAAAAAGTTATCACTTTTTTTCTAATGACTCAAGCAAGCTCACTGACACTTACAGTTGCATTGCCCCAGATGTGGAAAATATCGACCACATTCAGGTATAGCCCAAACACAAGTGCGAAGGCCATGTACGATATGGATATCTTCCTTTGCCATTCTTCACTCACATTTCGCGGTAGCCATATTCCTGTGTACTTTGTTATATATATCGCTGAAGCAATGGAAAAATCCGTGTACGATCTGGTGTCCATGGTGGTCGTCGATGAACTGACTCATTGCCTTTCGATGTACAGCGTAACTGTTGCAGCAACATCAACGACTTCACAAAGATATTCAGTGACATGACACCACTGTAATTAACAGGTCACGTGCATAATCTGGTATATAAATTTTTCTCTATAGGTAGAGAAATCACGATAGATAGGGATGCGTTCATAGGAATGACAGCAGACAGGTCGAACCATGAATTGTGTAAGATCGTTAGAACCCTTTTATTATCGTGGCACGTATTACGACCAGCCGCTTAAACGTACGTTAATCGAATTCTTCCCACGATCACGACCACCTACTTAAGTATACGATAAGATGCGTTCTCACGGACATCTCACCTTGTCAATCATCAGCCCCTTCTCCACCACCAGCGACATTATAAAAGACCTTACCGGACATAAGCAGAGTCAGTCGAGATCATATTATTAAAATAAAGTGCTAAACCTTTAAAAGTGCTATTGATTTAAAAACCTGTGAACTTTCTACGTGACACACGCTTCGAATGCAGGAAATCCTTCCCAAATTTGATCATTAGTTTGCAAAGTACAATAGTAAAGTGTGCAGCTACAAAGATAATTGTGCAATAACGATGTATATTTGTTAGATTCAATTCGCTAAGTGTACCGAATGTACAATAAACAAGTGTTTATGTAAACTGTTAGCACAAGCCGTGGTGGTTGAAGCTACGACAAGGTGTGATGTTCAAACTTGAGCGGTGGATAACAAGATATACTTGCTCAAAATATTTCGGCGTATATTAGTTGTTTTTTAAATACAAGTAGTAGGAAGATCAAGGCTTTTATACAAATTTCGACCTTCAGGATGCGCGACCATTATTCTTTGATATCACAGCAGGAGAAAAAGTATTTCATGCTATTCATATCGAGCATACTATATTTTGCTGTACACAGAAATGCAAAATGCACATTAATCACGACATTTTTTACACGTTGAAAATTATTCACATATTATCTTTCGACAGATTTGTATGTTTCTTACATCGCATTTAATGCATATTAAGTTATTTCTTATATTACTCTCCATCGGGTCTCGTGAACGATTGCCTCATCAAAGTAAAATAAGAGAATGTAGAACTTAAAAGCTATAAACAAAAAATTCCAATTTTGTTATTTCAATTAGTGTGCCTGTAAAGCTGAATAGAGGGATTTATACAAAAATAAGTTACCGAAGTAAAAGTTCCCAAAGTCAGAGGGAAAAATCCGGCAGCAGTCAGATAGCACGGTTTTAATGATCTAATCATAATGAATTTCATAGCCGATCGAAATGATCTGCCATCTTTATTCATTGGCAATGTGCTCCAAGATCCTAAATACATCGAGGTAATAACATTCGTGCTTTCCTCCATCATAAAATTGCTAGTATACGTAAGCATAAACAGCTGACCCAGGCTTCCAACTCCGTGAAACAAGAAAATGATACGCATAGAAGCACTCGTATTTGCCTGTGTACACATTCAACAGTATATTTGACTATTAATAACAATAACAAGTTTCTGTTAAGCTTAAAAGCAATCCATAAACAACGTCCGTAAATTTTCGCTATTTTAATACCACACCATTTCCCTGTAAAGACGGACGTCCTTTATGAAGCGTTCCTTAAAACTCACTACTTTAAAACAAAATAACTTTAATCTAGTAAGTACTCATTTCTATGTATTAAAGTAAAGCTTGGTTATAACGATCTTATTCTAAATAATTGCAATCATTCGACGTAATATTGCACTGAAGACAAAAAAGTAATAAATTAGAACACGTAGTACGGGTGGTACGACAGGTTTTGATTTTAATTCTCACACAAGACATGCCTCGTTCATTATCGAAGATCATTAGTGATAAAAAGCCTTGCCCTCAGATTTCGTTCCACCCCAACTGCATGTTCATAACAACTTACGTCACAGTGTATCTTACCACAAACGGTAGTTCTCACTGTCAACGTATTAACTTTTCAAATTTTGTATTTTTTGAAATTGTGCTGCATTGTGCTACATTTGTACCGTATTGTGACGTAAAACGCAACTCTGTTAGTCAAAGAGTACTCAAGAAAATTAAAAAATAAAGAAATTTTTTATAGCCCCGCACTTTTCGAATTTTGAGTTTTTCTTTTTTGTGCCGTATTGTGTTATGTTTGTGCTGAATTGTGCCGTAAACGAGAGATCGATAACATCAATAACAATTAAGAAAATAAATAAACACAAAATTATACTAGCCCCGCACTTTTGCCGAAACAAACTTTCTTTTTTGAAATAATTTGTGATAACTTGTGGTACGTTGTGCCGTCGATAGAAACTTGGGTAAAAGTTCCGAAGCCGTACCCACATTATAGTATAATGTTAACGGCGCGTCTATTCACTATTCCATCATATTGTCGAACAAATGGGCACCCCCATCCCATAAAATATAACATACCTTAACCTATTTTATTCTTGAAGTACATCGGAAATGTAGAAAATAATATTGAAATAATAAAAAAATTTTTTTTTCATTTATCTTTGACAATATGATGGAACGACACATCAACATATTTTTAAAGAAATTTGATATATCTCGAAAACTACGCAGCTGATAAAAAAATGTTATAGAACATAAATAGTTGGAAATTTAATTTTTTACTAAAAAGGTCCGTTTAACATTTTGTTATATCTCGCACAGTTTCTGAGATATTTGAAAATTTACCTCAAAACAAGGGGCCACAGTTTTTTCTATATCTTTATAATGTGGGTACGGTAAAAATGTTGAATTTTTAGAAATACAAAATTTAATATTCGTATAACTTACGAACGGCGACAGATAATCGAATTCTGCAAATTGTGCTGAATTGTGCTACTTACAGTCTGCGAGATACATGCGTTAAAAGTTGATATTAGCTAAAGGGTGGATATTAGCTTAACAAAAAAGGATGGTGTGATTAAATAATTTGAGATTTTCGAATTTTCTTTGATTGTACCGGATTGTGCTAGACCAGCGCAACAACTTTTTCTAATGACAAAATTTCGTCAGATCGCCAGATTACGCAGCACTTCAAATCGACGGCACATCGTAGCACAAGTTATCACAAATTATTTCAAAAAAAAAGTTTGTTTCGGCAAAAGTGCGGGGGCTAGTATAATTTTGTTTTTATTTATTTTCTTAATTGTTATTGATGTTATTAATCTCTCGTTTGCGGCAAAATTCAACACAAACATAGCACAATACGGCACAAAAAAGAACAACTCAAAATTCGAAAAATGCGGGGCTAACTTCACACGCGTTATCAAACATATTTGTTTCAACCCCTAGGAAACTGAAATGTCATGAAGCGTGCTGATGCACATATATTTATAAATACATACCACGACTATTTCGTAGGAATCGAAACACAGCAACAGACTTAAAACTGCCATGTGCGTAAAGATCGACATGGTGTATACTTGTTCGAGCTTCATGCAGAACTCAATAAGCAACTGATGGTGTTGTATACACTTCTTCAGAGCTGTATAACAATGATCGGTGTACATGATTGCGTCCATCTTTTTGCCTTCAACGTTCCAGAAATTTAACATTCTGTGTTGTAGTATACGAAACTGACCCATCACGTGCAGATTAAACAGGCATAAAAACATTTCAGGGCAAACGTATGCGGCGCCAATTAAGTTTACGCAAATCACCTGAATCAATACTATATTTAATCAATGATATAGTAGCCGCAGAAACATAGGGTGATCATTGAATACGAAAGCCTAATCATACAAAAGAATCAGTATTTACATTTACATTTAATAGAAGTAGTTGTTCTCTGCTATAAAAAGTACACTTTCGGTAACTGTTTAAGTTTAGATTGTTTAACTGCTATCGGGGTGACTGAAGCTTCCAGTTTTTAGTTTGTAAATAGTCAGTTTATTTTACAGTCACAGAATAAAGTTGATTTAGTGTAATTGAGTGATTTTTGGATTAAGTTACAACCCGTTCCTCTGTGTCCGCACTCCGTATCTCTCTCTCTCTTTCTTTCTGTTTAGCGATCCTTTTTCTTCCGTTTCTTTCGAATAAGTAAGTAGCACGTAGCTCGTGGTAAGAAAATCAGTGGATAGAGAGAGAAAGAGCGGTGGTGGGGACAGCAGAGGAGCGAGCGCTTTACGAAGCGGTAATAGAACTATTGACTGCCAGCAATTATCGGTCGATAATTCCGATTCCTAACAGTAACATTTTCAGATTTGGTTGAATTTTTCATGATTGCCACCGATGGTAAACGAAATATGTGTCAATAGACAAATCAATTAAATTAACGAGATCACGCTATATTTCTACGATAACTATAATCATACGTATTTGTTTTAAAAGGAAAATTAACATTACCTGAAAAGTAAACATTAGTTCGTAATACGGTGTCTCAGATAATGGCCAGTCGACCCACATCTTGAATGGAAGTACCCTGTCCGATTTATTTCGTCCAAGGTTTTCTGAAATACGAACCAGGAGCGACTGATACTTTTTTTATAATTGCAGTCACAGTAAACACTTATTAAAAAATGAAAAACGCATCGGGAATAATGGTAAAGTTTAATTCTCGGATTAGGATGATGTTTGGTTTAATTCACTTACCAATAAGAGGTGTGATCGTGTATCCGGATAAAGCAAGTTGAAGAGAACCGATTGCGAAGATCACATACCGTATACAGTATTTCACAGATATGAAAAAGATAAGTCGTTCCTCGGGAGTATACCTGCGATGCCAGAAGTGCCGTTGCGCGTAGAAAAGGGCGTCTACGAAACCAGCTCTTTTAGAGTTTAGGATGATCATCTTAACTGTTGTCATACTGATACACGTCGTGTTGAGTATCAGAAACGTACAGTGCTGGAAACTCAATACATTCGCTGATCAGAAAAATTTCCATTGAATACCAAAAAAAAACAGCGTCATATGTTTTTAATCACTGCAACTTTGAGATACCTATTTAAAAAGTTATCATTTGGTACAGTGTCAAATTCTTCCTAACGACTCAATCAAGCTCACTGACGTGGTCACTTACGGTTGCATCGCCCCATGAGTGGTAAATATCTACTGTGTTCACGTATATCCCATACAGAAGTGCGAAGGCCGTATACGCCATTGATATTTTCCTTTGCAGTTCTTCTGCCGCATTTCGTGGCACCCATATCCCTGTGTACTTTGTTATATATGTCGCGAAAGCGATGGAAAAGTCCGTATACGATCTGGTGTCCATGGTGGTTGCCGGAAAACTAACATCTTGGCCTCTGATGTACAGCGTAGCTGTTGCAATAACATCAAAGACGTCAGAAATATATTCAGTGACATGACACCACTGTAATTTACAGGGCATGTTGATTATCTGGTACAAAGATTTTTCTCTTCTTATGTGCACCCTCAGTCATGAAACATGGAGTTGCGTTCATAGGAACGATGATGGACAGATCGAACCCTGAATTATGCAAGGGTCGACAGTACTTTGTCACTGTGGCCGTATGTCACGTGGGAGGTAACAATGTACATATTACATATCTGTAAAATCTGGGCACGATTGCCTTGTCAGTTAAGTATCAGCAAAGGAGCAAGTAACATCTCCAGTGATATATCAATGCCTTTTGTAGTAAATCTTCAATATATTGAGCCCAAAAAATGAGTAAAGAAAAGTTTATAAATTTCGATAGTGACAGTGGCAATGAATGTTTTGAAAACAATTCTCAAAGTGATTTTGATTCTAGTCATGAGACGAGCAGTCACATCTTATTACATCCTAAGAGAAGAAAAGTTATAACTATAAAATATTCAAGTGAAGAAGAAAATGATAACTCAGACGATGATTGGATTAAAATCGAGAGTGATGATGATGATAGGATTCTCCCTAATAGGATTCCTTTTACAAATATCAACCGCCAAATTTTTGGAAATTCAGCCTATAGATTATTTCAAAAAATTTTTCACTGACGAACTCATAACAGAAATTATAAGGCAAAAATAAATTTTTGGCATATTTCTGGAAAATTTTTCACATATTTCCTGAAATCAACTGCCACCTAATGAGAATCATGTATAAAAAGCTAACGTCCGATAAGGGTTAAAGATAATTCTGCAAGGAAGTTGTTCGTTTGTAAAGTTCAGTTTGCGAGGTGTACGAAATGGGAAAGGGGATTTATATTAATTTTTAGCACGAGGTGAGGTATAGTTGAAGCGACGATAAGGTGTGAAGTTCAAGTTGGAGATAAGGAAAATAGGACATACAGTAAAGATTCAATAAGTGTTCGAAAGGATCTACCATATAGACTCGGTACAAGCAAAACGCTCGGGACCGGACTTTTGCTTATAACGTGTAGTTCCATCATGCCCCCTGTGGCTCGGGGAGTTTAGAATACGGCCACGGTATTCCCTGCCTGTCGTAATTAGAGAGAGTGCGAACGCGAACGCGAAGATTATAAAAGAATAAACGGACGTGGTTATCAACTTAGGAGTTTCTTTTTACCTACCTTGTGGCAAATCGTGAGATTGCGACATAAGTGTGACTGGTCAGTACGTGTTGTTCAGGTAGCCCTGAAGAATTTTTATATGAATGTAACATAGTTTCATAAGAAGGGTAATATTGAAATGTGTAAACGCGTTTTTTTCTTAATACCATTATGATTCCTAATACAATTTTCAATCATTTGGGAGTGTAGCTGAAGAAATATACAATATTTAACCAATTCCCTTGGCCTCTTAAGATCGAGAAAAGCAGGATCCGCTATGCTTATCCGGCTAGACCCTTTTGAACAATGTTTTGAGGCAGGTCATATGCGTTCTGTCAGCACGTTTCCCCTTCTTAAGGAAAGGTCCTCCAAGTCGGGGTGTTATAAAGAAGACGGTCAGTACAACTCAGATCAATTTCCTGCGCTTTGTGTGTCGTGCAGTATTAGCTATTTGCTGTTTGTTGGATTTTGATTATTCAAAAAGAGCGAAAGTAAATAAAGTGATTATTATTTCGTTGTTATTATTTTTTAATATATTTTCATTACTTTCTGAAAATCTTTCATAGAATATTGATTCTTTTAATAATTTAGATTCCATTTCTGTTTATAATGTTTCCAATCTTGATTTCTGTATAATTGAACATGTACAAATTCTTATTTTAGCTGCTGCTGAAACGGCAAACCTTGCCGATAGTAAAAGGACAACGGAGGTGTCAATCCAAAATTGGTTAAGAAGAGCTTTCGATAGAAAAAATGTAATTGCGAAGCAATTTTGAATGAATACTTCGTATATTTTGAATAAAATATTATTATACTAAAAACGATTGTATTTTAATTAAACAGCATTTATAAAACATCTGTATGGTACAGTAAAAGCTGGATATATGCAACAAAAGTTTGGCTGGATATATGCAACGTCTAGGTCCCAATGTTTGTTGCATATATCCAGCTTTTACTGTATATGTAAGATATTTTTAGGGCGTTTGTAAGACATCTTTAAAACGTCTGTAAAGCATCTGTCGGATATCGGTACGACATCTTTAAGACATCCCGTTTTCTAACATAGGATGTTAACAGGACGTATTTCAGGCATTCGCAGGACTTTTCAGATATTCGTAAGATATCCTCAATATCTGGAACAGATATCTTTAAGATGTTTTAACGATGTTTCTGTGCTATCTGGGAAGAGGCGACTAAAAGGGGTCACACAAACACATACACACACGTACACGCGTACGCACGCACACACGCGCGCACGCACACACACACCGATTCAGGCGAAAAAAATAAAAATATGGATCGAGTGTAAGATTTAAGAGTATGGACAAGTATTAGTAGTGAAATGTAAAAATGCGCGGGGTTTGGGGTTGGCAGGACTGTCAGCCCATCCCCGAAGGCGCGTGGTTGATAGCGTTCATTGGGCAACATGGAGACAGAAAAGTCTCCGAAAATGCCATCCTTTGGTCGAAATTCGTGGTATGGTATGGTAGTTCCATCATTGTTTGATATTTGTCGACTGCTTCGAACGTAGAAAAGGACAGCGAGTGAAAAAGAGGACGAAGCGAAAACAAACCGTTCTATGTCGGTGAGGCAACTTAACTTTGTTATTTTTCATTTTTTTTTTATAAAACTTTTTCCATGATATTTCTGACATTTTTCTCGTTAAAATGATACCAAACACGATATAATTCGGACCATATTTACTTGAAACAACTTATTATGTATCATTATCATTTCTATTAAATTAGAAAAAAATTTTATCTCAAGTATCTGATCGATCAGCTACAGTATCACAATAACCAGTTTTTTTTAGATTATATAAATATTTGCGTTTCATTATAAAATGATAGTTTCATTTTATTGGTAGTCTTATTTGTACTATGGCCAAGCGGCGGTTATATGTATAGGAAATGGTTGCTTAAAACGCGAAAACACGAGAAAAAGCGAAAATTTTAATGCTTCGTAACTTTTGAACGGATCGCGACCGCCACTTCATTCAAGGCCAACGTTACTCAACAACGTTACACGTGTACGACCCCGACACGTTTCTCAGCTTTGAAAAACGCCCCCCTTACGCTAACATGCATATCACCTGAACGAACACTTTATTAAATCAATAGTACGGTAGCTGCCGAAGTACAGGGTGATCGTTAAGGGTGTATGTATTTGAGAACATTTATCGGAAAAACCTATTCATTTTTGTTGAATTAATATTTTTTTCTCATTTTGAAGAATATCCGATTAATGATCACGTTATGTTTCTACAGTTACTGTTTAGTGTAACAACAAAATTTACATTACCTGAAAGCTGAACGTACAGTAAAACCTGGATAAATGCAACGAAAGAATGCTTGGATAATCCCCTTCACTTGGGGGGATCCCCCTAGGGCTTAGCATTACGGAACCCTTGCTACACTAAATAGTAGCTACGAACCGGATGCAATATTATAGAGTAGAAATTTAGAGTTTAAAAAGCAATTACACTATTTCACATGATGATAGAAGAAGAATATGAACTTCCTGGCCATATGGTGTTTCTGATGTAGTCAGTCAACGGTGAAATACATATAGGGAAGTGAGGTGACCTGATGAATCATGATCAAGGTATAAGTTTTAATTGAATTCTATGTACCTACAAAATTAATTGTATATTAGTATTAAAAAATTTTTCGTAGAAAAATGGAAAATGTGTTTCTGGAATGCTGCAAGAGAATAATACATAATTATTAAACGTCATTAACAGATTATATTCTATGCCAATTATATAGTATTTTATTCATTTTCAAGCATTTATCGACTACGAAATTATGTATTTGCTGCATCCAATGTATTCTGTTTCAATATCGTGAAATACGACATTGCGGTGCTCATTATCTGCAAGACACAAAGGAAAGTTTAATCAATTAAAGATATATAATGAAATTAATTCAATTACCTTAGTAAATGTTTCAAGGGAAATAGGAAAAAATCGCCAAGCATTTACGTAACAGGCTCGTGACGACCTCATAATGACAAACTGCACATCTTTTCGTATCATTTTTCCAAATTTATCCATGGACTGATTCGTCCAAGGGGATCCATACGCTGCTGAAGTAACGTTTACACTTGCATGCGTCATGTTACTGCAACTGTATGTGAACATCCAAAGTTGACATATATTCGTCACTAATAAAGATGCGAAAGAAATGCGCATTGAAACATTCAACGTCTCCTGTAGAGTATAACATTATTATGGTGCACCTTGTTTCAAAGAAAAGCTTCTAATAAAATTTATTTTAATGAAACTATAAAAGATTTTCAGGATGTACACTAACCAGAAATGTTTGATATCCGGTCAAACACATTAACATGCTAAAAATTAACACTTGCAAAAGCATAATCTCTCTGAACACTTCATCGACCAATTTGCAGAAATCAATGAGGGTTTGATGTTGCCGAATGCAATCTCTAAACGCGCCTAAACAAATCTCCGATAAATACAACACGTTTTTATTTACATTATTGCTATTTTGAGGTGCATTTTGCACTTCGTGAATATTGGTCATCCTGTACTGTAATATGCGAAATTGACCAGCTGCGTGCAGACACATGATGCAGAAGATATTGTCGAAACAGAGAAAACTAATGGAAGCCTGGACTGAGCTGAGAGCCTATGGACACACAGTATCAAATACTTCAAAAAAAATTTAATGAAGCTTTAAAATTAATTTTGCGTACAGAACAAATTCTTTTTGTGTAGAGATATTTTTAATTTAATTACAACGGATTAAATAATCGTTGACTTGATTTACTATAGTTAGTGTACTCGTTCGCTACTATAGTTAACAATGTTGCTGCAATGACAATGACATTTAGATTTCAGAGAATACTCTTCGAAAAATTACCACTACCTGTATCACATACTCTATTTCAAAGTACGGCGTCTCATTCCATGATTCATTTAACCACATGGGAAAAATAAGCGTCCTATCTGATGCATTCTTTCCAATATTTACTGAAATATAATTGTACATAATTTACTCATCAAACAACGGATATCCTGTTCCTAACATGTGTTTCAGAATATAGTTTCAATTTTGTTCAAATAAACAAAAACGATACCCATGTAAACTATTTTAAAACTTACGCAAATAATATTGTAATTTTTCGGAAATTTACAATGTTAGAATTCAGTACTCACGTATAGCAGGTCTGAAAATGTAACAAAGAACCGTGAATTGCGTCAAGGATGAAAACGTACAGATGAAGTAAATGCAGATTTTCTTCACATTAGCAAGAAGTTGTTCCTCGTGAACACCATAACTTGAATGCCAAAAATTCGTCTGCATAAACTCGATCAATTGAAGAAACTTCCTTTTCTGAATAAACACTAAAGAAAACTTGAGGAAGCATAGGAGCATAGCCACAGCCTGGCATGTGAAAGCAATGCTCAACTATAATCAGGAAAACACGAAGAACCATTTTTTTTTACCATAAACCTTAGATACTATCTAAAAACTCGTAAACAAAATTTTATATTACTTACGGTAGTATCCTCCCAACAAATGTAAATACTTCTGAACTGAAGCGATGTAATGATGACGATTGAGATGAAGGAACATATCGCCATAGAATTTCTGAAACATTTCTCCATGCGATTAACTGCAAACCAGATACCCATCACCTTCAAATGAAAGATAGCTGAATTAATAGAAATATCTGTGGTGTGTTTCGACCCCATGATAAGAAATTCAAACGATCGGATGTCGTTTGTCTTATATATGCACACACCCCACCAATTATAAGAATATAACGAACGGAATCAATACATTGTTACATGCCTTTGATGTACAAATCTTCAGTAAACTTTTCTATGTACAGGTAATATCTGCTGCTTTTGCTATTCTGTAGAGAAAAAAGGATAAAGGGACGAGTTGCGTGCTACTATGTTACATTGGTAATAATCATGCTGTTTGCGAAGTTCCTGATCGATGATTTATGTATGATTCAGGCTACGGTATTAGAGAATTTTCAATGCAGTAAATAGTGGCTACGTGCTGGATAGAACTTTGTAGGGTAGAGAGTTAGAATTGAAGAAATGATTGAAACGATCATGCAGATAAAAGGGGAATATGATTTTTAGTTGCAAAGTATTTTGGTGATGGAGTGCTGTGATTGTTGTACGATGACATGTAGTGATTTAAAGTGATTAGGTGAATTATGAAATTAGGTTAATACGAAATGTCGGTGCATAATCCTTAGCAATGAAAAAATGCAAAATGTTTTTTTAACGGGACCAATCGGAAGACATACTCTACAAAATGCAAAAGGTTTCGTTCTGATTGTGTCATCCATCTCGGAGTAATCGGTGAACAAACCCCCGAAAAAAGAAAGATGTGTATATGTTGTAACAAGGTGGCACGAGATTTTCCCTTAACACCCCTCTCCTAACCCCTATCCCTTTCTCCCACCCGCCGGTATCGGGCCGGGAGGGGCAACGGAAGGACTGGACAACGCTGCTGCAACCCCAACCCCAGGAGGACCCCGCCCCGAGGCCGACGATGACCCTTCAGCCCCCCACAAAAGGACACCGTGGGACCATCTACCGTCGAGCCCAAGGCCCGTCAGCCCTACCGATCCCGATCACCGGCCAATCCCCTCTCCAAAAATTCCCTGCGACGCGACGGTCTCATCGCAGCGGCGACGACGAGCCGTCGTCAGTTGGCGCTTAGCGTTTGGCGTGTCCTTTCGTTCGCGCACGATACTCCGCGATTTCGTCCAAGCCCCTTCCCTTCCCATTTGTCCCTTTTTAGTCCCATTCTCGAACGCGTAACGTAGTGAACCTTCCTGTGAGCCTTCCCGACCCTTCAGACTTCCCTTCCCCCGACAATCCTCCTCGCGCACTCCCCCGCGAAGTATTGCACGGACGTCTAGGAAGCGCCACGAGTCCCATCCCCTGTAAAGACCCCGATTCTAATTGACTAAACTTTTTTCAAAGACGGTTAAAAAATTTCAAAATTTTACCGAAAATTACAGAAAAATGCCATGACATGAAACAACGATCAAATACCAAACAATTTGATTTGAAGAAATATAACTATTTTTCTTTCGTAGTACCGTTTTTATCATGCAACAGATACGAATAATTCATTTACATTCTGTTCAACAATCATACACTGTTTTCTGTGCAGAGCATGCAGAATATTACAATCATAAAATACTACGAACTAACTAATAGTATCCTGGGTTTGTTGTAACAGTGTAAAGTAGGATGCAGCTGTAGTTAAAACCTGCAACAAAAGAACGTGAGTATTTGTTATTTTCCATGTTGTAATGCAGCAATGCGTTTCGATTACCTTTGTGTAGGTTTCCAAAGACACCATGAAGAATCCACTGCCTGTAAGGCAGCAGGGTACATTAGATCTCATGATGACCATTATCAAATCTTTCTTTATCTTCTGTCCGTTTTCACTTATGGGAAAAAGGAGCCACGGTCCAGAATATACTGCCGGGGCCAATTTCATACTTTCTCGAATGATGCGGTCACAACTGTACGAGAACATCAGTAATTGACAGGTGGTCGCCATGAAGTGGAAGAAAAAGATAAGTCGTCTGAATGGCAGATCTGCCTGTAGAATAGTTGAATATATGGATTGCAAATGATATCAAGTTGAAAATTAAATGCAGAAATTTAATACCAATCATCTTTTAAATTACTGATAAAGGGTATAGCCGGGTTAGATAGGGAAAACGGCCCTTGAACCAAATTAAATTCAGAATACGTCATTCGATAGCATATCGAAAGAAGATACTGTACACCAATTTTCAACCCTTTATTTCCATATTCCTTTAGAATATGAATGTGAATCCGTTTAAAAGTACTTAATACATATTCTGAAAAAACAGGAAATAAAAATTCAATGTAGAAGTTACTTTTTCATGCGAAATAATTGGTTTTTGATTTTTTTAACTACGTTGCACCACAACAAAAAATCTGGAAAAATTCAAGAGTAATAGTTATACTAATATGTTATTATCACAGTAATATAAAAGTAGTGCTCTTACATTTTCAATAACAAATCGCGTTTTGTTCGGTTTTTCATTTTTTACAACTAGGATTTGCAATGAAAAAATCTGAAAAAATTTCCTAATGTGCGCTACCATGTTTATAGTGTATCAGAATTTTTTTCAGAATTTTCGAATGTTATTAAATAGGAGAAATGGGGCACGATCTGGCGTCTCTTTTGTCCTCCCTTACTGCCCCCCTGGTTAAGATAAAGGGTTGAAAATTGGTGTACAGTATCTTCTTTCGATATCTTCTTTCTTCTGAATTTAATTTGGTTCAAGGGCCGTTTTCCCTATTTAACCCGGCTATACCCTTTATAGGAAAATTAATAATCTGTCAAAGTATAAAAACTCATTAACAATAAAAGAAAATGTTATCGATAAATATAATAGAATTTAAAGCAACTGGATTGCAATTTTAGTATAATTTTGCTGATAATATGATTGTTCCAGGTGTATACCAACCAGAAGCATTTGAAACCCATCGAGACAAATTAACAAACTGAATGCCATGACTTGCACGAGTACAATCAGACTGAATACTTCCTCAAGCTGATTGCAAAACGCGATGAGTGTTTGATGCTGTCGAATGCATCCTTTAAAGGTACCATAAGAATCGTTTAAAAGTTTCGAACAATTCTTCTCCGAATTCTTTTCAAGGGTTACAATATATTTGCTCGATAATCTATATTGCAATATTTTAAACTGTCCAGCCAGATGTAGGCTCAGGATGCATAATATATTGTCGAAACAAAAATATGCCAACCCAATGTGATAGACGCATAGAGCCTATAAAAATATATATTCTGGAAACTAAATTTTTGAAATAATACTAATCACAGTAGGTACCTCCACAGTGAAAAAGATTTCAAAATACGGTGTCATGGTCACTGGCAAATTAACCCACATATTGAACGGAAGTTCCCTCTCAGATTCGTTCTTTCCGATGTTCGCTGAAATAAAAGCGTAAATAATTCTTCATAAAGTGTGCCAATTGCGATACGACTTACCAATAATTGGTGTACCGATGTAAGACATAACGGTGATTTCGGTAAAGAAAATAAAGATACAAATGAAAAAAGTGCATTGGCGTTTGCAACTGGCCAACACCGATGCTTCGTATTTGTCATAATTTGCATGCAGAAAATTTCGCTCGAAATATGTAATTAAATTAAAAAATTTCTTTTTGTGCACAAGCAGAACGAGTATCTTAAACATTGGCACTGTCAGCGACAAAATGTTGCATGCATTATAAAGACAAGCCTACGGACAAAGAGGAAACATTACTCAGCATTAAATGTTTTTACCAATTATTTAAACTGTAAATGACATACAGTTCATAATGGCAACTTAACAAATTTTTCAATAATGTTTCGAACTATATTAAAAATTACTTCACACGTTTGGATGTGTAATGAAAATGAATGATGTTATTATTACATTCACGAATTAAAATTAATCAACTACACAACACACAATATTAAACATCACTGGTTGATACATCTTTCAAAAACACAAACTTTCAAATATTTAACATACGAGTTGACAGTTGAAATGAATCATTCGCACTCACCCCAAAATCTTCGCGGGAGTGATAGAAATCCACAGTCTGAATCCACAAGGCGAAAAGAATCGCGAACATGGTATAAAACAGTGTGACGTCTCTGAGCCGTTGTTCACTGCGATTGGCAGCAAGCCAAAATCCTATGAGTTTCATAAAAAACGACGTGAAAGTGATGGAGACGTCGCCGACTCGTAAAATAGTCATACCGAGCTTCTAATCACTAGACGATAACGATCTAATATCAAAGTCCTGCTAAACACTGTGTACCAACTATTACAGCGTGCCCAGAACAATCAGTCTCTTTGATGTATAGCCATCCGCACTTTCTACTTATCCTTATTACAGTCTGTGCACAGTTATTCGAAACGACGAAAGAAGAAAGGAGTGAATTGTGAAATGATCGACTTCATTTATTAAGTAACGGAAGGAATTGATGAGCTATGCATGATCCCGAGATGAGACTCTATGTGAAAGTTAATAACGATCAACAGCTGCACTACTACATAGGGTACTATACATAGGGAACATTTAGCTTGTTAAATGAACGATGAAAGTTCTCTATAATTTATTTAAACGTATAATGAACATCTATGATGAAGTAGTGGAAACTCTGTATGAAGAGAATTGATATGGTTTCGTCTTCCTTTTATTCCTTTTAGAAGTGTAAAGTACGATGCTGCTGTACTGAGAACCTGTAACAGACAAATGATGAACAATTAGTGCAATGCTACGAGATAAATTCATAATTGTTAAAAGAGAATACACTGTTGGCTAAGGACGCTAATTGTTTGTGAATTAAGAAGTAAATGGATAAATAACATGTAGAGAAAAGAAGGATAAAACAAAGGAAATTTTTAATCCTTATGGAGTAAGTAAGTAAACTACTGAATATAAATAAACTGTAAATTTAAAATAAGAATAATCCAGAAGCCACTCATTTTGAATGGTTGATAAATAATAATCTTGTGCAATAAAATTGTAAGAATGTATTTCAATTACCCTGGTACAAGTCTCCAGAGACACAATGAAAAATCCATAGGCTGTTAGACAGCAAGGGGTATTGGATCTCATGATGATCATTACCAAATCTCTTCTTAACTTTTGTACATCTTTATTGCTGGGTAAAGACCCATGGTCCAGTCGGGGCCAATTTCCTACTTTCTCGAATGACACTGTCACAATTGTACGTGAACATAAATAAGTGGCATATGATGCTCAGGAGGTGGAAGAAAAAGATGATTCGTCTGTCCAGTGCATTCGGCTATAAAATTAGTATAATAAATAAATTGGTTGTAAACGGTTTAATTTCACTTGATACATAACGCCTGCAACAAATTTATTATGTACTGTTATTGTATACTAACCAGAAGTATTTGAAATTCATTCAAGCAAATGGACAAGTTGAACCAAAACAGTTTCACGAATAAAAGAAGACTGAATACTTTTTCAAGTTGATCGCAATAGGCGATAAGAGCTTGATGCTGTTGAATGTAATTTTTAAAGATGATGTAATAATCTTCTGTGAATTTCAACAAACTTTTGTCCGATACATCTTTGAGTTCATCCGTATCCTTTATAACACTCCTGATTGATATTCTATATTGCAGTATCTGAAATTGTCCAGCCATGTGTAGGCTCACGATGCATCAAAAATTGTCGAAACAAATATGACCGAAGATGATGGGGTATAAAATTGCAACTTATGAAAAATGAATTGAAACGCTCAAGAAATGGAAACCTTGTAACGATATTTGGTTTGAAACAGATATATTACCTGAAAGAAGAAGATGATTTCATGGTGTCATTGATAGTGGAAGATCAACTTCTATATAAAATGGCAATTCTCTATCAGATTCGTTCTTTCCAATATTTGCTGATATGAAAACAATAATAATTTATTTTTCTTCGTATCAAATGACATAGTTATAGCACGACTCACCAATAATTGGATTAATAACGAAGGAGACAACAGTCGCTACAATTAGAAAGATAAAGAAGCAGATAAATAATTCACATACAGAAACTTTCGTTTCGTGTACTCAATTAAGTAAAATGATTTCTCTCGATGTTGAAGCAGAACGAATATCTTCAATAGGGGCATTATTATGTTTAAGCGGTTGCTTAAAAAATATTATTTGACATTTATTAATAATTATTAACTATAAATATGTATCGCGTAAGAGTGTAATAACTTGAAGAATTTGATTTGACATTAATTCATATGTTTGTCAACGGCCTTAGCCACTTAGGCCACACCGGTACCCGTAAGAAATAAGCAGATAGCGAATACGAATAAAATGAATAAAGAGAAAATGTATATGAATGGAAAAATAAGAGTACATAAAAAGAAGTAAAAAAGAAATGTGAGAATAATGGAAAAAACTATGGATGATTTCGATTGGTATAATCGTACTAAACTATGTGCGGATTTAGAGAAGAATTTAAAAAGGCCGCTGATTTTCGTTGGGCAATATAGGAGGGGAACCCTCCTGCAGAACGCCATCTTGGGCTTTGCCCAAGAAAAGCCATGTAATAATAATAATAATAATAATAAATTCATATGTTGATTACTTGAATAAAATAATTGTCATTCGAACATAATTATTACTGAACATATAACAATTTAATGTAAAATTTGGGAAGTGTCAAAAAAAGAAAAAACATGAGGATCAATTACAAAATTTTCACAAGTACCATTTAAAACAGCTCTAAATTTTCGTTACTTGTAAAGTTCATTAAGATTTTACATTTCAAAACCGATTTTCTTATTAAGAAGCTCACGAAAAATTAGATGTCCCTACTGGAACAAAGTTACCCCTAAATCTTCCCAAGATTGATGGATATTAAAAATCTGAATCGAAAGCATGAAAATGACCGATAGCATTGTGTAAATTAAGGAAAGGATCATCAAATATTCTTCCCGACGATTGACAATCTGCCAAAATCCCACAAGCATCATTCAAAACGACGTTGCACTGATGGAAATATCGTCGTTGCCGAAGAAAGTCATACTGAATTTCTAATACACTTCGATAACAAAGTCGTGCAAAAAATCTTATGCAGATTATAGCAATGCATCCAAAACGATTAGTCGCTTTGAGATCTTAGCATTCGCGGTTTCTACTTATTGTTAGTCTTATTTGAGACTGTACGTAAGAAAGGGGTGAACAATGAAACGTTCGACCAATAATGTATGGAATCGATGAGTGATGCATGATTCCAAGATCACGAAACCCTCTGTGTTATGTACGGGGAGTAGCTACCGATGAGGGTGCGGTAGCAATAAGGTTCACTCTGCGATACGAATACTAGGTACAGTAAAACCTGGATAAATTCAACCAAGATTGGGACCCAGTGGTTGCGTTTACCTAAGCGCGGTATCGAATCTCGGGTGACACGCGACGACCAGCCAAGCGTGAACGTAGAAAGGGACAGACAGTGGTGGAAAGAGAGAGGTCCGATAATCAAAGGAAAGAGCCGAAACGTATCGGTGTGACTAATACTAATTGAATCAAAAAACTTTTTTATTTTTCACTTTTTTTTAGTGAAACTTTTACTAGCGCATTGGTGAGATTTTTGTGATTAAAGTGGTACCAAACACGAGATAGTTTCAATTATAATTACTTGTTAAAATTGATGTTAAAAGTTGGCGAAAAGCAAGATAGATCGAAATCAAAACCGGTCGCGGTGTCGGCTTTGGTTTCAAAGGTTTCATTTATCCTAGCGAGGTGTCGATTCTGGGCATTTAATGTTTCATTTATTCAAGCGAGGAGTCGATTCTGGGCATTTAATGTTTCATTTATTCAAGCGAGGAGTCGATTCCGGGCATTTAATGTTTCATTTATTCAAGCAAGGAGTCGATTCCGGGCATTTAATGTTTCATTTATCCAAGCGAGGTGTCGATTCTGAATCCGTACACATGTTTTCTATTCAGCCGACATGCCGATTCTGTGTCCGTGCACATCTTTTGTATTCATCCGACATCATTTATATTCAGTCGTGGTGTCAATTCTATGTTGTTTATTCTATTACTATTGTTTATAAATATAATTCAACCTATATCGAGTTTGGTATCATTTTAATCAGAAAAATCTCACAAATGCGTTAGTAACAGTTTCATTGAGAAAAGGTTAAAAATAAAAAGGTTTTATCGTTGAATTAGTATTAGTCACACCAATATTACGGTAGGATCATTGTTCCGTCAAATTTCGTCGCGGCGTATTTTCCGCGGTTGGAAATCTTTAGGAAATGAGCAAGGTGCCGGATCGCGTTTACCGAAGCGCAGGATTCTTGAAAAGGCGGAAGCAATGAACTCCACAACAACGTGTTGCGTAATCTTAGCAAAAACTCGTTGTATTTAATAAATGAACACGTAGTCTTAGAGATAAAATGAACAAAAAGTTTATATTTCGATCCACCATTCACTTAAACTAATCCGCGTTATTGCGGTTCGCCGAAGTACTCGGTTCGTGCGAAGCGCCAAAAAATGGGTTTGCCAATTTAAATTCTCCGAAAGCTGCTTGCGAGAATTTCCTTGCCACGAGAGTGAGCCAACGGCGTGAGAGAGACGGGCGCCGATGAGAGAGGAATAGCAATATAATAGAAGTTAGTCGCGAAAGGTATTCGGGAAATAGTTCGCTCGAACATCATATTACACGGTTTCCTGGACGAGTGGCTCGGTTCGCCTAGGGGGATCCCCCCAAGTGGAGGAGATAGCGATGTTTCACTTATCCAAGCATTCTTTCGTTGAATTTATCCAGGTTTTACTGTATAATGAAAATTGTAATAATAACGAACAGTGGTATGTATCACGCAGCTCGATCGTGAGTACACTGACAACATATCATGTTCACTGTTTAATGATGCAGCTCATCACTTACGACTTCTTGTGCTTTTCACATGTAACGTGACGTTTTAACTATGAATAGAAAAGGGAATTAATTAAAGCGGTGTCATCTTATCAAGATAATTCGCACAGAAAAAAGAACGAGTTGTAACATCTGACACTTGATGTTCAATATGCAAGAGGAGAGGTACACGGATACGTCAATCAAATTGTCAACCTTCTACATGAAGTGCATCGGCTTATGGATAGCGGAAAATCACACAGAGGAACGTCAAAGAAAAGTGGCTATATTTTACACGATTTGGGTTACTTTGTTTTCTTCGCTCGTTGAGTGTAGAGAGTTCTATTTCTCTTGGGGAGATCTTAGTGTGAGTCCACGTATCCGTGAATATATTTTCAACGAATAAACATCGCGAGTAAGAATTGCATTGGATTTTTGTTTGAGACGAGCCAGGTCTTCTAGCATTATTCAAAGTCTGAAATGTGTTTTAATTTTTATTCATAATTTTATTCATAAACCGACAAATTTTGTTTTACTTATTCCAATAATTTTTGGTAGAGGGTTCGGTTTGTGTTTTGGGGGGGATCAGGCCAATTCTGACGCCTTCCTTAGGAAAGGATATAAACGAGATTTATAGAATCTGTTTTTAAAAATTTTGTCAAATTAAATAATAATGCATTGAATAAAATAATCATGTGATAATTGCAGTCGACACTTTACGTGAGTTGCAACATTCTAAGCTGTTGCCTAACTGTGTTCAAAATATACGTTATACTAGCGCACAAATTAGAGTTCATTAATTTAATTGTGTACATGCGCGATCATTTTTGGAATGGTAAATACGATCTTCAGGAGAAAGCGATTCTAGTTGAGTGCAGAAAAGTTTGCACATTTTTCACTATTTCTGTCACTTTCATCGGGGAATGTGCAGTTGTCGCTTATGTTGTGACGGCAATCGTATGTAAGTTTAAATAACATTCTTAATTTATTTTTAAATTTAACCCACCTAATAAGAAACGAATTAATGGAAAAATAACTAGGCCGCCATCCACTTTGTGGCTGGGGCGATATTGTGATTTAAAAGTCGATCAAAACAAAACAAAACAAAACAAAACAACCCGACTTTTAATTTACGGAACACAAGTTCAAAGCTCGTGCAATAGCGTAATTCCGATTTCCCTCATAGACTTAACATGGGTATCGGTTTCTGTGACCATTCCTCAAGGACACCACCGATCTCTGATTTTATTCTATACAAACACTCACAGTGACCACTATGATCGACTTGCAAAGAATGGTCAAAATTGATTATCTAGATTTTGAGTTAAAAAGTGACAAAAATCCCGATCAGTCGTATAATAATTTATACACTCCAATAAAATAAAAAAATTTGAATTTTAGCGAATATAGGGAAGAATGAATCGGACAGGATACTAATATTTAACATGTGGTTAAACTCACTGTCAATAACGCCTTACTACGAGATCATGTTTTTTCTTCAGGTACTCCGATTTTTCATAATTCTCATTTATTATATAGTCACAAAAATCGACCTGATTTAATTCCTTTTTCTCTCAGATGATAAGTTTGTATCACATCGGAGTGTGTTACTTTTGTTTTGACAATCTGTTTTGTATTTTAAGCGTACACGTAGCTAGTCAGTTTCGTATACTTCAATATAGATTCGAAAAATTGTGCGCTACGGATCAAGAAAGAAACGAGAAATTGACTTCCGCATATTGTACTACAGAATTTTACGAGAAATTTAAAAATTGCATAAAACAACACCAGGTGCTCATTAACTATTGCAATTTGCTTGAAAAAGTGTACACGGTAATGGTGCTTGGACAAGTGACAGTCTTCAGTGTACTGATATGTTTGTTTGGATACCAAATATTATTGGTTTGTATTAATTAAAAAAATTCTTTAAATTCTTTAAATTTCAATTTAACAAAAATTATGCGTCAGATAAATATATGTTTTTCAATTCCATACAGGCGGATGCTCCCATTACAAGACGTGCTATTTTCATATGTCTCATTTTGGGCAGCACGTCTTTGCTGTTTATGTTCACTTATAGTTGCCACGGTTTAATCGAACAAAGTGACAAAGTTGCTGTGGCAGCGTACTCGACAATGTGGACAAACTTGCCGATGACGGAATTTGGTAAAATGCTTCGAAATGATTTATTAATGGTCATTCAGAGATCGAGACGAGTCTGTTGTATGACTGCATGCGGATTCTTTCCAGTATCATTAGAAACTTTCACAACGGTAATGAAATCAAATAATCGTAATTAATTATTTTGATTTGTTGCACTTTGATTTATATGTATAGAAGCTTCTAATTTCAACTGATGTAATTTTTACACATGATATTGCTGTTCATTGAAAGTTAATTAAAATGTTTAAATTACTCATTCTTTTGTTATAGATTCTAAGTACTGCGGCATCGTATTTTACATTACTAAGAAACAATGCAGATTATACATAAAAAACATCGTTCTTCGGATATTCAAGTAGTAAATCGTTATTAATATCAGACATTTATATATTGAAGTTGGTTACATAAGAATTAAAACATTATAAAGTTCAAACTTCGAGCTTCCAATTTGTTACCTTGTATGATAATTAGTATACGGGTAGTCAACAGTGTTGGAAACGACTGCTTTTTAAATATGAAAATTTATTCAAGTAGTTTCTTGTTTCACGCCGAACTCAACTAACAGAATTACGTGTATGAAGAAATACGCAATGGAACGCGATAAGTACTTACACGACTCGCTGGTTAAATCTTTCTTTCTGAGGAGGACCTATGGTCACGGAGTATATACAGAGTGGTCGACAACAGGTGGAAGATTTTTTTAAGAGGTGATTCTAGAGATCAAGATAAAGACGAAAAAGCATTTGCAGCTTTGTTTTCCAGTAATTAACATTTAAAAATTCGAGTAAAAAGCGCCTAAAACCTGCAACCTGCCCAGCACCGACGACTGAACGTCAGGTTAGTACGGGTGGGTACAGTCATAACCAAGAAGAGAAAGCCGAATGCTGCAGTACCGAGAAACAGAGTAGCACGAGGTAAACTTCTACTATTCAATGATTCTTGGTTATTGCTTGATTCTGGGCAGATTACAAGTTTTAGGCGCTTTTTACTCGAATTTTTAAACGTTAATTACTGGAAAATGAAGACGCAAACGCTATTTCGTCATTCTTGATTTTCGTCTTATTTTGATCCCTAAAATCACTCCTTAAAAAATCTCCCACCTGTTGTCGAACACCCTGTATATGTATACATATTTTTAACCTAGTGGGGGAGGATGACTTTATGACTAAGTGAATGACAAAGGTGAATAATCTGTTTTTTGACTTTAGGGACCATCGCTATGATAAGTTGATGCATTCACTATAGGTTAAATAGAATTATCGTTATTTGAATGGTTGATCATCCAACAAAATTAATTAAAATAATATTTTTTCAATCTTTTGTTTGTTTGAATTATCCAATTTATAGTACTAATTAGCCAAAATTTCTCTTATCACTGCACTTGTTTCGTACAATATTCACTTTTTTCACTAACACAAATTCACACATTCTTTAATGAAAAATCTTCGTTTCTTCACGACAGAGTTTTTATCCCTTGTCTCTATATGTATTATATTTAAAGTTAAAAAGCAGAACAGCTGTTGATCGTTATTGTAATGTATTACGATCGTCACCTACAAACCGGCCGACGATATCCGCGACAGGCAGTCTATGTATGTACATATTACTTCAGCATTTCTGGGTCAATGTTTTCTTGAAATTTTGTACTTATCACTTTCGAAAATGATGGAACGATTGCGAAACAATGAACGACGAGGGAAGTTCGAAAGTACACGAGGACCTTAATCGATAGTAGATTGAAAGTAAATGATGGTATTGGGCTTCAGGAAATAGAATTAATACTTCGGATATAATGTCTTTATATCACTTTATTAACTTTATTATAACACACCGTTCGCTTATAACAGCTTCACAGAAAGTGAAGCTCGCCTCGCGGTCGTTCTCCTGCCGCGCTCTCTAGGTCTAGGATTAAAGAGAGTGTAGAGTGGAAACTCTGAACAATCGTTTTATATTCCAACAGTAAATATTTTTCAAGAATTTCTACCTTCGTTGAGATTATCACGAATGATTCTTTGATGCCAGAAATACATTCCAGAACACTGATTCCACGTTTTGCTACATCTGTGCAGTATTTTACGCGAAAGTTTGAACTTCCAATAGAATGATATTGTTCGGATTTGAGTCTCAAGTACCCCAGCGGCAAACACGCGGCTCGCGAGAGAGTCTTGCGGTGTTATACACGTGGGTGCTGAATATGCGTGGAGAAGGTTGAAACACAAAAACGAAACAGAAATGATTATTATAAGTGAACACAAAACTTTATTATGAAAAATGTATAAATTGAGTAAAAACAATGAAGAGAATATACGAAGAGCTCGGCGTAGCGATGGTAGGCACATCGACTAGTCGCGAGGTAGCGTAGACACACGAGTGAGGAAAAATCGGAGAAAGCGGAAAAGCGCGCGTTCGTAGGGGGTGTGAACCGGTGCCTACGTGAAAGCGCTAGAAAGTCGCACGCGGTACAAGTGTCTGCTTTCGTCCATGGTGATGCCGCCTGCCGGACGGCAGAGCAGGCTCCATGGATTGTGGCGTCTCCGACGAGGGTGCCACAATATAATTGCTGATCTTTTTTAAGGTTTCTAATCATTCGCGCCTGGCAGCAAAGAATTGAGGAATGGAAAATAAGTGGCAACATTGAAATTCTATGAAAAAATGATATATTTTTAATCGATCATTATTGACACAAACATTCCATGAGAAATAAATCTCTTTTTAAGTGGAACTTTAATCAAGGATGAATGAAAAGCTATACTATAAGCTATAGGTCATTTGATATGCAATAACGTAATAATTTCTTTCCATTCAACGATGCGATTAATGTATCATGGACACGGCTGTAAACTAATGTTAACTAATTTTAACCAAGACTACGTAAAAAATAAAGATAAAAAGGAAGAAGAGGGTAGCTAACAGGTAGCTGACTATCGATCGTACCTTTTTTAATAAGTCTAGTTGTATAATCGATTTTCTGACGAGCAGATCCGTCGAAACTGTTCAATAAAAAAATAAAAATATATATACCGAAATGTTTTTTATACAAAACTGACGCAATTATCAGTGTTAAGCATACGAATAACAACGAACTCAACGATTCACGTTTTTACATCACGATTTTTGAACACTGAGGTGCCACGTGTTCGCCACATATTTTCGATATGGAGTACTTTTATTCGTGCGTATTCTGTATATTCTATTTATAAATATATACATATAAGAAGTATGTTATATATATATAATTTATAGTAAATCGAATTGAGATTTAATATAACGCTCAGTTGTGTCAAGCATTTAATTTCTTCGACGAATCATTTGATAATCTGTAAATGATTCTAATTTATAAGCCTATCTATGCTACCGGAGGGTTAATTTTAATTATCTACCGAGAGAATCGTAGAAAACTTCAAAGGAAAAAATTTTGTTAAGGTCACAAAGGCAGCTATCGTGGCCCGACGCCAGAATGAACAGGACACAATTGTCCTTAGAGGATCACGCGAATTCCACTTTCACATCCTACAGGACTGACGTAATTGATGAAACCTTCCATTAATTAGCTTCGACCTTAACCAATTCCACTTCTGTCTAACATTCTTCGCTTTTATATAACTTCCTGAAGCTTTCTTATAAGGATACGAATTTTTATTTTAAAATTCAAAGGAAATGTATACTTGATATTCATAGAAAATTCATGTTTTCTAATTGAAATTATCCCGATTAGGATGGCTATAATTATTGATGAGAAATGAAATAAGTCATTCAAGTTCTGAATGAAAAGAAAACACTTCATTTAAATGATATTAAGAACGAAAGAAGACATTCGATTATATAAAATTCCGTGTCTTATCTTCTCTGTCTACACAATGGTGTCATTAGTTCGGATTTACAGGAGCCACTGAGATAGAGTTGCTTCTGCATCGCGAAGAACTTTAGATAACATTGATAAGTGTGGTGAAGTAACGAACAAGTCCTGAAATCTTTTACGTGATTTCGTAACACCTGATATTCTCGTAAAATGAATGGGAAATTTCACGAAACCACCATTTTCTGGGATAATTTAACAGTGGCTGTGCCTCGGAAACGCGAATTATTACGAACAATCTATCGAAAATTAACAAGAAGACCATTTGAAGAATCATTAATGATATTAAAAAGAGGTGTGCAAATTCGAAGTGATTAAATTTAATAACTGGAATAATTGAAGAGTATAATTTAATAATAATTAATGCGCGTTACAGTATCTGGTCGTGCAGTGACAGGAAACCTGATTGCCATAATGGGACCCAGGTACAAGACAAGAAGATCCTCTAATCTTCTAATTTCAGAAAAAAATAATAGATCGTGATGATTTTTCATTCCAGTGGTGCTGGTAAGACAACTTTCCTAGCCACCCTCTCCGGAAGGGTGGTACCGACCCTAGGTACGGTAAAAATAAACGATCAGATTCTTCCACGAGAAATTATATCTAAAATATCCAGTTATTTGCCTCAATTTGATGTGTTACCAACTTCCCTCACCATTGAGGAACACTTACGATTCACGGTATTTAAATTATTGAAAAATGATCAGAATTTGATAGATACGGTAACACATTTTATTTAGAACGCTTTAAAAACGGACCACAACTCGAGGCAAAGAAAATTTCAAATATCAAAACTGCTGTTCGATCTGGGTCTAATTGATTGTAAAGACACCTTGATAGGGAAATTATCTGGTGGTCAAAGGAAACGAGTTTCCTTGGCCAGTGAATTAATTACTAAACCTAAGATACTTTTCCTTGATGAACCGACAACTGGTAAGAATAAAGAAATATTATGCTAAATGGTAAGAGAATTATGATAAGAACTTTGAAAAAGTTTTTATAATTTAAGAGGAACAGAATCTAAGAAATCTTCGTGTAATTTTTATATCGCTGCTCTGATATAGAACTTTCTATTGAACCTTGAACCTTTGTAAATGATCAATCTTAGGACTGGACACATTCTCAGCAATGCAAGTGATACAGACATTGAGAAGGATAAGTCTTGAAACGATCGTTTTTTGCACAATACATCAGCCTTGTATGGACGTGTACAATCTTTTCACTCATATCTTGCTGATGGCCGAAGGGAGGACAGCTTATCATGGAAGTATCGATGATGCTACGAAATTTTTCTCCAGGTGAATTTCATATAATGATATCAGAAGAATATCAAACATTCTCAATATTTCTAACAAATTCAGCCTAGGTTACGAGTGTCCAGTTGGTTTCGACGAGTCCGAGTATTACATAAAATTGATATCACCTAAATATCCAGGATCATCATTAATCAATTTTGATGATGATGATGATGATGAACCTCCACCTAATGAGTGCATCGATAAAATCTGTCGAGCATTTCTGCAATCTTCGTTAGCAATAATTCCCGAAATTACAAATACAAGCCATCTTGAAATAGAACCCCAAAGGTGAACAAATTTTGGCAAATGAAATTTTTATGAAGCTCACATTTGGTTTTAATTATTCACAGGAAAGCTGGGTGCATAGTGCAATTCTTTTGGCTGACCTGGAGGATATGGATTCAAAACCGAAGAACAATTTTCGTAGACTGGATTTCATGGATATGTTATTTCGTAAGAAATCAAATACTAAAACTGTACTTCATTTGATCCACCTTTTGTTTAAACTTAGATAACACTTTGAAAACAATGTTTCCTGATTCTAATTGCCTACACTAGCGGAATTAATTCTGGACACTTACATTTTTATTTAAATTTCGCATTTATTCAAATTATTTAATATATAATCATTTATATTTTATATTCTAATCATTATTTTCTAATTTTAGGGCGTCGCTTATATAAAAAAATCAGTAAATCTTTTACAGCCATACTTTTAATATACAATAAAAATTACGATTTCAACACATCAAAGGAGGTAGACTAAATATTAGAAAAATTAATATTTCGTTGAATATCCTTTCATCCTGTGATTGGCTATTTTACATCATGCGTTGTTTCGTGGTGCCAGACGCAAAAAGAAAAATAATAACACAGTTTAGATCTATTTAAATTAAAATTTTAAAACATTTAGCATAGCAGAATATACATTTACTGCACAAAAATGAAATAAAAAATATTTTTATGCAAGGTGTCCAGAATTAATTCCACTAGTGTATGTATTTTACTGATATTTGCATATCATATCTTGTAGCATCAATTTTCCTCTTACAAATTAAATGAATCGTAGCTTTCGATGGCGATGGTGGTGACTTTTTACACGGGAATTAATCCGCGCACTCAAGAGGGTGTGCAGAACGCAAGGGGTGCTCTGTACATGATGAGCTCCGAAATTTCCTTCACTGTAGCTTATTCCGTGATCTATGAACTTCCTGGACAGCTTTTAATTTTTCAACGTGAAAATAGCGTTTACGATACTGGCCCTTATTATTGTGCCACCTTTCTTGGACTGGTAATCAAAGTTCTTAGACACTCTGCTACTGATTTAATGTCGTAAATTTTTATCTTCAAGATTAACAAAAGTAATCTGCTAAATTGCTTTATTACTTTCTTTATCAGCACTGCCATATTTAAATCAGCTTATCTTCAAGATTAATATATAGAAACAAAAGTGTCCAGAAACTTTTATCAATGCACATTGTCAATGGGGTCGTTTTTCCAGATACCAAAAGCAACACTAAAAGCGCTAATTTTCACAACAGTGTTGTACCTCGTACTAATCACTCAAGTAGATTTCGTGAATTATTTATTTTATTGCCTGGCTACATCAACTGCTGCGATTTGTGGCACGGCGTATGGTTTAGTATTTTCCAGCTGGATGGATGACGTCGACGTGGTCACGTCCATCATGGTACCCATCGATATGATATTCCTGTTAACCGCTGGAATGTTTTATAATCTCAGGTAACCACGTACTTTGATATCCTATATGACAAGGTTGCAAAGAAATTTCACTTCGTGAGATTTATTTACAGTCTTCTAGTTTCATGTTTCAATTTCACGTAAAGTAAGCCAAGTTTGAAGTTGGTTAAAATGAGGGTAAGATCGTGTCGTTGTATCGCGTTAAACTTGATTTAGAATTCTTGTCAAGTGATTTCATGAAGATTTAAGTATAGCTTTCGTTGTTGGACAATTTTCCTTTAGATATTCCCAAATAATTAAATTTCCATCTTAGGCATTTCCAAATGAGGTTGTTCGTGTTTCCAGGTCACTGCCCACGTACCTGACGTGTTTCAAATATTTTTCGATGTTCTTTTACCTGAACGAAGCTCTCTCTATAATTTATTGGTCGCGTGTAGACTACATCGGTGAGTATATTACACCGATAAATCAATTATGAAAATTCTCTACCTCTTGTCGATGTATCAAAAATGAATATTTAACGCGAGGTTCTTCAAATCCTTGGGGGTTTATTAATTTTCATTTTTGAATTCATAAAAGCTTTGTTTCGTCGTTTCAGATTGTCAAACACCCAGTGACTTGCCCTGTTTACGAAATGGAACGGAAGTGATGTTTGAATACGGTTTTGGAAATTCCAATTTCTACTGGGACTTAATTGGTCTCATAATTTTAGCAGTTTCAATGAATTTGGTTGGATATTTTGGTCTACGAAGGAGAAGAAAACTTGGAGCAATATATTGAGCAAAATAATAATTTGTAATTAATACACGAAGTCTCGTTTCTGCAAAGTTTATTCTAGTTGATAACAAAATAACTTATAGATACTGTACAATTATTAAATAGTTATCAAAATCAATAAACTGAAAATCGATGAATTAAATTCAGATGAAATTAGTAGACAGGTTCTTGACGACTTCTGTATTTAATCACCAAGAAACCAGCTAAATGACTGAACGAATATATCGCCAGAAGACCGATTAAATCCATCGTGTAATGGTATGGTAAATAGCCATATTTCTCAAGGACACCCAATCCACTGGATATGCAAGGCTCTTCCGGATCCGGAGAACAGCCTTTGGATACAAAAAGTGATTTTTAGAAAAGTTCCTTTTCCTCGATTCTGTTTAAATGCTTAAATTATTTACTTATGTCATCAATTAACAGCCACTGCGTTAAAGAGACTGCCTCGAGACCGTAATAAAATTGTGATAAGTACTTTAACCAGGAGATACCAGGTGCTAAATGTCTAGAAGAATGAAATATATTCCTTTTGTACCACTATCCCAGCTCGTAAATGAAATTAATAATAATAAAAAAATGATAAGTTTTCAAGTTCTAAATTATACCGGGCTGTTCTAACTATACATATTTCTCACCCGAGATGCAAGTAGATACCACAAAACATCAGACCAAGGAAATCCAAAGGCACAGAAAACAAAGAGGCAGTGTCCACTGATTTAAACGAGGCTGATAAGAAACAACCTGTTCGAAAGATTCCATTTTTTTTATCATAAGCTAAATCACTCTATATACATATTTCCATAATTCGTCATTCCTTACCAAGAGCGGAAGCGGAAATGGCACAGATTACTACTGGCAGTGCAAAGTAGATAAATCCTAAACATCCACCCTTTAGTCCTGTGATCGAGAATATGAATCCACTGTAGAGCAATGGTTGCACTATAGCTCCTGGTAGCTGAAAATTATCAAAAATCCACTAAATCTATTATCTAATCTATTATCTAATGATTGGCTTACCAAAACGACAACCTTGCTGATGTAATACGGTGTCGGACCATAAAGTCCACTGGCGATGTCGCGCAATAAAAGCGGTAATTCTCTCGGAAACGTATAAAAAACAGCGTAATTAAAGGTGAAAACCGTCTCGACGACCACTAGGTACAAAAGACCTTGCATATTTTGTATAGTGCCCTGATTCATGGCTTTTCCTGCCACGTCCAAGTAAGGAGATGCTATTAGCAGTCCTATGATCTTTAAACAAAAGTTTATCTATTTTTTGTCAGGATTCGAGAAATTGAAGAAAATATTTGTATTGGAAAATCGTTGGATTTGGAAATTTTCGAAAGAACTGCGAATGATACGATGGGAGCACAGAAAGAAATGAAATATTTCAAAACAATTTAAAAAATTCCTAGTAAATTTTAATTAAAATTCAACGCAAATGATTTAATTCTGTTTACGAAACGTTTACTCTCTCAGGTTTTCCTGTAATCCATAACAAACAACGAGCAACGAGCAACGAAATAAAAGAACGTAGTAATTGAGGAGTTACTCGAGCACAAAATGAAAGAGAGTAAAAAAGGAAGAACAAAGGGTGGATTGAAGTTCAAAGGAAATAGGTAGAGGAGATCGATGTCTCACCATGTAAGTTATAAATCGCAGGAGAATGGAAGCGGAGTTCCTTTTGTAATCGACGTACGTTCGCCACGTTAGCCAACGTAATTGCGTGAATCCACGAGCTTTCTTGAAATTTCGAGGAGTCAAAGAGACATCCGAAAAGATCAAAGGAAGCTCGTTGTTCTCTGACGTGCTTGCGCAAGAATATTCGATCAATTTCGATACCCTTTGCCCGTACTTCGATCTTTGATATTGGTCGCAGATCCAATTTACCTGCGAACATCAACCTTCTTACCAATCAACATTTCACATTTTACTTTCTATTTTTCTATGTACCTTTCGATAACTTTCAGCTTCTCTACCGCGAACGATCGACAATTGAGACACGTAAAATTCCGCGCTGTTGTATGTTGGAGGACAACGAAGATCCAAACTGGAACAGTTTTTAAAAAGCACCTTTTCAAAGAAGGTTTCTAAGTTCTAAATTTCACAGGATAAAAACTTGCCAACTTTCCTGATCGAAATTCTTAAACTGATAAGATTATAAGAAACGCGATCTCTTTAAATTAGTAGAAATTTAATTAAAGTTTCGGTGTTTCCAAATTACATTTTAAAACTCGTTGACTATCAGCTTGTATCTCCTAACTTTATTTCAGAATCACCCTTATAATATAGGGTATGATAGGGTTAAACTTGAACTTAGGCTTTTCTTATCTATTTCCTTTCTTTCATCCCGTCGAGTAGAAATTGATCCAAAAATGGATAACACGTACGTTCTCGAAAAAGCCACGTCGCCCAGAAATGGGTCGGTATCTGATTTTCGCAGAGTCACGTCAACGAAATATGGGCGAAGCAGAGACTCTTTTAGCAGGACTCGATTTTCATGTCAGATAAAACATTACACTACTCTATTTCAAAACGTTACTTACTAAAAATATTATGTATAAATCCACTTTGAATTCTAAAAAAAAAAAAAAAAAATCTAAAATTTACTTGGAAGATAAAATATTCTCTCGTACCTATCGAAAAATTCCGTGGCGTCGGCAGAGGAACCTTGAAAAGCAACTCTACCCCCAGAAAGCAGAAGAACCTCGTGAAAAATTTCCAAAAGACCGGAAGCTGGTTGATGTGTAGAACAGATGACGATTCTTCCGCTGGCAGCGACCTCCCTGAGTGTCCTCGCCACCGTCATGGCACCGTAACTATCCAACCCCGTGGTTGGTTCGTCGCAAAATAGAATACTCGGCTCGGTGAGAAGCTAGAAAAATTCTCTACCCTATGTGTATTTCGTATTAAGGAAATTGCTGGCCAAAATTTCGTGCAACGCGCGTAAAAAGAGAGTCGTGTCGACGGGGAAAATTTACAAAGGGTTGTTACCCTTTTGGCGTGTTTGTTGGTAAATTGAAAATGGGAATACGTAAAAAATTGTGGAATAAAAAAAATCACTGTCACGGTAAATTTGTTGCAAGAAAATGAAAATTATACACCTGTCGTAATTCATACATTTCAATAATGAATCATTAATTGATTGATTAACATCAAACCATCATTAATCTCCGTGTATCATGTTCAATCGTAAATTGAACGATAGCATATCCGATAAAGGATAAAAGTCAACTGAGTGAAATTGACAAGCTTACTTGAACGGCTAAAGTGACCCTCTTCCTTTCGCCGCCGGACAAAGATGAAAGTTTCGAGTTTCCACATTTTCCCAGTCCGAGTTCTCCCAACAAAACCATTATACGCTGCCTTCTGATGTTCGCCCGAAGCCTCCTGTCCATTTTCATGCATGCCTTGATCAAGCGGGAACAATCACGAAGTTTTAATGGCCATGAAACCTAATCACTCTCGTAAGTTAACCGAATTAGTCGACGGTGACGATATGAATTGATAAAACGTTCAATTCGATAGGAAATTTCCAATAGAATTTCAGAAGGTAGACCTTTAAGGGGCCTCTTTAGAATTTTGAAAAAATCGCAATTTTTTTGCTTAAAAGGTGCCTTAATGCCTTAAAAATGATATAGCAAAAAATTATGGGTGAGAAAAATGTCTAAGTACTCGAATTTCCAATTCTGGCGCAGCCCCTCCCGGTCTGCTGCACCTATTCCCATTTTTCAAACTGGCCGGACTCATAAATCAAACAGATCATCACCGATCAATTTGAAAATTTAACATTTAAATTCTCTACCGTACTACGTAGGATTTTTTTATTATATTGCATAGTTCGTTTGTTATAAATAATTTTTTGGCGATTCTTTCTTGAAATTTTACATTTTCTCTTAAAACAAACGCCATTTTTACAAAAATCAATATATCCAAAAAATCCTACGTAGTTTGGTAGCTGTTCTCATATATAATCGAAAATATTTTGGTTTTTTATCCTAAGTTAAAAATTGCAAGAGCTGCTGATCCGGCCGTTATTCCTACAAAAAAGAGGCGTCATCGAAGAAATGCTGCACAGCCCATATTTTCACTTGAATCACTATACAAAAATTAATTTTTGAAGTTTATAAGTTGTAAAATAAACGCATGCTTACAGAATTTGGATTTATTCCATCATTAAAAAAAAACATTCCCAAAATATGCCTATTTTTTCTTGCTCTAGACGTAACCCCTTAAAAATGAATAGGTATTTCCAAAAATCCTGATACTAATTCAATCAGTTTCAATTAAAAATCCCATAAATCGTGTTCAATTACTATTTCCACACGAACCGTCCGATTTTCAATCAGATATCAATCACTTGTTTATCGAATCTAAATAGAAACTTGTTGAACCAACCGCGAACAGTAAGGATCGTTTAAAACCACTAACTTGTTACGCGTGTATCTTAGCTGATTATTCGATTCAACGTACCGTGAAGCATGAACGTGTTATCCATGACTCGATCATGATCTGAGATTGATCGATGTTAAACGAATAAGTAATGTCTATTTAGTGTGATAATAATCGAACTAACCATGAATTCCATATGTTCTTGGACTGTCAGCGATTCGATAGCTAGGTCTGTTTGCGGAACAAATCCTGATATCCTTATCATTTGGTCAGTGTCTACAGGTTTCCCATTTAACAAAATGTCACCTGTGGCCCGACCTATTAAGAATAAAATCCAATGATCCACGACTGTTTGTTTCGTTTGATACCTTAATAATCTCTGGTGACTCAATGTTGAAAAATTATGGCGCAATACAGATAAATTTTAGAAAATTTGTTTTGATGTTATAAAGCAAGTAGTATATAAACCTTTAACACGTCGACTGATCGTTGCGAGCAACGTAGTTTTCCCAGACCCGCTGCAAAATGAAAACATTTCTTTCTTAGTCAAGGAGAAACTTTTCTCACCGTTTTCCTTCTCGAGGAACAATTAAACCCTGGAATACAAGACGCTCGTAATTTTCACGGCTGAACATCCAGTTTTATCTCCGCTCCGTGCAAATTCTGATATTAAACGCATCAGTGAACTCTTTCTCTTTTAGAGGGAGATTAAATGAAACATTGTACATTCAGTATTTAAAGAAGATAGAAGAATTGCTTCCCGTTTGTCTTGTTAATAATCACATTCTTAAACTAAATTTTATGAAAAATATTTATGAAGAGTATTAAATTAGTATTCCAGGGTTAGAGAAAGATTCTTACCTTGGTCCCATAATAGCCATCAACATTCCAGAATTAACTATACCATTGACTAAAAGTAATATAGATTAATTAATTAATTATTGTCTTCTACTCCATCTAAATCCTGCATCAAATTATTCGAGAAAAAGATACCTCCGTTCAGTAATCGAACAACTTCTGTATGTTGCAAACCGAAAATTGCTCGAAAGCTACCTCCGTTCCTTTTTCTTTCAACCGTGTAAGAAATATTCCTCCAAGTCAAACACAAATCCTTTGGCAAGCTTGCCGGCAGCGTAGGATACTTCGCGCTATGTTTCATCTGGAAATAATTTATTATTCTCCCTAAACGGCTATGAAGTTCCTGGAACTTCTCTTCTTTCCATTATTTTTCAAAATAATATTCACCGCTGTGCTCGTTCTTCCTTTCAACGATTCGTAGAATTAATTCGCACAAATGTGGAACGAAAACAAATCGTTTCTCAGATAAAATATCAAACGTCCTCGAATCGCCAATTCCACAGAATCATTTGACAATCGATAATCACCAAAAACGAAACCAATGCAACGTGTCTGAAAGTTTCAATGAGGTTTTCGTGCTTCGAAAATCGATAGTGTCTAGCTTTTGATTTATAGGGAAGCAGGCAAAAAAAATTGCAAAATTGAAGGTCAGAATCATATGTGAGAGAGGTAATTATTCAAGAATTCTCGTTGCAATGCCGATCAACAAAGCCCTTCCACTAATACCAAGAAATCTATGTCTGTAGGTCAGCTGTGATTATATAAAATACAGGTCCGGCTTGCATGTCGCCATATTGGACCAAGCAGCATAATGGTACTGTTTATGTAAGCTATTTACACGCCATTTAACTTCTTTGGGCCATAATTGTTTATAAAATAAAGTCACTATTTGATCCATAGCATAATAACGTTTGAGCCACGGTTTCGCATAAATAATATCAATCATTTGAATCGAACCACTAACCTTCAAATAAAAAAAAATACGCGATCCCTTTCTCCGCGAAAGGAAACCACGACGAAAAGTGAGACCAAATCACAAAACTTTGATCAAGATCATTTAATACACTAATCAACCACTAAACCTACTCTACTAGATAAATTGACTTCAGAACTGTTTAACATTTTAATTCGATTGATTCATCAGAGCACAGCGGTGACTATCCACATTTTCTCTTATACTTACGGTATTATTGTCAAAGAACGTCATCTCAATAATTAACACTCACGAAACCACTGACAAAAAGAATCTCATTACAGAAATCCCGAAAATAATTCAATTCATCCATGGGGACATCAAAGGAGCAAAGTCAAGGCTATGGTGATCGTCCTTGGAGGTCCTCTTTGAACTTTACCAATTCCCATGGATATCTACACGCAATTCATGTTATGCAACACTATAGAATCAAACGAGCAAACGATAGTAATAATAATAACATTCACTGGTGTTTGCTGGCTTTGTACTATGGTCCCTTATGGTGTTTAGATATCACGGGACTGGCTATGTTATGGTAACCGGAGGCGAATGTTGTTCGCCACGATACGACACCATCACGAGCGGTTTTGCGGAGGATGAAGCGACCGTGTATCTTATATGCTATGAGAGGTCGTTACACAACGAGACCGCGAATACGACGAACACGCTCGCAGCTGCAAGGATTACGGAATAACGCTTCGATGCATACCGATGCGGATTTGAAGATGTCCGAAGACTCGTACAGGTTGCTTTTAAATAGCTTACAGCCTGTATAGGGTGTGCCGGAAGTAAAGAACTGACGTTACACCGGGTGAATCGGTAACTACTATCATTTTTAAGAGGTGTACGTTTCAACAGTTAACAGATAAAAAATATGAATACTTTAATGAAATATAATACCCGAATTTGAAACTAAGTAATATACACAAAAGAATTGAGTTAGGATGAAAATAGAAGATTTATATGAAAATAAACATGAAGTATCAAGTTTGAAAGTTTTCGAAGGATCAACGATCGAACGATCGACGAATAAATTGGAGGATGAGGTAAACGAACAACAAGAGGTATGATGGAATCGGCGAGGCAAGGGGGTGGTCACAATCGCAATAAAACGATGGAAATATTGGAATCGGCGCAATATGATTCCGCGACGGATCGCGAAATGAAACGAAACAATGTTTGCGTTGCGCGGAACGTTCGACCTCTCTTTCTCATCTCCACTGTCTCTCTCGATCTTTTTCACTCACCCCATTTCACCCTCTACTCTTCTCAGTCACGCTTACAGTTTCTCTCGCTCTAGCTGGGAATCGAGGATTTGTTAATATCGAGCGCCTAGTACCGTGCCAAAATGGCCGACGTTTAGTCGTTCCTTAGTTCCGATTTAACTGAACGCGTCGCGACGCCTCCTCTCATCGACACCCGTCGATCTTTCCTTCCCCAATCGATCTCTGCCATCGTGGATAGGACGTCGAAACTTCTAACGTGAGATTTCTTGGGGATGTATCAACTCGAAGAGTGAATTTTGGTACACGATTGGTAAAAATATTAGAAAAGGATAATATCAATGTTTCAGATGCGTGCTTGATTAAAAAAGAATGAAAATTTTTGAACATCTGCGTGCGAACGCGCCTCGTCATCGCCGAAACAGTTGACTGTTTTAAACCGACGATTAAACAAGGGGAAAAGAAATAACAAAACATTAGCTAATCGCGACAGGAACGACACGCGAGCGTACCGTGATCGCAGGCGTTAAGTCGAAATTAATTAAAACGAGCGTCGAACCTTCAAGAATTTTAATCAACGAAAGAAGCACGTTTGGTAGACGAAGCTCGTAAGAAGAATGTCTTCGAACACGACCACCACCACGACCGTGTTACTGAAGAAGAGGGAAAGGACACAGAATTGGGTCCCAGAGGAGAAGAACGCTTTGTTCTCGTTGATCAAAAGCCACGTTAACGCGATCGAGAACAAGAAAATCGATGCCGCGGCATCGGCTATGAAAACTCTAGCCTGGCAACAGATTTATTGCGCTTTTCGTGGCAGATTTTCCACCGACCGAGATATCACCAGGATGAGGGAACAATGGAGAAGGATGAAAGCACAAGCCAGAATGGAGATGTACACGTTTGCGGAGAAGGTTAATCGATTTTTCAAATTAAACACGTTCGATTGTCGAGTAGAAATTTAAATTCTACCCTTTGAACACTGTTTCTAATTTAACTGGAGGGTATTATTTCTTTGCTGGAAAATATGAACATCAAGCGAGAATTTATATTTCGGGGATGAAAATGTAAATTTTATGTTCTTGACCCCTGAGCGCTTTCAAAGTAACGAGATTGAATGCAAAACTTGTCGAACAGTTTTTCAGGGTAGCCCAAGTTTCATCCAAGTTTTCTATATTTTCATTGCTACTTGGGGCTGTTTTATAAACACCAGAGGTTGATAGATAGTCAAGCTATGAGAATCTTTTAATATTTGTGCACTGTGTAAGTTATGTAGGAAATATGTCAACTTCAAAGTTACGTTAACAAAAAAAATGCATAATGTTAAAAAGCAGTAACCAAATGATTAAAGTAAACGAAAATGCACCTATAGGTGAAGAGTCTGGGCCCCGAAGAGGCTGCCAAATGTCGTCCATCGAATCTCTCGATCGAGGTGTGGAGATTAATGGAAAATGCGAGGAAAAACGAAGGAGACGGCGATCGTTCGGACGAGAACAGCCAAGAAGACCCGGACAACCCGATGAATCTGCAGACGATCCTTGACAAACTAACAGCATCCGCGCCGGAAGTGATGGTCAATGAAATTAAAGTCGAGGCGGATAGCGACGACGACTACAACACGGAAGAAGAGGCCAGGACAGAAATTTTCACAAAAAAGTCGAACACGAGGAAAAAACGACCACGGATATCCGAGGACGAACCAATGGATCTGGCTGAACAGAGGGTACATTCTGCGGATGCCAATGCTCGACAATTTGATAATGGTACTTTCAAAATAACCTTGACGAATATTTTTTTAAAATGTACAAATCTTCTTGTTTGTTTTTAAGCAGAAGAGAGTACGTCATTCTCCAATACGAAGGAAAGAAACGATCGGATCAATAATGATCAAGATGAATCTACTCAAAGAGCGATATGGATGGTGGAGCTGGCTCAAAGGGAACACGAGCTCAAATTGAGAATGTTAAACATCGAATTGGAACGTGCGGAGCTGCAAAAGCAGACAGCAATTAACGAATTGAAAACTTCGGAAATTAAAAGGCAATTGATCGAGAATCAAGCAGCTGAATATTACAGGTCATATTCTCGTTCGTTCTGATAATGAATATATTATACATGTCATCAGTTTGAATTTTTGGAATATTGGATTACTTAAAAAATTTCAATTTCCCAAATTCGGGGTAAAACTTGAATTAATATTGCCGCCAAACTAGCGCCAGGGACGGACGGTTTGCGAACCATCTGCCGGAATAAGTAATAGGAACGTGTCGTTCTACTAGTAGTGTATGGTTTCTATTGGAATCCTCAGAAACTACTGTACTTTGAATTTTCTACGTAGAGAACAATGCAACGAGCTATCGCTACGTTTTCTCGGAGTATGGCTTCGCTGAGGTATAAAAGAATGTTTTCCATCGAATGACTAATGCAAAACTATATAAATTTTCTTTTCTGCGTAGTTTAATTCGGCATCAGCTATTGCACGGTTTTAGGACAAGGCACAAGTAAAAGTATTATCGTTTATCGTGTTCTAGTATCTCCTTCTCTAAGTTTTTAGTACAGTAAGAACATTTAAATAAACATTTTTCTAAATTAATTCAGATATTTATTTCAGAAGAAGCTTCAGAATTCATTATTGAATTTTCTCTATATTAGGTTGAATTATGTAATAGTCACAATACCATTATTCCAGAAAATTATTTGTATGGTTTTTGCTCAATTTCTTAATAATCACTGTATTTTCAGTTTAAATTTAATGTGCTCTAAATTAAATTGTATAGTTATTTGATTGATAGGTGATATAAATGGACATTGAATATTTTTAACTGCCCTATTGCACTTTACTTCTTTTTGGCAGCGTAAAACATTATGGAACACTTTCTAAGATCAATATTTTATCATTACAGCCAAGTGAGAATGGTTGGTGAACGTGGATCAGGTGCTGGCCACGGCGGAGGCGGTGGTGGTGCTATTCGAGAGGCTGGAGGTGCTTTTGGAAAAATGGAAGCTGCCCATGAAGATCAATATTTTTACAATCAAGTCAGTTATAATAACTGTATATACTGTGTGTGATTATTTAAAGAAATTTACATAGAATTTTGTTGTTTTTAGGATAAAGCAAAGCTTCAGAAACTAAAAATGGATCTCCACGATGAGATCTCTTTCCATGAAGAACAAATCAAGCGCCATCAAGAAGCTATAAACCGTCACAAACTAAGAATTTCAGACATGGACAAACACTAATACTATTTCCCTGCTGTAAAATTCCTACTTTTCTAAGTAGGAAGTTGTTCTTTTTAATAATGAAGCTATTAAATACTATGGATAGTAATACTAGAACTTCATATCTATACTTTTTTTTAGATGCAAAATATTATACATAAATATAAATATAAAAAAATGTATTGAATAAAAACCGTAAGCTGTTTATTTTCATGTACTTAAAACAGCAATGCTTATTCATGCATCTCAGGTGAAATATTAAAAATAAAACGTAATTCATTCGATTATTTTTCGATGGTATTCGTGTTCAAATGTTTCACTGTTCGTGACAGAAAGCTGCAAAATTTTTAAGTTCAACCTTTTGAACGATTTTTTTTTATTCATATAAATTTCTATAAATTGTTAGAAATAATGTTTCGTTATATTTTACGTACTTTATCATGTGAGACTAGTAGGTAAGTATTATATTCGAATAATTAAGTAACAACTGCTATTAGTTTTGCACCTTTTGGGTTATGCTCACTATTTCAAAATAATTAATATAAAACTTTGTTACATTTTCTTTAGTTCCAAGTATCTTAAAAGAAAATATAGCGATTCAAATAAAAATAATGTATCGAACAACGATATTGCTTTCGAAGCCGAATATTATTACAAACAGGTAACGTTATAAGAAATCGAAAAATTTGTCAAAACATAACAGTCATTTATGTTTTACAGGATAAAGAATTATTGGACATGCTAAAGCAAAAACTACAGGAGGAGGTAAAATGCATGCAGGATGAGGTTATAACGATGCGTGATAAAATTGAGGAACACAACCGTAACATAGACGAAAATTTGCGATTTTTAAAAGATCTTGAAAAGAATGTATCGGCTAGCGATAAAAAATAATCCCGATATATATAAACGTATTATTTTTTAAATATACAGAATGATTTTGATTAAAGGTCAACAATACTTAACAAATACGAAACTGTCCTTTTGCATGGAACTTTTTATTGCAAATTATATTGCTATATTATAATATTGAAAAGTGATTGTATAATAAATTAAAAATTAATGTTTACTAGAACTTTAATATGTTACGATTGCAAATAGTATTTATGTAAACAAGCATTCTTAAGTAAACAACTCACTATATCGGCGTCCTCTTCGAATACCATTTTCGCGCCACTTTCTCTATAATGGCGCCATTTTGTTCAACTTTCTGGCGGCTTCAGTAGGCACTATAAATGCAACAAATGGGTATGATTATTATATTAGTTCATGAAATAATTTGATAAAAAGATAAATTTAAGCTTTGGTTTAGTAATTCTTAACATACGTGTAAGTGCCGTGATTTAAACCTTCAACCAAAGCAGGATTCCGAATCTGACTACGAGACCCACAGCGTTACACTCAAATTACCAAGAAATTTTCAAAATTGCATTGATTTGACTAAAAAACGATTTTAATCGCGCACTATCACGTATGTATGACTCAAGTTATACTGTAATTAACTTTCATAAATAAAAAACTTAATTTTCCGCAAAAAATCAGTGGACCTGTTCGACTCGCGTAGCATGATCACTTAAACTTGCTTCTCCCGGTGGCCGCCAGGGCGTGTATGCGATCATCCAAGATGGCGTCAGCTCGGCGATGGAAGCGGCCGATCGTTGCGCCCTCAGTGTCTCGCGGTTCATCGATCAGTGTGGTGTGTCGCGTTGTTGCTCCGGTGGATTTTTTGGTGGTTTGTTCCTGGCTGGGACGGTACGCGTATTTTTTTCGTTTGGTTTTCTAGAGGCAACGCGGTGATTACCCGAGGGGCTCTTGAACGGGCCCAGGAATAAACATAGGAAAGATGCAACCGAGGATATACTGGATTCTGATCAGCACGGCAGTCATTCTCGCGGGATGCAACGCCGCTACCGAGGTGAGTACGATTGCTTTTTCAGTCTTTCTTTCTCTTCTGTCACTCCTTCGACGATCATTCGATCACCTTTAGCGTAGCGTCACTTGCTCGTTTAGCAAGTTTCATCACGATAATATGTCGTGTGCAAAGTTGTCGAACGCGTACGTTCAAAATTTGAACGCGGTGCTAGATCGTCTGTTGTTCACCAGACGTTTCTTCGAACCGCCTTATGAAATTCTCGTGATGAAATATCGTAACATATACCAACAACGATGCAACGCGTTCTTGCACGTATCTTTCAGACCGCGTACGTGTTTAGCTCCTAAACAATCTGTACCGATACCATTTCTTGTCGCTTGTTTACGGTTCATTGCGAATTGCATGAATTTGTTTACTCATTGTATGACACACGAAATAAGATAAGGCACGCACGTTCGAAACTCGAAGGCGATTTAACCCTAATCGTTTCCTCGAAATGGATTCTCGGAAGGTTCGTACCTTACCGTGAATTTTTACCGTCCATAATTGCATAATACGATGAATCACAGAAAATTATACGTCTATACAGTGCGTGCCACAAATCTGTTATTTCGTATTCGTATCCTATCCTGGGAACGTAAGGCGTCTCGTTTCGGAGTAGGACGTTACGATAAAAATTCTTACGTTACATTCAGGCGACCGTAGGACGTTACCCGAATCCTTATTCTTTTTATTGTGATACATGTTGTATAATCATTGGATTGCTGTTTACGTTCATTCCAATTCAGCATACCAGAGCATAAGAACACAAAAACAGAAATGTTACGTGATCGTAATAAGTAATTTGATACCTTGTCACACTGGAGTATTGTAACTCCCTCGTAAAACCTTCAGATTACGATTCGCGTGACCGTAGTGGCGTCGTTGCACACAGGGAATCAAATGATTCTCGATAAAATATTTATCGACGGTCGAAAACTGCCAAAATCCGATGAATACCTTTCGTACTCGTTTCACACAGTCCTGTTTCGGTGAAAATTTATCGACCAAGTCGTGGTAGATGTTTTTTTTTTCGTTCACAGCGCGAAATAACGGTTCTCGAGGATGCAATGAACGCGGCCGTCAATGGAAATATTAATGGCGTCGCGCGTCGGTTGATTTATAGCAAAACGGAAACGCGACTCGCGGGAAATTAATTGAATTTAATTTTAGTTAATTATTGCGTGCAAACAACGAACGGGTTGGCCGTAACAGAGAGAAAGTTTCTCGACCCTTTTACCTTTGTCCCGTTGTTTGGGATCGTCGCGCAATTTGCCTGAATTAAACGGCCACTTTTGTTTATGTTGCGTTACGCATATTATTACTTAAAGAGTAGCACTGGGATGAAAGGTAAACTACGCGATGGTAGGATGAATATAAATATGCAATTTTTCTCATTATTTTTTTTACCTTTGAACCTATGTTGTGTACTTGTTTATAATAGAAACAATGAATTGTACATAGACGATTTTCCGAATTGGAGTACAGGTCATTGAACACGAATATAATACTGAAAAAAGCGATTTTCTTTATTTTAAATAATTATTACATTTAATGCAGTAATGTATTTATTCGGTTACTGTTTTTGAAGTATCTCGAGCTTCTATTATTCGCTATCCAAAGTGACTTGAATTTCATTTAAAATTGTAAGTACTGGGCAAATTGATTACGCGCGCATATTTGATCAGGTCTTTCCTTGATATATCCTGTTTCATGCATACGCTGCTACTACGAAACAATGCTAAATTACAAATCTTAAATGTTGCGTTAGGTTTTAATTAAAAAATCCTGGGAAAGAATGATCGAACGCAGTACGATTCATGTGTCGACTTAAGATTCTTTTCGAGTTTGTGTTTGTAATAAAGAGACAAATATAGTATTGCTTGCTCAATCGTCGTCCCACGAGAAGGAATTAATTAACGAGAAATTCCAATAAAACGAGTGGAATTGTGAAATCGAATCGGACTCGACTTTTACTCAATCAATATTATATTCTGTAATAAATCAATTGAATCATCGTGCGATAGCAATATTAATTAATTGATTTTTAATGCAAAGTCATGTGTTTATTTTGAAAGGGTACTTTGAATATCTGTAAAACGTTTGCTATTTCGTTTCAAATAGAAAAATAAAGAAAAATTTATACGTATGAAGAAAAATTGACATATCGATTCGTGTTCGATCACGTAGAAATAGTATATTCGAAAAAGTGGCGCAAGTTTTATCGCCTACCAGTGAAACTAAATGTCTTCCGAGTTGGTTTCAAAGCGAACGGTGGTGCAAAATTAAATGAGATTAATGAGAGAAGTTGTTCCTGAATCGCTTTCGGTTAAAGAAACTTCTTTTTCCGCTGCTCGAGGAATAAAGAGCTGTACTTTCTTGAATAAAAAAGAGAGCCACGGAAGGAAAGCAAGCAAGATTATTGAAACTTTTCAAACGATAAATGGAAGAAATTTTTACATATACTTATCGTTGTTTCGATAGATGCAAACAGATTCTTTTATTTTTCCTAATTTTTCTCCGGTTAAGTTTTTGCAATTTCCATTTTTATATCCCATTCTAGGAATACAAATTGTAAGGATTCGCGTGACCTTGCGTGAATGGTAATAGCAATGCATAGTCCTCTGGTTTGGCGTCGAAATGGCACCAATTCACCTCGACGAATATTAAACGAGCGACGTTAATGGCCTTTTACGACGACTTGCTCGTGCCAGCTTAGGTCAGATTGGGGCAACGTACTTTCATTCTTTGATATGTGCACGTAGGTGGTCGAAATGCTTTAGAGTTGTGAAAATGCTACGAAAAAAAGCTGTAGGTACGTTCACCTTTGCACGAAAGCAAAGAAATCCTTGTACGAGTACATGAAATTACTCTCTTGCCGTTTTAATATCGATTCGACAGTGAAACGTTAGTTATGTTTATCGTTTCAATCCAACAAATACTGTTCGTGTAAGGCAAAGATTAAAAGAATCGAACGAGGTCAAGGAAAAAGACTTTTTACTGGGTCAGTCTTAAGGTTAAAGCAAAATCGAAGTCGAGGACGTCTTTTGGGGAGAATAAAGATTCTTTCGAGGGTTGAAAAATTGGAATTTCTTCAATCGCATGAAAAACGCTTTTCTTGCTGAATAACAGTCCTCAAGCATTTTTACATTCTTCTACTTTAAGCACAAAGTATAAGTTAGAATTTTCAAAGAGAAACATGTGATGAAAAGCTTGAAAATTCATTTTTCCACCAATTAATGGATCAAAGAGTAGCTCCGATCTAATGTTTGGAAATTAGAATGCAAATCGCTCGCGGAACGAGCACCATGAAAGCTGGAATGCCACTAGCGTAACGCGAACGATCCCTGTAAACACCAGCACTATTCGGAATTTTGAATGACATAGCATCAATGGAGGTTAAACTACGTCCCAATCGTGTTTCTAATGTGTTCCATTCTGAATTCCAAGCGGCGATGTCCCGTTGTCGCCTCCTAGCTCGAAATAAACCAGTCTTCAGGCAACGACCGACACTGTAAACAAACCGATCCGACGATTTCGTACAGCTACTCCTATCTATTTATACGAGATTCGAGTAGCTATTAGGCAACGCGTTAGAATTTAACGATACGGATAGTAGAAATTGTAGATTCAGAGAAGGAATGGCTGTGTTTCCGAATGGCCCCACCAAAATTGAGAACTCAGGTTCGGTATATAACATAAATTGACTACAGGAAACCGATTAAAGTTGGTTTCAGAGCTGGATGTCTTACCGTTTTCGAGATATCGTGGTAAGGTTAGGTTAGATTAGGTTAGGTTCTGTGTATGCGCAGTATCGAATAGCGCATACGTAGTCCCAAAATTGTACAAAAATTTCTTACCACGATATCTCAAAAACGGTAAGACATCCAGCTATGAAACCAATTTTAATCGGTTTCTGGTTGTCAATTTAGGTTATATACCGAACCTGAGTTCTCAATTTTGTTGGGGCCATTCGGAAACTATATAAAATTGTACCACGATATCTCAAAAACGGTAAAACACCCAGCTCTGAAATCAATTTTAATCGGTTTCTGGTAATCAAGTTAGGTTATATACCGAATCTGAGTTCTCAATTTTGGTAGGGCCATTCGGAAACTTATCCGAAGGAATTTCTAACAAGACTTTTTCTCAAACACTCCGCTATTCGGTAACTCGCCATTTTCTCAATCCGCTAACTGAAGCGACTGTAGGTTTGAACGCGTTCCGAAAACTTTGACCCTCCGTTTCACCCGCACCCTAGACAAAAACCAACAGGGGTTTATAGCCTGGTCTGACATCGCCGAGGGACGACTGTGTGATTGTTCCGAGGCTAGAGGGTATGGTACCGTTGTACAAACGATGCCATGTGGCTTTCGCAGGCTTTAACGAGCCACGTTGATCCTTGTCCCCGAAGGTCCTCGCCTTGCCACAGGCTGTTTTCCGACAACGAACACGCGAGTCACGCGGTGAATTTCTCATCTTTCCGGATCCTCGGAAGGATGGAAGCAGTCTGAACGATTGCTGCGCATCCACGTGGAATACCTGTACAGTACCAAGGACAATAGCTCCTGGGAAGGTACAAGAGACTTCTTGCCGTCACGTTTCACCCTCCACCCCTTTCACAATGCTCTAATTACGTGGCTGATCATCGATCAAGAGAAGTTGGACCGAGCCGTTTGTTGCTCGAAGAATAATTCATAAGGCTGACTCCGCCAAGAAATCGGTCGATCAAAAATTCCGGCTCCAAGAGTCGAGAGGAAGTGGTCGGTTTCGAGAGGGCTCCGGGGATTGTTTCGGTCAAGATGCTGAACTGTTTTTGCGTCGAGAGGGTTTGTTGCTGACTAGGGGAGCGATTCTATTGATTGAATGGAGTTTTCTGTACTATGCTATGGATTATACACCGTGTGTGTGTATAGGTACTTCAAACACTGAAGTATCATAATGTTTATTAGAATTTGTTGGATATTTGAAGTGTTATACAGGGTGCGTCACGGAAAGCAGAC